AGTAGTGCAATTTACTAAATTTAATGAAAGTTTTATTATCAAGTTTCATTGCATCAGTGTTTGTGCTACCACGCGTTTTGCATGATTACAGATCGCAAGGATGGGCAAAATAACATATTTTTATCGAATAATTTAAATATTTTTAATGAATTGTCGAATATCGAATATTTTTAATACACATACAATGGGCATCCAGGCATTCTAATGTTGGTAATCTATTTCGCCCGTCCTCTCTTTTTTTACAAATACTAACTCTTACGCAACGTGTGGTTTTGTATTCCTGGAAGAACTATGCGTTCATAGGGGCGACATATGTTAGACGACTATTGAATAGTGAAATCGGGTTTCATTCTGATTTTCATCTTTTACGCCGGTTTTGATCTTTTTCCCCACCGATTGTAAATTAACTGTCCCAATTTTGAGCTAACAATATTATCATTTCTGACGTCGGAATGCGGATATTTATAAAGATGATAGTTGACCTTCTTATGGTTTTATTTTTCTATTGTGTCGTTTTATTTTCGTATTAAATGGTGAAAAAAAAACTGCAAAGTCATTGCGTGAATCCTGAACGTTATTTTGAGTTTAAATAATAATTCAAAAAATCGGCAATAATGGCAATTCTACTAGAAAACTAGTCAAATAATAAATTCTTGGTCAAATTTGGGGAAAATTTCGCCCAATAATTTGTTACCTTGGTTGACATTTTTAATTTTACGAAACAGTGTTGGCGCGCATTATGCAAAACTTAGAATTGAAACAATACCCAAATACCTGAAATACGACTTCTCAAATTTGTCGTTTCTGTTTGTTAGCAAGAGCCATGGGGGTAATTCTTGTGGAATTCAAGGGATTGGAATCACTTGGAATTAATTCAAAAATGAAATCTCTTCGCGGCACACAAAAATATTTTCGGTGGCACCCTGGTTGGGAACCACTGACTTAGAGACTCGAAAACATGCCCACATGTTCGGTAGGGAAGAGAGGAGAAAAAATACCGGGCAAACTACAACTCGGCGTGCGGTGCAGCACAACTTGTCTGGCTGTCAGCCTGTTTTGAACGGTTTATTTGTATTCGAGAATATATACGATATCATAACATGTATTCGGAAACCGGTTTATGCTGTGCCATTGTCAGATCGGTGGATCACGAATTAGACAGCATGTCATCCTAACATACCGAACAATAACGGAACTGGTAAACAACCACAGGCAAGATTTTTTTCTTACAGTGACTACAAAAATGATTGCCCAGTGATAGAAGAAGGTTACATGTGTTGTCGTAATTCACGTCCACCATTACGTGCTTATAAATGTTCCGTTAGAATTGTCAGTGGTAATAATTATCATTCTTCAAATCAGAACATTAAACCATAGTAATGCTAAAATATAAATATGTGAATGTTTTATCAAGACGCTTACAGTCACAACGCGATTGAAAAAGAAACGAAAGAGAGATATTTCAAATGTTTGAAGTTGTACTTTACGAGCTTTCTGGTACATTTCAGAAAACTCGAATTCTTCATTAATTAAAGAACCCCAACCTCCGGTCAGCGAGGTATTTTATCTGCAACAATAAGAATCTGTGGCTTATAAAAAATTCCAATGCGCAAGAAGCCTGTTGTGGTTGTTATAAAAACAGGTAGTCCTACAGAAGCTCACTTGAAAAGCAGGAGACACAGGTTCAATCTTGTTTAAGTCACGGTGATTCAAAAAGTAACAATTATTAATCATTGTCAAGAACTACCAGGTTTTTAAGTGTCTCGTGGCGGTGTTGTTATGATGTCTTGCTTTGCCGTTTCATATATATATTGTAATATTGCTATCTATGGGCGATTAGATTAAATCTATAAACTAGAAATTGCTCATTGTAATTCTACTCTACGTTGGGCGAAGAAGATGAGATTGTGTTGACAATACTAATGTGGGCAGTACTATATAATAATTTGGGTTTGACGAAAAACGGGTATTTTTAAAAATTCAACTCACGACATAATCTAATTAGGTAATTAGCGTACGTATTTCGCGTGCAACTCTTGGCACTATCAGTATGACTATCTTTTCTTCACAACATCTTTGTAACAAATTCCTTGTCATTTTCGAGGTTTTAATTTAGTCTAGTTCTATATACATGAAGATTTTTAATTAGATCACGTTTTAGTCAAAACTTCTTGTATTACTGTCTTACAATCAAATGGCGATTGGAATCAAAAATACATTCCTATTTTTAGGTTAACAGTATTATAAACTCACAAAAATAAAGATATATGTTCAAAAAAGGATGAGTCAATAGTTTACCGATCTCTAACCGTCGATGATATTTCTGCTGTTTTTATCTTAATTAAGAGAGATTTCATTACGTGAGAACCGCGATGCATAAGTATGAATTTCACCAAAGAACACGCTGACGCTGTGGCAGAATTTCATTTGAGAGCAATATTAGAAAACAACATCAGTATCGGTGCTTTCAACCAGTGGTTCCCAACCGCCGGTCCGCGAAGCTTTTTTGCCGGTCCGCGAGAAATTTTGTTTTGATGCCATCTCAATCGCTTTACCGAAGACGAGGTTGCGTTGGTTTATTACGCAATTTCCCTTCCGTCGTCCTATTGCGACGTACTTGACGACGTCTGTCGCGACATATTGGCGCCGAGTAATTACACTTTTCGCTTTTTCGGCTCCCATTCATCGCGAATGCGCTCGTCAAATTTCATAAGATTCAGAAACCTAAAAATCGGCACGCGTGCTTTTTCTGATTAATATGGCCATCCATATAAAAGGATATGCATATTTTCTTGTTCAAACCAGAAAATAGTGAAGAACAGTATAATATTGCAGTAAGATATGAACTTGTTGCAACCCTACAGGTGGTCACGAGACGCGCAAAAAGCATGGGCGGCAGAGATCTTTTCCAGTATTTTGAGCAGACACAGTAGGATTTTGAGCCTGATGCCAAGTTACCGACGACTTTGTCATTGTAATGTAAATTCATTCTTTTTGAGGCGTCGATCGACTGCAGAGGGATTTATATGATGGACACGTTGAAAAATGAAAAGCTTGATTTAAATTGTGATTCTACTTTACAGTCCAGATTTTAAAAAGAATCACTGTCACAATTTTGGATATATATCTCTTGATAACGAATACCCCTTGCTAAGTAATCGAGCAAACAAACTGTTGTCCGTATTTTCAACCAGTTACTGCGTTATGCGAAAAATATTTGAATCACTAGCTTTAAATAACAAAGCAAAGAAATCGGCTGCACACCACTGCAGTGTGTTGCGGAAACTTCTCTGAGGCTCGTTTCCAATCCTTTATTGGAAACGAAGCAGCAGCAAAACTCTCACTAGAGTTTATAAATGCAATATTTTATTTCTAGAAGTAAGGAACTCCGGTGGGGATGTTATATATGTATTTATCACCTCAAAAATGCGGTTAATGACAATATGGATTCAGTGGCAGCACATTTGGACCCGCGTACATGCTTTTGGGTACTCCCGTATTATGCGTACCAGGTTAGGCCATAATTTTATTCCGAGTTCGGAGGCTGTCTGTGTTAGATAAGTGAATATTCCCATGTCCATAGGTTTCATTCCCTTTCACAACTTGATGTAAAATAGGCGAACAAAATTAGTTACTTCCATATTCATACACATACTTCTGGAGCGCCTGCTTTTGCATCCACGAGGATTTACATTTTACACCCATATTTGTCAAAATTGGCAACCCTACCCATACATTTGCGCCCGTGGTTATTTTTAACTTTGCCCTCAAGTTATGTTTGTTCTCCATCTTGTTTGTCGGTTTGTTGTTGTTTGGTTTTACGCCAGAGTGACCAGAATAAAATTGATTGATTTGCACCTACACTTCATACAGTATCGATGTAACCAACCATTCTAAGTTTCCACTCTATCTCTGCTGTGTTGCATTATGATCTGTAAAAAGCGAAGAATCACCCCAATTCACCCGAAGCAATACCCCGGCTAGCTAGTCTGGGCCGACAGAGTGCATGCGCAACCGATTGAATTGGTTGCACGCCAGCACTCACTCGCGCGGCGAAACTCGGACGCTCCCGCTGGGAACGTCAGTTTCTGATTTTTGCATCATCATGCCAGTTTAAATAATGCTGTGTGATATTAATTATTATTGTGGTGAATTTCTAAGTCGTCGACTATTAAACGACGCATATCCTTCTTTATATCGAACATGTACCTGTACAAGCAGCCACAGATATCTAGCGATATGTAGGAAGCTGCTACTTTGGATATAACGACGTCCCGACTATGTATCTTAGGACCAAAACGATATCGTTTTGTCCAACTTCAACGATGCGTTGGGTGACTGTGATTGCAAATTTACGCCGTGGGAGAAAGTGAATTGTGTCGTTTTCATTTTTACATTCATTCCTTTCTGATTCTGGCACAGAACTGAGAAATGCTCGGATCTTTTGTACGAAGCCCGCGCTCAAAATAATAAAATTACTTATTATCTGTTTACGGTAAAGGAATGCAGATAGCGTAGCGGGGCTTAGTACGGAAGATACAAATATTCAAGTCATTTCAGAAAGAAGTATTGATAAACACGTTTCCATTAAGAAGCTATATAATACTAAATTTTTTGATTGTCCGGTCTTTCGTAGTCTACGGCTACACGCACTAAAGTAAATAGACGCACAGTCAGCTAGTAACTTGGTGCCGGTTCGTTTGTGCTTTTCATTTCTATGAAAAGTCAGCAGGACGGCGCATCGCGACACGCATCATTGCTTAATAAACCGAACGTCGCTATGTGTCAAACGGCCAGCTGTGTTCTGTGTGATTCTATATGTATGTCATTATTTACTTAATTTCACTCAAGTCAGGCAGTACCAGGTATGGATTTCCACGGCGATCATAGTTCTACGACTATTGTGTCTAGTGTGAAAGATGTCATCCATCGTTGTGAATTGATAGGACTTGACTTGAGAGTCAGATGCGTTCAGATCAAGTGGTCAAGTATTCATACTATGAGCCTAAGTTGGTGATCGGCAAAAGTCTGTTTTGTCGTAGTTGTAGAAAAAAGAGAAATCGCTTTAGATTTGGAATGTATTGTAATAGCATACTGTAAATGCATATCATATATATTATATTTATACACAAAACGTTATGATTTGCACATCATAATATTCATGCATTAGCCTACAAAGAAATCGAACATTTTCAATAGTTCGCGTTCGCGGAATATTTGTGCTTTATTTACTAACTTTTAATCTCAGCTTCTGACTAGTCTTCTACTTTTTAAAACATATTTACATAAAAATGTGTCATCATAAAAGTGGTATTTTATATTTTGGCACTCTTTGACCCACATTCCTGGCCTCGGGCAAAACGCTGAATAACCGTAACAGCTGACGTTTTGAACACGCGTATATATATTATACATACAATTGAATGCGAAGAGTGAGAAGAATGTTCTGATCTGATAGAATTGTCAATGGTGATAATTGTATTTCAGCTGGCTTGCCCTTAAAGTTCGAACATTGAAATAGTTGCGTGGAAATAAAGGAATGAGAATGTGTAATGTACCGTAATGTCATATTCGGTTAGAGCTCGAGCTAAAAAGAAGCGACAAGGAGATATTTATTATAAATTTCAAAAAGTTTTCCAATGACGCTTTCCGATATATGAAATTTATGATACCTGAATGTGTCTGGGAGTTTTCATTGTGTTTTGGATTTATTAATCTAATACATTTGTCAGCTATAAAGTGCGAGCGCTCAAAAATACGCCAGCAAAAAGTTTCAGGAGGTTCAAGTTTAGGTTGCTTTAAAACTGTTCTTGCGCATTGCAAGTTAGCCTAACGTGGAGTTGCTGAAGAAAATACATATTTAATTTAGACTTGGTCGAAGTGTTTTTGTTTTCCTTATTTCTTCTTGCACTTCTGTATTCATATTTGAGCACTATTGCCATGAATAACTTTATAATAACTGAATAAGTTAGTTTTTTTTTTACCTCTGGGTGAGCGAACACGTACTACTTCTTTTATCAATACCTTTCCATCTGAAATCTGTACGCTTCAAACCTTACTTGAGGTTTTGTTTGCTTTCCCGATTCTATAATCAGTTACTTTTATTTTTCGTTTTTATCTAATATTTTATCGTCTATTGCTGATTATGGAGTCAAAATAAACTTATAACTAGGGATAAGTAAGTCGCTTGGGACCAGATTTACATCCTATGTTTGTATTAGCAGTTTTGTAAACTCAAACTAACAATATGTGCTCGAAAGAGAAAAAATCGATTAGTTATCGTTTGCTAAACGTCGACGATCTTCCCTCCGTGGTTTCACTAATCAAAAAAGAGTTCATCACAAGAGAGCCCATGTGTTCAACTTTAAATTTCACCGATGAACACGTAGATCTTATGGCAGATGTTCGTCTGAGAGCAATCTTAGAAGACAATATCAGCATCGGTGCTTTTGAAGATGAAACTGACTTGCTCGTCGCAATTCGATTAAGTCTTCTCGGCAGGAATGAGAAGGAGGTGGATTATACTAGCAAAGCTAACGTACCGATTCCTTTAGTTCAACTTGGAGCGCTTGTAAAATACCTTTTCGGTGGCTCAAAAGCAGATTGTTTAGGCACGAAAGACTATGCATATTTCGTGATATTATGCACACGACCAGAATACGGTGGCGAAGGAATTGCAACGGAATTATATCGACGATCACATATCATTGCGAGTGAGGCTGGGTGTAAGAAATCAGCGGTTATTGCCTCAAGTTATTATACTCAACGAATCATTAAGAAGTATCAATATGACTTTGTTAAAACCGTCGAGTACGAAAACTACGTAGATCCAGTGACTGGAAATAAAGTTTTTAGTGAGGTGCCAAGCCCTCATGTGACCATTGCTCTTGGAGTTAAAACCCTCGGAGAAACGTAGTCGAAAATATTCCATATTACTCAAACAGTGCAACGCAACCGACCAAATATGTGAAGACAATGTTTCAATTACCCGCTCAACTTCATTTTATTCTAAAAAACGATTATGACTTAACGGGTAACCCATGACCTAGAATTTACGGTTAAAAGACTAAATACACGGTCCCGACATAAGGAAGTGTATTTATTTTCGAGCGTGCACTTGATTATATGCGGATATGAGTATACTTATTGCAGCACGATTTCACCAGGTGTACTTGAACCTGAAAATGACATAGCATGCGATGACTAATCGAATAGCAACAACTATTAATTTATAAATGGTGGGTGTAATCTACTTCACCACTGATACTGACTGTAACAACAACGAAAAATTGTGTTTTTGAACAGTGGTGAGATTCAAAGTTTCAAAAGTCGGTTCTCGTATGTATCGAACTCGCTAACAACAGGTTATCCTTTTTCAGAAAACCAGACTGAAAAAAAAAACAAGAATGGATTTCCTTGTCATCACGACATTCCAGGAAGGTTCGCGCGAATCCATTTATCCCGCCACCGGTTTTAAGTAGCAGCCCCACTTTACCTGACGTACACAACGCAATGCGATTAGTTAGTCTTATGAAATTATCAAAACAAATAGGAAACCGCATTTATTTAGGGTTATTATGGCTTTCGAAACCTTGGTGTCTTGAAAACGAAATGCAAGTTTCTACAAGTTTGTCAGAAACAACAAAACATGGCGGCATTATTACGCATCGAATTTAATGTCTTTTAGTAGACATTATGATTAAGTTCACAAAAAGGAAGTACTTGAACCTAATTCGAGAATATAAAATGATAAGGCAATGCAAGTTATTCTGGTTTACAATGGTTTCTGCACGATAACAAATAGTGATAGAACTTTATTGCTAAGTAGAGGGCAAGAATCTGAATTCCACATCATAACTGCATTCAAGAGCGGGCTCTTCCTCCGACAGAAACCCGAATTTGGTCAATGTTGCTTTCCTGTCAATCTAACTCGCTTGGCAGCCAAGAAACCGATGTCAACGTCTTTCACAGGGGGATGATTTTTATCACGGTGGTTTTGGAGTTTAGATGGACGTAATGATTCATTGCTAATTACATACGAGCAATGCAAGCATTGAGCACATTTTCTGTCACCTCGATTTACTTTGGTAAAGCCAAAGTCTACGTGACTGTCGTTCCATTTTCGTATTTTGGGCATTAGGAATTTACAAGTGGGTTTTTGCGTCTATAATACGATAGCAAAGGGCGAAGGTTATCTCGCGGTCTAGTGAAACTGACGGTCTACTACTGGTTGCACTAGTGGCGTAGCATCCACCCCCGCAACCCCCGCGGTCGCGGGAGGGCCCACAGCGCCAAGGGGCCCAAGCGGTTAGAATTTAGAAATTTAAGCCGCAAACCAAAAGCTGCAGTGCAAAACAAGTAATGCACATCTTGTATCGTTGATGTTAGGTCTGCTCAAATCGTTTTGTTACGTAACAATGCCAGGGAGTCGTCGATTTTCGGCGTCTTGTAGTTTGATCGCACCGACAAAATTACGAAGGCTGTCAGAATGATGTCGAAAGCAAAACCTCTCAGTGGCGCACAGAAACGCAGAAAAGGAAGAACATGTGAAAAAATTAAAGTAACCAAGTAAACGTCAAATTTTAGGTGACCATTGCCTTTTTATAGCGACATGTTATGCTTTTTGACGAAATAAAAAAAGCGTTGTTTTGGCTTATGTCCGAGAGTTTTTAGGGTCATTTTCACAAAATATTTTTGCGCGGGGGGGGGGCACGAGAGTCTTGCTACGCCACTGGGTTGCACAGCCTGCCGGCGAACTACTTTGATTGGTAGATTCCATATTCCATTATGATCAAACAGTTCACGCACAAGAAAGTGAATACACCCTGCGATCACAAATAAGAAATAACCAGTGGTGGGAATCAAATTTTTCGTCAGCCGGTTCACTCACAAAAGTTATATTTTTCAGCCGGTTCCGTTACAAACAGAACATTGAGAGTAACCAGTAATGCTAACGGGTTCGGTGATCTCATATAATTCCGTGAGACGGTTCTATAGAACCGGCTGAATCCCACCACTGGAAATAACCTATTCAGGCAATGAAACTGCGGTGAACGTTAAAACGGAAAATTTTATTTTAAAAGGAAAGTATGCAAACGGAGCCGATTTATGATCAATTCTTAGCCCTGTGTCGTGGTGCCCCCTTGAGCTGTTTCGTGGCTCACTTAGGGGGCCACCGGCCCCCGGTTGATAACCACTGGCCTAAATGGATACATGTTGGTAGCATAGAATCTCATGTCGGGGTTGGGCTCATTTGCTCTTTTATCTGATGCCACAGATTGTTCTGAACCAGCGGAGTCATAAACATGTGAAATAATTTCAACAAAAGTGGTGACTATTCTATCCACTCGCGCAACCCAACTAAACGTGATGACGTTGACATATTTTTGTATTTTCTATGACGTCATAATACCGTTTCGAAGTTCGAAACAGCGCCTTTTCGACATATCGGTGTTTCGAAACGCCCAGCCCTAGCTGAGACTCCTCATTTGCAAAATCTAGAGACCGCCTTATATATATGCCAATAAGTGCAGATGTCCCTGACTACAATCTTGTGAAAATATTTAAATGATGGTGATTGTGATGCCTAAATATGAAGTCGATGTGAGGTATAAATGTCGATGTATATGTACGTAATAAGTTGTATTATGGGATTATCCATTTAGGCGCGAATGCAACTGCTTTATTCTCGTATGATGCTGTCGGCTTATGCAAACGTTTTGGGGATCTTCGGCAGTTATTATTGTATTTGACATCTTCGCTCTGGCTAGTGGTAGGCACGGCTGATCTGATTCTAACAAAAAAAGCTGGGGCAACTATTTCCTGCTCTTATTGGATGAAGTGAACATAACTATGGTTGATTAGCCTGTGATTCTGAGCTTTTTCTGTAGCAATATATTAATATCAGCCCCTAGGTTTGACGTAATTTCAACTTTTATCGGTCTTCGCTCTTTTATGCTTTACTTTTTGTATTATTGGGAGGGGTTATTGGGCCGAATAGCCTTATAGTGGAGTTCTATAGGCCTCCGAATTAAAACAGATCAAGATCGACTGTCTTTTGCTTAAATATGCTTATTTAATCCTGATCTTGCTCAGGCCAACCAGTTCAGAGGCAATCATAAACGATACCATTTAGAACAAGAAACATTTTTCAGAAAGAAAACAACTCATTCAATAATAAAGCACATATAAATTTCCTAAATACTCAAAACTTTAAATGAATGTAAAGACAAGTCATGAATGAAACCATAATTTAAGCCTGTGCACGAGGATACAGTGCTACATGATTTGCATAAACATCATCACCCAGATACTGCAGGATTGTACAAGTAAATCATCCTCGATTTCAAAACAACAGGAGTTCAATAATATAGCAGCCATGAGATGAGGTTGTTTGGACTGCCATAGATGATAGACATAAAAATTCAAATTAGCAAGAATTTCAATTTCTAAATATTAGAGCTTTCTTTTTGTTTTTAGAGCGGAGCATGATTGGAAATAACTTGAAAATGTTTTATTTTAAAGAGTTATACGGTAAATTAAACTAAATTTGAACTAAACTGAGTGGAATTATACCATTTCACAGAGTATGTGTAAAAGTCTATCGCATCTGTGACATACTGGCAGAGAGATGGAACTTTGAAGCATTTACAACTCTTCTCTGACATACTTGGGTTTTAATTCTTCAATCCTTTTAACAAAATCTGTTTTTTCCAAGCATCCTTCACAATTTTCATCCCAACCTGAAAGAATCTTTTTGAGTTCTTTCACTCTCATTTTCTTCAGGTTGATATTTTTCCAATCCAGTGGTTTATCTGATACAATTAAAAATACATAGTCAATATTCAATAGTAGAAAAATATGTTCAGAAATAAGCGGATTGACAGTTTAAACAACACGAACAGATATAATATTAAGCAACTTAGCAAACTTCAATTTTCCTAATTGTTTCATACAAAAATATCAAATACTATACGTACTGATAGGCAGAATAAACTTGGAAGTTACTTAACCCTTTCCGGGCGGTGGGCACGAATACGTACCAACGACAAAAGTCGCTAGATTGCGGCGGGTACGTTGATATACTCCACTGTTTTATTTAGCAATCGGTCGCTAACTGTTGGTCTAGTTTTTCCGGGTTTTAGTTTATTGATTAGAAGTCTTCTTCGAGATTAACATAAGCGACGGTAAATCTCGCTTTCGTTTACGACTGGAATTTTATTTGTGGCGGAACGAGGGAGTGTTTTTGAAATTTATGCAAATTTCGGTGTTTTTTGGGTGGTAATAGAAGACATATTATCCCTTCCATCTACCAAAGTATTTTGAGTTAGATCACGAAATTGCTACAGCAATATTATGCTAATGTTTGCCAACCACGAAGCGGTAACAGTAAAGGATTTAGCGAATATTTCTATTTTTTATCACGGTTTGTTGAAGTTTCAACTGCCAAGAAAAAAAAATGCCTTTTTTCTATCCGGTTTGTGACCCAGACCACCACTTTTGAAAAACTTTTTTTTTCAATCGCGAATTGCAAGCTCTTTAAATAAGCTTTCCAACGAGTCGTCAGTGGGCAGCAGAGGATCATTAGTTTTTCGTTAGTCGATCGATTAGTTGTGGGGGTACAAATGCATAAAATCGGCGTAGCAAATACGATTATTTAATGAAAAATAAAAATCGCATGGAAAGGGTTAATATCAGAAATCTCTGAACAAACTGATAATGATGTCTAAATGTACATTGTTACACACATAATCGTCAAACCTTTTTAACGAATGTAGGATAAATTATATAAATCTTACTTAAAACTCTTAATAAATATCTGAACATAATAATAATATCATACTGATAATGATGCCTAAATGTACATTATTGACGGACACCAGAACGTAGTATGTTACCAGGTTGGGGTTAGGGCATAAATGTATTCCAATTTTCCTTATTTTAGTTCCATAACGAGTTCGGGGACTAGCCAAGTGACTCCCGTAGTATTTGTACCCGACATTATCGCCTCACCCTAACCTGATACACATACTATGTTCTGGTGTCCGCCATCTTGGTTCACATACTTCGAGTACCCATTGTTACATACATATTCATCAAACCTTTAACTGATGTAGGACAAATTGTATCAATCTTAAAGATTGGACGAGTTCGTTCCTATTAATTAATTACATTCTTGAAGGGAAATGGAACTTACCATATTTAAGTTCGCAAATTTGAGAATCTGCCTTTTTCAAAGTTTCGCAAATCTTCTTGGGAGGGTAAAAACTTCCTAGTGGGCCTGAAATTGTTTTCAATATTGATGTCGCTGCATCTGCTGTACCACCAATGTAGTAGCACTAAGAAAAGAAAACATGACATGAAAAATTATACAGTAATCAGAACTTTTTTTAGTTCATCATATTCATACCGTAAATGTACACCATACTACACAAATGAAGCTTGAATGACCTTTCAGGGTGATGTGAGAAGTGAATTAAGCAAAAACTGCTAAATCAAGTCTAAGAATAGCCGATAAATAACATCACAATAATAAAAGCATGATGACAAGTTGCCTTATCACAAGTACCGACAAACTTAGGGGCAAAAGGTATTCATTGAAAGCTGCCAAATTTGAAAATCAATAAAAAAATTGTTTTTATTTTACTCTGAAGACTGACAGGTATATCTATCACTTTTATAGTTTTCTACGTTTCTACGCTTTTAAGTTTTCTACATTGTACTTACAAATACAAAATGACTTTTACAAAATTGACCATTTTTGGCATGACAAACAAGTTAATGACCCTATAAATTCCGCTCTTTATCTTTGAATATTCATATTTTCTGGTTCAATTTTTATATGCCTATTCGAGAGCAGATATATGCTGGCTGCAAAATTGCCCTAAAATGGTTCAAGTGACGTTTTTACCAAACTAGAGACAGTGACTCGCCACATCATTAAGTCGTCTTATCAGCTTCCCCCCTCCCCTGAGATAAATATATAATAATATTTTCTAATTTTCCGAGGTCCAAGCATGACAAATTGTGATAGTGGAAGAAGTACCAGACTTGTAGTCAAAGTAACATTAGGATCCAACATCGTGGAAGCAATCATATTCAATACATATTTACTTCCCAACTTAAATAATCTTGTAGTACAAAAACAATATGGATGCCCAGACTGTCTTGTAAAGAACAGCTTTGCACTCACTGTTATATTTGATGTCTTGCAATGTATGTGGCGGCTATTCTTGAAATCGAACAATTGTGAACTACTGGAAGTGAAACAGCGATATTCAGAGAAAAATGTACACAACCAAACAGTACTTAAAAACTTACAAATCTATTTTCTTTCAACTTGAGTGATGAGCAAATCTTTCTGATATGAGCTTGAATATTTTCATCACCTTCTATTTTGTTTTCTTTCAATTCTTTTTCAAATAGTTCAATGACTTTAATGCAAACTAAATATAAGACAAGACAATGTAAGATAACGCCAAGCAAGACTATTTTAGACGGTGAAACATCTCAAACTGGGAATACTGTAATAGTAAAACTCCAAGCCTGACAAAGCAAGACCAATGTATAACACAATCAGAATTTATACATGTTGAAATATTGAATTATTTTACATTAAGTCATTTCCATATGGCAGTATGGGTAAAAATTGTACATAACTATTGTTGACGGTTCATAGAAATTGAATTGCAATGCGAAATAGTTTGGACAAAAATCTTTCATCAACTTTCTTTCAAGTTAAATCAAGTTCATTTTCTGATTGGTAATCAAATATTCAAAGGCTCGAAACGACAAATTATCAAACAAAATTACAGCTAATTATTCCTAAAATGTACAGATTTAGGGTCTAGTATAGTAGCCTACCACAAGTACTTCCAAGTTATTCTAACATTAATTACATTGGTTTTGGATACTTCTAAAAAGACCCCCCCTTTTTTTTCTCCTGTGGAGATGAAAAGCGAAAAAATTATAGCCTACCTTCACAATCCCCTTCCTTCAATGCAGCTTGGACATTCAAAATCAGTGAAGAAACTACGCAACACGCAAGAAAAACAATTTTGTTCTCCATCAATTTGCTTTCAAAGGTAGAATTTCGAACAAATATAAAAAATATATGAAGAATTGATCAACTTCTAAACACAAAAATTCATACACTATCTACAACCTGGATCCTACGGAAAATATTCGACTGTGATGAATAAATAAAATATTGAACACAGAATCTCGACGTGTTCATCGCGGATATACACTGGGCCGGCGCTGATTGGCCAGAGATCAACAAAATGTCACGCATCACTGAAGCATCCACGCCTCCTGTCGAACCCCCGATGGTCATTTCGCGATTTATCTTAAAAATTTAGCAGTAAATGTAGTGTAGATATATAAGTACATCAACTTTGAGTTAAACATGGTTCAGCACTAATACGGTGCCTTTGTACAATTTGAAGCTGATCGTAATTGAGGTATATTCGAAAACCTGAAGTATTTGTGTTCATCAATGCGATAGTTTTTCGAATTTTGCCATTCACAATTTTGTGATGGTTTGACTAAAAACTATATTCTATTTGAAATTATCAGAAGCAGTAGTTCCACAATTTTTTCGACGTATCAACATGGATGTTTCCCCGGTAGAGAACTTCCTCCTTCATTTCCGTAACAATCAAGTAAGTAGGTGATAAGTCAACGATGACGTACCGATTAAAATTTCACGACTATGCCAAAATTCAGTTACGTGCCACATAATTTCAGTCCTTTCGTTCCCGAAATGTTTTAGTTTAGTTGCAGTATTTGAAGCGACCCCAAAAATGGGATGGACTCATGGGTGAGCGGACGCGTACTACTTCTTTTATTAATACTGGTACCTTCCCACCAACGACTAACATACCGCTCTCACCTAAAATCTGTAAGCTTCAAACCGTATTTTTTATTTATTTTGTTTTTATTAATTATTTTATCGCCTATTGCTGAGTCAAAATAAACTTATACTTAGAACGGAATTAAAATTTGAAACACGTAAAATATTTTGCACATGCCAATTCACGAAAACACTATAAAGAGCTACAAAATTTTGCGATATTGAGAATTTTTTACTTATATTTTTACTCGATTATAATCGGTAAACGCGTGAAGAACAAAAGTATCATAAAAATCCCAAGATCATGCAAACTGTTGTTGTCGAAGCTTATAGTAATTCGAGATTATCGGATACAAAGCCATCAAAATCTCTCCAATGTTGGTGGATTACTTTTTTCACCAACTTTTATAAAGTGAAGTTATCCTTCATATACCGGTATGAAATTATGTATTTCCTTATGGCAAAAGATCACATTCCAAACAAGCGATATTTTGATGAAAAAAAACTGAACTGATCCAACGGGACGGTCGACTGATATATTTATTACAGCCGTCTCCAGAGAGCATAACAATTGCCTGTCAGCCAGCAGCCATGAGCTAGTTTCATCCTACCCTTGATGATAAAGACAGAGCTGCAGTTATTTAGTGACAGTATTGTACTGCATGGCGAGCAACTACAGCATCTGTACATGACAGATAATGATTGAAATGGGCCCCAACGAACAAGCAAGAACACCATACATATCCAAATGTATTTAAATTTAATAAAGATAAAAAATCTGGATGTAATGTGATGAAATGAAAATACTGCAATATTATTTCAAACTTACTGCTGACAAATAAAATAAAAAAATCATGAATTCTATAGGGCTTGTAGCTTGGGTTAGTAATTAGAGATGTGTTTAACACAAATCAAATTCTTCAACCAATGCAAGTAGAAAGAAACTTGAAAAATATCAAACAATAAAATTGTTGAGGACATTGAATTCACCAGGTCAAAGCCTAAAATTTTAATATCTGGCTTCAAAACTCCATGTTTGAATACAAGCAGTGGTGGGATTCGAATTTTTTGTCAGCCGGTTACATCACGAAAGTCAAATTTTTTGAGCCGGTTCTGTTACAAAAAGTCATTGATGATAACCGGTTCGCTGATCTCAAAAAATTCATCTCAAAACCGGTGCGAACCGGCTGAATCCCACCACTGGATACAAGCCTCATATATTTATACAACACATGAGACGAAAGCAGAATGAATTCTGTTGCTAATTAGCCATAATATACGATCACCATAAATTACTGTTCATTGGTGCTTAAAAAAGTATTGGCCACATTCGGAAGGTGCAACAAGTAACCAAACAATCGTGTCACAAGTGAACAACTTTTTCACTGACAACTTTATAGCACTAGATTTTAGTCTCAAAAGAGAATTGTGACAATTATAAATCTTGATGATATATCCAAGGTTGAAAGAATAGTCATAGTAGAAAACAGAAATGTGAAAGTATACAAAATAACTAAATTGAGCAAAATTTGTAGAATAGATAGATGTACATTATCTATGGCGTTTAAAGTAAAAGTTGTGAAATGCATACAACCAACTAATAAACAACTCGAATATGTTTCAAACTTTATATCCAGTCAAGCAATACTAATAACATTTTCAAAAATCACTTTCTGTAAAAATATAAGTAATATGACTTATCGGGCAAGAAGGCTGACAACAATTCAATATAATCCTTGAAATTATTTTGTAAACTTATGCGTTAGTACGGACGGATCATAGTGGAGATCTTATTACTGCGTTGAAGCGACATTGGAAAACTACTGCAGTCTTTTTCATAATTGACACATGCACTACAATAAAAATGATTGTGTATATACTCGCATAATATATATTTTCAATGTAATAGCAGCGATGCGGAACACTTACAAAGCAATAGAAATTTTCTAACATGATATAGTACACAATATAATGAACTGTTATGGAAACAGATTTAGGAAGCAGACAACATTATGTGTAATAAAAATGCGCAATTTCTGGGGTAATATGCTGATGAAATACTTTTTTCAAGTGAATATAAAAATTTTAATATGTCTGACATCTCTCTTTCGATAAATCTTCATCTGGCTTCAAGTCATTGAGATCTCGATTAAAAGTTATAAATAAGTCAGAATGGTTTTCATCATTCATATTGTTCGAGTTATCAACCTGCTTGTTGTTGGGGTCCTCTGGTTTATTGGTTTCCCGCCTCTTGCTTTCCCTTTGTTTCTTAATTCTCTGTTTCTTCTTATGCAGTGGTTTCGATTCAATCATCATTTCTTCTAGTTCATATGTGGGATCATAATTCAGATGTTTATTCTATGAAAATAAAGAGAAATAAATAAAAGTATGAAAAGAATGGAATATAAGCTTGTTTTCTGGTGACATTTTGAGCGATTTCTATAATATGGACCACCAGGCATTACATTTAATCAAAGCTAGTTATTAGTTAATAGTTATTGACTATTGTATATGAACGATATCATAAAATTGAATATAGAGTATAGTGTGTGACTGTGGGACGCCAGTACCAAATAACTTGATTTCAAATTTTTTTTATTACTTTCATTTTATTTGTTTTATGACTTTTTATCTCGTTAACAGTCACTAATGGTTCATCAGTCATCTAACAAGTTCGTAAAATTTTAAATACATGCATTTTCATTGTGCCCATGAAAAGTTTTTACGTGCTTGTTATTGAAAGTACAAGCCGTATGTATTACTAGTTACCCAATCAATTCAAATAATACCATAATCGTAATTATACCAGCAATCAATGTAAATTTATGGAATATTAAAGAAAAATACAGGCATAGGTTCAGCATGTCATATATGTTTCCCATTTTTGTAGACAAGTAGCTTGCAAAGGCAAATACTTACAGAAGGTATAAAATGTGGCTTCATATTCTCAAGTTTAGTATCTTGACAAAATTCATGATTCTGAAGATCAGAATATGTAGAAAGTCGTTTACTACCATCAAGAACAAATAACTGAAAATAAAATTAAATTTTATTATAATAATTTGTGGAAATAGATTAATACTGCTAAGTGCTAACACAAACATGTACACCAGTACGGAAAATATTGCGAGGAAAAGTATTTGAAAATTGATAAAGTACAGTGATACCTCTGTAGTGGAACGACTCGATAAAATTTGGTAGACTACCAACAAATTCTAGTCAAAAATGCTGAGGTACTCGAACAAATTCCACAGAAATTTGCTTAAACGCACGATAACTGAAGGCTGAAGCAAAGTATTTTTAAATTTTTTGCTTTATTATTTTCAATCTTCATTGTGCACAAATTTTTATAATTGTTGTCCAGGTACACCTTCTATTGATATTTTAGATATTTTGGAATGCGTGAGAACGAATTACAATAAATACCATTGTTTCCCATGGAAAAAAAGTTTCGTTACTGAATGGGGGCTCCCGAAGTATGCGAACCAAGATGGCGTACATCGGAATGTAATATGTGTACTAGGTTAGGGTTAGGCCATAATTTTAGGTATAAATGCTACGGGAGGCTCTTGGCTAGTCTTCGAACTGATAATAGGACTAAAATAAGGAAAATTGGAAAAAAATTATCGCCTAACCCTAACCTGTTACTTTCCGATGTCCGCCATCTTGGTTCGCATACTTCGGGAGCACCACTGAATGAAATATGTTAGACTACTGAGGTCTGTACTAAAAAAATTTCAGTCACATGATTGGGAAATTTGAATCAAACATAATCAAATAGTCTGCTTGTAGCAAGAGAAATGGTTATTGTGTGAGGAAAACATCAATTCTTTCCTTTAGTATATTTACATGATTATAAGAGAACATGAGCCATACAAATGAGATGACACAGAAACAAAATAGAATACTATATGACAATATTGTAATATTTATATGCAAACCAAATCGGTTAAAAAAAACACAATCCGACATTGCATCAATAGTTAAAGTGTGTCTGATGGGTAATGATAACCATAATAGTTAAATTTCATTCCTTTAGTGAACCCAACCAAAAATATTCACCTACTATAATATACGCTAAATCTAACTTAAATATTTTTTATAATTCCATACAATGCTTTCCAAAATCAATGACATGGTTATTCATATGTAGAGTATAACATTTTTCATAATGCTAACAACTATAATTATGATTTCTTGAGGCCTGGAAACTCACTAAATAATTCAAAACAAAATTGAAATAAGAGAAAAATCATCCAATTTTGGTTCACAAAATAAATGTCGGTATGATGCAACATAAGCAGAATTGTTGGATGGAATATTAAAACTATATAATACACTAAACGAGAATATCGAAACCGAAGACTTATCGATCAAAACTGCGGCTTCAATTCATGACTCTATAGTGACACCGCGTGTCCCATCACTAATTAATTATTACTCGCTAATTATACGACATAATTCATCCAAAATCAATAGGCTCCGAGATATGATAAATGCACATGCAAAATGGAGCAGATTCAACCTCGCCTTCGTGAGATATTGCGTTCATCTAACAGACAAACAAACAGACAGACAGACGAATACCTATCAACATACTTACCGATCTTAAGATCGATAAGTTATAACACTGTTATGCTCTCAAAGGATATCACACATTGACACATTTCAAAAGCAGATCTCCACAACAGCCAAATTTTTTTAACATAGTATTTTAAATGCATCATGGCTATAAAAATTGTTGCATAGGCTATATACTATTCATAAAATTAGTTAGCTGAGTCAGACTGATAATATAGATTATGGACAAAAAGCTGATAATATACTCTAAATATGGCGCTCCCGAAGTATGTGCACCAAGATAGCGACAACCAAAAATATTACTCTGAATATTAGACAGACAAAATGCCAAAATAAATCATTGGTAAAAATTAACTATTCATACAGGATAGGAACATAGAATTACTGTACTGGTATATCATACACATAACATAGGTTTATGTGGCAAAGTCAATAGCAGTACTTATGCAATGAAGGAATCAAGAAATGAAATTTAGTGCTTTCATGATAAAATTGCTTCATAAAATATTTAAATAAATAAATGATAAAACTATTAAATTACACTTGAAAACCAGTATACTAGCCATAGATGGTTTGAGTGTAATTTCTAATAGACAGGAATATTAGAAAACAGGTATCATATATTAGTTGGTTATGATGAAAAAAAATTGCTTTTCACATTATCTACTGGATCAAATGCTTTGAAATTTTCAGTGGTTAAAGATTGTGTTTTTATTTCAAAACTTTCCGTGTGCTCTATGTGATTCGTTTTTCGATTCAAAATATTTTGTGATGATCTCTTGAAAATTAATACATTTTTTTTGTAGCGGTTCTTCTACCTCTCTCGCTATGCGAAAGTCTGTGAAGTTTTTTGATGATAGCGGTACTGTAAAAGGTAAGGTAGAATACTGCTTCGCTTTGGTCTTCTGGTATATATATTTGAGCATCGCTCTCTTGTTTTATATGGATTACACATTTTGTGCGAGGCTATAATTTCAGCCAAAATCTTATATTTGAATTGTTTGTCATGAACATAAAACAGACAAATACACAAAGAATCAGAGGGCATGATATCTACCGTTTATATTACTATAACTCGTTGTCGTACCTTTAAAAATAAATCAATCAAAGCCTGTGACCATGTTGACGAAAACGATACTCTTCCCTCAGAAAATATTTCCATTGTTTCTTCCACAGTGGTTTCATTAGAAATTTTAAATGGCCTCTGAATAAAATAAAAAAAATTTGTGATGAAGCAAACAAAATCTAATATGGAAGCGACTTCAGAATTTATCAAAATCTTCTGGAATGCACCATGATCCAATTTATAATATATGAGATTGAAGTAAGCCACATAATAGTATTCCAAATGCTATTTATAAATAAATCCTCATGTAACTGCATCATTTATAGGCACGTTTTTCAAAATGTCATGGGAAGATTGACTTCTATTTTTCCAAGTTTTTGAGTTTGGAAGTAGAAAAAGAGTGTCAAAGATAAATAAAGCACAACCGGTGTATAGCAAAACGATATAATTTGCCGACGTTTCGAGAAGAGAAAGAGTGTCGATAAAAGAGTCACAAGCGACTAATATTAGCTCTAATCACTTATTAGTTAATTGTGGTAATTGTAAGTATAGTTGATTTGATATTATTATTGATTGTTAGTGTTTATAACTACATCACACAAACGCACTGGATGGAAAATCAGAGTAGTTGCAAACAATTCAATTAAAGTTTAAAGGATGAATAAATAAATAATCACTCTGAACTGAATAAATAAACTCACTTTGTGCCTCAACAGTTCAAACATTGTTATTGCAAGTGACCACCAGTCAACATTAAAACTGTAACCTTTGCTTTTTCCAAGCTTACTCTGACATACATCAGGTGCTAAGTAGTGTAATGGGAATATATGTATAAGAAGAACATCATTAGATACGTTTACTAAAGTAGGACACAGCCGGAAAAATGGTATGTCAATATTTAAAAAACAGGATTTTTATCCAAAATCAATAAACCTGGGCATGTTTGAAAAACATAAATTATAGTTCAGCAATTTAGCTTATCGTAAGTGTTGTATGATATTATTTACTTAGTAATCTGTAATATTTTTTAAATATTAAATCATTTTAAATCCACGAAGATTAAATCAGATTTCTTCATATGTACCATATTTGTTTATCAAAACCAGATTGGAGAAACAAAAACAAAAATATACAAACAGCCAAAATAACATACCAACATATGGTTTTGTACCAGCAAAACCTGTAGCCAATTCATCTTCGCTATCTAGTATAGTTGCAACATTAAAATCTGTCAGATGGGCATGACCTTTGTCATCAAGTAAAATATTATCAGGTTTGATGTCTCTGTAAAGTGAAAAACAATAATTTTGAGAAAAATCAGGATATATAAACAGATCAATAATATTATTCAAGTAATTGAAGAACTTTATATAAAAACTTCAGGAAAATGAAATGCCAAAATTTCTGATGACCTGTTGCCTTATCTTATTAGCATGTGAATTAAACCTGTTAAAAAAGACGCAAAATTTGAATTGTAAATGCCTGTAATTGTAATGCGTTGGCAGCTCAGAAAATTTTATATTAAAGCAAATTTAACTCATAAAATATTTTATTTGTAATGTCTTAATGCTGTTGTTTTAACTTCAGTATCCTCCCAGCAAAATATAATGATCTGAACAGTGAACAAACAGATGAGCACTGAACAATCAAACCCAGAAAATATTTTTACCAATTTTACTTCAATTTCTATAATTAGTCTCTCATTTATGCTTATATTATCAAATACATGGGAATAACATCTGATATTAAACTAATAAAATTATATCATTATCATGATTCTCTCGACTTGCAAATTATCATATCGAATTATTTGAAAAAAAAATTCGAATAAAACACAAGAATTACATGGCAAAACAATACTAACCTGTGTATAATGCATTTGGATTTCAAATAATCAAGAACAGATGCCATTTCTAGAATATACAACCGAACGTCATCTTCAGTGAATAATACATGTTTGGACAGATGATACCGTAAATCTCCACCAAGCAGTAAATCAACAACAATAAAGAAATCTTCCTCATCCTGATATTAGTAGAAACACAAAAATTCAGAATATTACACATTTCATTAAAACGAAGCAATAGGACAACTGGCAGGAATGTCCCAATGATAACATATCTATACATTAAGTAGCTTAAAAAAATGTTATAATTTAATAATTATAATTACTAATTCACCTTTGGGGTGCTCATGTAGAAATGGCTAGCTAGTATGACCATAACACTAAAAAATTACGATAATACAATTTGTGTGCATGGTGAAGAATATACAAAAGAGAATTTTTGAGAATAAAAACTATGAACTAATATTCATAGTTTTATATTTTTGGATGATATTGTTGATGATATGTATGCAATTTATAAAAAGAAAACAAAATAGAAACTAGAAAATGCGGGTCTTCTGGGCTATAAATAGTTTGGGTAAATAATACTCGAAATTGATCTTCTTTAAATGCTCACCTGAAATGTATACCAAAGATTAACAATAAAGTCATGTTTGAGTAAACAAAGCATAGAAATCTCTCGTTTTACATTTTCAACAAAATTTTGTTTGATGCATGACACTTTATTTAGATATTTCATGGCAAATAATCTTCCATTGCTTTGTTTTTGCACCATGCATACTTTGCCAAAACTTCCTTTTCCAATTGATCGCAAAATTTTGAAGCTGTTGAAATTAACTATAAAAAGAAAAGGTATGGAATTATGATGGAAGTTATGAAATCAATGAAAAAATTAAATAAAGGAACTAGGTAAGCCTATGCTAAAATCATGATTATTTATTCACAGGGATACATAAAATTAATGGAATATAGCAAATGAAATGATACTGATTTTAAAACGCCAACAGTTTCAACATCTATTCGAGGAATTTATATAGAAATTGTTAAAATATTTTTGAATAAGAAGCCAATTTTGTGCTGTAATAACTGCGTACTATACCTATATTTTCCTTATAATGAAACTAGAAACAATGAAAATTGTGACAGATTACCTGATTTATCAGAATTTGAATCCGGGCCATCTGCTTCACCATCAAGCCTATTTTGACTATTTCCCATATCTCATGTCACAGTTGTATTGTCAGAGTTCAAAAATCAGAAGATAACAGCAGAACTTCTTAATCAAGTTTTATAACAATTCACAATCTACCATGAATCAAACTTTCATTCTACATAGCCCACAAAATCACAGTACCCTTGAGCCTTCATACATGCTGTTGCAATCACAAGCGCCTAATCAATTAATCAAACATGGTATGCATCACTATTCATGGCAACAGATAACGTTTAGCCTTAAAAATAATGAATAAAAGTAATAAAGCATGACCATAGTAAACATACACACAGTATATTCATAGTTATATTGATAAGAGGAAGTAACAATACAATATTCTATATTACTCACAAATACAAATCAAATTCACTATTACTGTTATTAACTGGGCATATAAATTACTGATGATGCTAAAGCACAACCTAATTATTGAATTAGTTATTGAAATTAACACCAAATCAAAAATAGATTTCCACTGTATCCAAGAATTATTTAATGGTTACAGACAATCAGTAAAACTAGAAACCACTGAATATATATATATACAAAGGTACGATGTATTTAAACAAATATGTCAATAAACTCATAAAAGAAATTTCCAAAAACTTGATGCCACACAAGGTCAGGGATTGCCAAGAACCGAATGAATCCACTATTCCAAATGCATTCTAGAACGATATTTTCGAACATAGAACAACGATTATATTATGAATTGGGTCATGTTCAATGAAAAATACATAGAGCAATCAGTAAACATTCAAAGGGTTCGGATCAGGAAATGCAGGTAAATTTAGATATAAAGTGATTTGACTGGTTTTGTATTTCTTATAAATTTCAGAGATGAATCATCAACTTTAATTATCGGCACTCAAAATAATTATTTTTCAAATTGAGTAGGCCTACTGGAATAATTCTTGAAAAAAATCTTTGAATGTAAATAATTTCAATTTGTTTCGAACATGAGCTGTTATAATCTTATTTTCGATTCAACCAAAATAATAACGTAAAGAAAAAGATAAATGCATCAGAAGCCTCATCTGAATTTGGAATAAAGTAAAATGTAAGATTAGTGAAGCAAACTTCTAAACGTCAAAATTCTACTATTCAAGATGGGCTTTGTTAAAAATAACCAAAAGAATCATGCCAAAAATTGAAAAAAAAACTTCTCACTATATACATCAATAAGGATGTTTCATTGGCAATGTCTGAATTAATGAAAAACGATTAATTTGTACAAGAATTAAATGTGTAAATATCAATGGCGTCTATGAAAGTCTCGTCTTTCATGTCCCTTTTCTCGATTTCTTGCTTTCTCATATTTATCATCATGAGAGTATTTTTGTGATCGATCGTGCCTTGATGAAGATTCATCTTTAGGATGAATTTTCTTATTGTAATCTTTAGATTTTCTCTCTTTTGGCAGGTCATCATCAGATTCTGAATGCCTTTTAGATTTTTTTTTCTTTTTTGGAGAGTCATCCTCTGATTCTGATGAATCATTCTTTTTGGAACGCTCTTTTCTTTTCAACTTTTGCTGCTTTTTGGACTTCTTTTCATTGTCACTTTCTGAATCAGACTCTGCTGAGGAGCTGTGTTTACTTTTTTTATTCCTTCCTGATTTCTTCTTTTTCTTCTTCTTTTCCATGCGATTCAGCCTTCTTAATAATTTCATTTTCTGTTTGTCAGAAAGATTTTTTAAAAATGCAACTTCCGGCTCATCTTCTTCATGTTTGACAATATCATGCTTTTGATCCTTTATTTCAAAATGATTTTGCATTATTTGTGGTTTTAATTTAAGACCAGAAGTGGACTGCATTGCACCAGCCGCAGCTGATGGATCCATCATTGTCATGCTAGGATCAAAAGAAGATGTTTTATTATACAGAGGACATTCTCGATCTGTGTTAATATGCCCCCATTGGTGACATTTTATGCATCTCACATTACGAACACATACTCCGAAAGGCTGGTCGTTTAGCGTCTGTTTGTCATCTTTCATCCATTTTTCACGAGGTGCGTTCCTTTGCCATTCAAATTTGTATTCCGTTGTGTCCTCTTCTTCTTTTTTCTTTTGTAATCCGGGAGGCGCATCATACATGAAACTCAATCCCAGTTTAGCCTTGCTGTCTCCCATTAATACCCTAGTTTCATGCATATCTTGTTCTTTTCTGTATTGTTCCATCATTTCCTCCTGTTTCCTCTTTTCGTGGTCAAGTTTTTGTTGTCTCATCCATACTCTTTTGATGTTGTCTCTTGATGCTGGATGAAAATCCTTCTTGCACATATAATTATTGAATGATTTCCCCATTTTGCTTGTTTCAGAGAGACGTAAAAACTAATAAAATTTAATTAGTACAATATCTGAACAAATATGAGAAAAGTAAAAGGTTAACAGGGCGGTTAGGTTTTGGCTTTAAAAATTTAGCCATCAGTCAGTCTATGGCAGTTGGCTAAACAAACAGAACTGCAGAACAAGACTTGCCAGAAAGGAAACATAAACAAATAGAATCAATCGAACCTCTGAACCTCGATAGCTGTTTCTCTTTTCCAGTTTTCAGATTTCAATGTCAGAATGTTGATTTGCTCTAACAGTCTAAATCTCATAGTACCGGTACGTAATAAAAAAAATCCTAAGTTTATCACAGATAACTACACAAGAATGGTGCAGTTCCCACTTAAAGATTCTCGCACCTCAGTTCTTACAGACTTAACGACACTAATGCCCGTTCAGACGTTACCCGTTACCGATACAGGCTTACGAATACGATGCCTGCTGGTACTGCGATAGGGATACGAAATGCAAGTGTTCCGATCAATTTTGTTCGAAAATGTTCTGGTATCATCTTTTGAACACTTATGACGTCATGTGATCAAGGTTTAGTAAATTCTGAAATTCCGTTGCCAGACGACTCACTCAAAAGCTTCTACACAAAAATCTTAAATGTGCTCGACTTCGGAATTGTTTGATTCATCTATCTCAGGCATTTAAAGCGTCTATACTAAATGTCAAAACAAATTTGTTCTTGTTCTTGGCTCCGACCTTTGCCCCCAAAATCAAGAGTATTTTTAGTGAGTTAGCGCTTACAAATTGGTTTTAAAAAGAATTCGAGATAGTTTTATATTTTTTACCATGCAGAGGTAATCAAATGTTTAGATTTACGGAATTTCCTCGCCGTTTCACGGTGAAATGCCATCTTGTCAATGGCCAGTCGCATCGTGGCGATGTACAGGTATCATTCATCAAATTTGATACGTAGGGTACCATACCGCACGGCGCACGGTACCGGTACCGTACTTGGCAAATGTCATGTACAGATTTAAGAATGTAGTCCGCTATGTTGAGACTATGCAAACCTTTATTTTGTGAACTTACCATCTTTTTCAAAGTGGTTATAGCCTAGTAAGATATCCAGAACCGCAATGTCTGAATGTGGTTTCGCGAAAATGTAATTGTGGAGAAATACATCAATTTTCCTCAGTGTTGTGTGTATAAGAAAAGATATTTAATATGGTCTTTTGTCACTCTATATCTTTCTAATATAACTATTGTGCAATATCTTCAAAAAATACTTATTGCTTGATTACCGTACATAAGCGATGCAATATGCTTACATTGATTTCAGTTTGAAGCTGTAAAATACTCAAATCTAACTGTATAACAGTAAAATGGGAGCAAAGAGACAAAAGAACAATCCTAAACGGGAGAAAAATAATCAAAAAAAGACCAAACTGCTATCAAATAATATTATTGCAACAGCAGTGGGATTATTTTCTTGTATTGCGGGTTTCTATATTGTGTATTTTTCAAATCCGCACCAAAACAAGGTGGTGACAATAGAAGACATTGGTGGGAGCTATAATATTACATGTTCAGAGGATTATAAAGAACATCCCATTTTTACTGAATGCACTCCAATTAAAACTTGCGGACGTTTTGTCCGGGATAATATTGTGAGTGATGAGGAAGTTGAGCAGTTACTAGCTCTTGCAAAACGAGGTTTTGCACATGGTGGGTCTGATGGTGGAGCATCAATTCTTGATTTACATTCTGGGGCTTTGTCTATGGGTGAACGTTTTGTCAATATTTATGAGTTTTTAGAAAATGATGCTCTTTTGGAAACATTTAGAGATGAAGACTTTGAATTATACAACGATGTTAAATCCAGAGTTCACAAGACAATTTCAGAAGCATTCGGAATCGATCCTTCAAAATTATATTTAACGCATCCAACCTTTTTCTCATCAATCACCAATACTTCAGCAAAAACTCAGCATGATGAATATTGGCATAAGCATATAGATAAAATTCAATATGGATCGTTTGATTATACATCGCTGCTATATCTAACTAGTTATAAAAAAGATTTCGAAGGTGGAAGATTCGTTTTCGATGATGCAAATAGTGTCATCATTGAACCCAAAAGCGGAAGATTATCCTTTTTTACCTCTGGATCAGAGAACCCACACCACGTCGAAAAAGTGACATCTGGTGTAAGATATGCAATCACAATTTCTTTCACTTGTGATCCAAAGAAGTCAATAAAAGACCCTAAGATCAGAACATGATACAGCTTCTTAGCTTGATCTTACTCCAAGCAACAACTAAAAAAAATGCAATAAAGGGAAAATTGTCTGAATTGTTTCCAATTTGCCAAATGCGCTCTTCAAAAAAAATAAAGCTGGCTAGTACTTTTTGTGGAGCTTATGAGTACTTTCTAACTTAATCGGGTCTAATGTAGTGCCGTACCTCAAGTACTCCTAGTGGACGTAGCATAACAATTTTTGCACATGTCAATACTAACCCCAACCTGACTGCGTCAAATAAGGCCCTTCAAACTGTCATCCAAGATGCGCAGATGATCACCCGAAATTGAGCAAACCATTTCTCTCGTCTCAACGATCTCGATATTAGAGAGATTGCTGCCGTTAGTGAGTTCTGTATCGTCGGCATACTTTGGCAACCTCTGTCGGTCAGGTGGGGGTTAGTATTGATTGACATGTGAAAAAAATCTTTCTGCGACACCCAGTAGAAGAAGAAGTTCTTGAGGTACGAAACTGCAGGAATACCCCTTGAATTGAATTGTATGCGTTTGGTGGATAATTCGCTGACAATTGGGTGAACCCACACGGCATATAATAAAATTACAACAGTGTACACAGAAAAACCTTTTTATTGCAACAGTGTTTTAAAATGCACAGAAGCTTTGATCATTTTGTTGCCTGTCATTACTGTTAATTGAAAATCATTAGTATTGTTGCTGTAACTTTAAATTAGTTTCTAATAAAAAGTCCTAGGCTAGCCACACCCAGCTTGCATATAATTATGTAACAAGCACTATTTCAATGAAACGCTGCTATAAAAACGTAATAAAACACCACAATCATTTTTGCCAATCTACTATTTCCAACACAGGGCTTTTAAAACTAATCTGAAGTGATGCTTGGCAACTGCCTGGAATGTTTAATGCCGGAGGAAATAAAATTGGAACAAAAGTATGGGACATTGTGCTTAAGAGGAAAGATACAGACAGAGAATGTGTACATGGTTACAAATAGAGCAATGTGACATGTCAGGCATGGGAATTTCAGACACATTTAAAAAAAAAAAAAAATGAAATCACCAACACTAGACTTATGTTATAAAATATTAGTAAAATCAGTTTCCAGTTTTATCTTAGTTGCGCTTGGTGTCTCCAGTCTAGAGCCATAAACATTCAAACTATAAAGCAGGTCTCATTTGAATGGGAAGAACGGATTAATCGAAGGAAAAAATACATGATAATCTTCGACCCCTTATACACATAGATTTATCGAAGCTTTATAATTGTTTGCCGAGCATGGCATTTCAGATCGTAGTCAAATCTGCTAAAATGAGGTCCTTCAATAGACAAATATATATGTCTCGGGCTAAATTTCATCATTCACCGCAAGCAAGCGGTTTTGCCATAATGGCGTTCATGGGAAACATGGTCAAAGAAAGCCCCACTAGTTAGACCCTATCTAGATAAACATGGCTTTCAATAGGCCGGCAGTGGCGCAAATAAATACATCAGAAGTGCAGTCACAACACAGTGGAATATGTACATAAGGAACAAAAAATCTGAAATATATGCACCGCAGTAAAATGTTCCATAAATATGCAATACAGTGATCATCATAATTATGTCGTCAGTCTCGATTTGATTCATTGTTTACAGTGGCCTAATTGGAACAGTATGCTCTGCATAGACTCCTGAGTAATCATCAAAGTCATCCTGAAAATATAAAATAACAATTTGTGTGACTTTATACAATAAGCACCTACACAATAAGGGAAATCTAAACAATCACGTACAATAAAGCTAGCGATGAGATTGGGTATAGGATTGTTTGCTGCAGATATAGCCAGTTGCTAGTAAATACAAAGAGGCCATTGAATTAACTGCATCAGAAGTTCTATGCGTAATGAATTTACTTTATATTATTATGGTGTAATGAAGTGGGTAGGGATGCTGAACCAGGAAGATTCTGGTCCTTCCAAACTACGATAGGTAAACCTAAACCTAGGTAAACATACATAGTTTTAAACTTATATAACACAGGCTAGAGCTAAGATCTGGAGCCCGAGCCCCAGCCTGACCCGATATTTCGGGTCGGGCCTGAAATATCGAGCATTGCGTTCGGGTCGGGCCTATATTACGTTCGGGCCGGGCCTAAAATGTCAAACATTGCGTTCGGGTTGGGCCTGAAAAGTCAATAATTGCGTTCGGGTCAGGTCGGTCCTGATTTGTCAATCATTAGGTTCGGGTCGGGCCTGAAATGTCAATCATTGCGTTCGGGTCGAGCTTGAAAAGTCAATAATTACGTTCGGGTCGGGCTTATATATCGCTGGATTTTTTTATAAGTAAATATATGTTTATTAGAAACTATTTTTCAGAGTGGTTCCGATTTCATAAATATTAAATTTCGAAATTTAAAGTTTCGTAGTTCTTTGGATGATGATGCTTATTCACTCCTTTTTTTAAGGCATACCTCGTTTAATTTAATGTGCCCCACAAGTGGAGTGCAGTGGGACATTTGACACACGTTTTTGAATGCCTCTTGATGATAATATGTGTGTCGCTAGGGAATTTCTTAGTTTGCCCAGTAAAACCTTTAGCTACCCTCTATCCATTAGCCCCACATTGTCAAATATGTCCCAGCATTCCCCTATACTGTACTAAACTCTTGCAAGGACAATTCGAAGAACTAAATAAAATATGAAATTTCGGGCCTGCAAAGCCAGTTAGTTAGTCGGGTCGGGGCCTGCAAATCCATTTAATTAGTCGGGCTCGGGTCGGGCCTGCAAATTCAGTTAATTAGTCGGGCTATGGTCGGGTTTTATTACTCACGGGGTCGGGTTTTAATACCCACGGACCCAGGTCGGGTCGGGCCTGCAAATCCAGTTAATTAGTCGGGGTCGGGTCGGGTTTTAATACCCACGGACCCAGGTCGGGTCGGGCCTGCAAATCCAGTTAATTAGTCGGGGTCGGGTCGGGTTTTAATACCCACGGGCCCGGGTCAGGTCAGGTCGGGCCCGCAAATTGATTTAATTAATCGGGCTCGGGTCGGGTTTAATACCCACGGGCCGGAGTCGGGTCGGGCTGGAATTTTTTAGCCCAATCTTACCTCTAACACAGGCAATCAAAACAGACAAGTTTCCATGCATCACAATTATATTGAGGAAGTATACACTGTGATTAACATCTATCATGTTATGACAACAAAAATTAGTACGCTGAATAAATCAGGAAGCCGCAAATAGATGGGTCATATACCAATATTGGTAGTCAAACTATTTCCCTTTAGATGTCTATATATATGATTCATGGCATGCAATGATTGCATTATTTGTGTTCTTATCCATTACAATAGGAAATCATGTTAAATATCATAACTTACCATCGGCATCTCATGCAGGCGACTAAAACGGAATGTCTTGATATTCTTAAATATTTTGATTGCAACAGCAATAACAACGATTAAAACTAGACCACAACCTACAGCAACGACTGTAGCAAGAACAGGTGATAAGCCTTTTGAAGCTGCAAAATAAAGATAAAAAATTGAAAAATATATAAGACGTGACATTCTTATTCAAGAGTGTTCACATAGCGTATAATTTAAGTAATTATCGAAAGCTTAAAAATTGGATGACACATTCTCCTTATGAACATTTCCAAAGCCACAAATAGTTTAGCAATTATTTTGGATTAGAGCAGCAGTTCCCAAACCGCGGCCCGCATAACAATTAAAAATGGCCCGTCAAGCCTAAGTGAAATAGTGTTCAACAGACTTTGTTTCTACTTTTTGTGATCTATAGACACTGCCAATTGTTATGTCATTATTACAGTTTATGCACACTGGTCTCTCAATTATACGTATTAGGTATTGGGATAACATAGGGCAGTAATTCAGATATCAACCATATAAGAAAGCTTGAGATGACAAATAACAAACATAAACTACACTCTGGAAACAGATTTTATTTAAATCTTAAATAAAGAAATGGCAGCGTTCGTATTTCTGTATTGGAAAGAATCAAACTTCAGCGATTTGTCTTCTTTGTCCGCAAACCATCCCAATTCTGAAGGAATACGTCATGAAGCACCATTATGAGTTAACAAACATGTTTCAAAAAATGTCATGACTAAATCATCGTGCACTACGCTCTTCCGGCCCGCGAACACAACTTCCGATTCTAATTTTGGCCCGCGGCCAATAAAGTTTGGGAACCCCTGGATTAGAGTATTCTTAATTTTACTTCATTCGCCAAAATCACGAAATAATATAAAAAGTTTAAAAATACTTGGTTTAGATCCAGTCAGCGTTCCATTCACCGTGCTATTGTGTGTTCCATTTACTGTACTACTTGTGAGTTGTTGTGAAGAAGTCACTTCTGAAAGATGAATGATAAAGTCGTATAAGAATTGAATACAACTTATGCCTTTGAGTTACCAACTTTTTTTTCGGAGAAACCCATACCCTGGTTCTTATGGTATGCTAATATTATTAATGCCGACTGAGAGTAAACTAAATAAATTGTGAAGGAAAGATACAAGCTAAGACAATGGTTATTCAGTTCTATCAAAATTCTCTGCTCAGTAGACATATATATTAGCTTGAATATATTGGGTGGTTTGCTCCCAATTGGGTGCAAATATACCTAAAGCCAATTTTTAACGTGTGAGCAAAGTTTTTGAATTACAAACCAAATATTTGGAGCTCCATAAGTATGTGCACCAAGATGGCGCACATCCTGAACATAGTGTGTGTACCAGGTTAGGGTTCAGGTTGTATGCCATATCTTTTTATGGTGCTTCCAAAGTATGCGAACCAAGATGGCGGACATCGGAACGTAACATGGGTAACAGGTTAGGGTTAGGCGATAATTTTTTTCCAATTTCCCTTATTTTAGTCCTATTATCAGTTCGAAGACTAGCCAAGAGCCTCCCGTAGTATTTATACCTAAAATTATGGCCTAACCCTAACCTAGTACACATATTACATTTCGATGTCCGCCATCTTGGTTCGCATACTTCGGGAGCCCCCTTTTTATATTTAATCGGCGGGCCATGTAAGGGTTCATTATAGCCACATTGCCTGGGCCGGATTCAGCCCAAGGGTAGTAGTTTACCAATGTCTGCAATTATCATAGAATATGCCAAATATAAACCAATAATAAATTACCCCTTTGTGTTTGATGAGAACCTGTCGTTGATTGAACTGAACTTCCTGTGGCGGCTGCAGCATTAGGCTGTGTTGTAGCATTGATAGAAGCATTTTTAGCAATAGAAGCTGATGGTGTAGTATGTGAAGCAACGACTGCACTTGTTGTGTTTGAAGTTGGATTTGGTGTGACGGTAACAATCGTAGAATGTGTCATGTTTACAGAAGTATGTGTAGTTGCATTGATTGCTGAAATATTTGATGTTTTTGTTGCCACTGTTGTGATAGAACTTGTATTCTGTGTAACATTATGAGTGCTATAATCAATCGATAGTTTTGTGTTGTTTGCATTAAGAGTCACTGAAATTTTCGATTTGCCAGGTAGAGATGATTCAGATTTAGTTTTTGAATCCAATGATGTTGATTCAGCTTTCCCCTCCTTGGTAATCTTCCCAGAGCTCGGCTCTGTTTCATTTTGAACGTTATTTGTAGATTTTATGATCCTGAAAATTAACAGATTCATAAATATTGTATTCAGCCACAGCTGTATGATACGTATCCATTCAAAAAGTACAATGTTCGGCCCATTACCTTATTTTATATTAAAGTCAGTCGAATATGAGATGTTTACCTGGTATATAAAACTCAAAAAAATATATACATTTTATGGCGAATTCACCATAATTTCCTTATATGGTATTCCTACCTCCTAAACTCGAACTACCTAAATTTTGTTGTCCTTGTCATAAAATCCTGTCAATGACTTTGACTCCACAATGGCATCTTTACCCCTCTTAAGAACTTTATTTGTACGAACTTTAGAGAGCGTTTAACACTTAAATTCATTTAATTTTTTAAAAATATATGGGTAACTTATGGTAGCTGAACAAACAATTGCCCATTATAAGGAGATATAATTTAACAAACAAAAAAACGAACCTTAGATAATCTGACTCTGTATGTCTTGTAGCCAAATATGTACCTGTTAAGAACAAGAAAAACTGCTAAAATATATATTTTATGTACTACTATTATAATCTAGTATAAAACAGAACAACATAAGGTAACCATTATATAATATGTCAAATATTAGATAGTTCATTATTTTGTGATTTTACTCCACATCAGATTACGGTAGTTAAAAAATTCAAATAAACATGAGTGAAGATTCGAATGAATGATAAAGTCATTAGAAAAAGGCATTCTTAGTCACACTAAAAATTTAACACTTTAATAAACAAAGAAAAAAATGTTGCATTTCTTTATAAAATATCTCAAAAAATAATCAATTTCTAACACTACGACTGGTGAAAGAAAATGTTGTTTTGATCAACTTACCAGTTATGAGAAAAACTATCAGTCCAGCACAAGTGAAAACTTTTTTAGGCATTATCAATTTCATTCAAATGAAATAATCTTCTACCAATCCCACTATATATCATACAATTTGACTTAGAATAAAACTGTAAGGATAAAAATGATCATTTTTGTAAATCAGTATGTAGAACAGCTATTGCACAAATTAAAATATGGGAATATGGATAGAATAATCCCAATAAAAAATTTCTGGATGATTTTCGGAGAATTCAGCTTAGACAAAATCTAGTAGTATCGGAAATTTTTCTTCTGGATACTTACCCAGATAACTTAAATTAAACAGTAAAAATCCCACATTTGCCTATCTAAATTGGACAAAACCTAAATGAATATTAGTAAAAACATCAGAATGCAAAATTGTACAAATATGGACCAGGCTATTGCCATTCATTTAGAAACAAAATGCAAATATCATGGAATAAGGCGTCAATTATCTTCGATGAGATCTATGTCTGTCATAATATTTTGATGATTTCTCTTTATGTTCAGAGTGACGATCTCTACTAGATCTATGCTTTGGAAAATGTCTTTCATTGCTTTTGAGAGAAATAGGTTTACTAAATGGTCTATCACGTCCTCCAAATCGCAATTGTCCTGATTCTTTTTTACCACCGAAACCGCCACCTAATCTACGAGGTATCCAACCAGGAAGAAGTCGTTCCATTTCATATTCAACCACTATATTACATCCATCTATTTCCAAGTTATTTGCGCGATGATGAGCCTTTTCAGTTGATTTGCTACTTTCGTATTCTATAAAGGCATATCCTTTCGAATATCCAGTAACTAAGTCCTTTATGACTGTTAGATTTTTGATATTTCCATACTTGGAAAAAATTTCATGAAGCTTGCTTTCAGTTGTTTTTAAATTGAGTCGTCCGATAAATAATGTACAATGTTTATCTCCTTTGACACCCTTGTTTGGTCGATATTTCGAATTTATAGCTCGCCATATTCCTCTATCATGAATATCCTTTCCGATGCCATCAATATTTCCACACTTGACAGGGTCGTATGTTTTTGCCAAACGGCTAAAGGGTTCAGATTCTGATGCCATTGATGTATTAACTCATTTCACTGTAAATAAACACAGATTGCTTTTATTTTGTCATTTGTGTCAGTCATGCAGTATATCTGTATATAGTAAATGTGATGGCATCTAAATTTGGCCAATCAATTAAATGTTAGACTATGTGAACAATCACGACAAAGTTTAAAATGGTTATGAAGGAAAAAACAAAAGACAATATATATTAAATTGGAAGTTTTGTGGAATTAAGATTTTTTTTCTCCTAAAAATCTTTCAATTGAGTCTGATTACCTGACTGGATCCAGAAATTTCTGAATTTGTTAAAAATAAGGAAAACTAAAATATTCTTAATAATTAATGGTATTGTTGATGGTTATTCTGTTTTTGGCGCATCTTATTGAATAAAAAAAATTACATAGCAAAAGTAAAAATTTGCATGCTTTCGCAGTGTTTAATATAAAAAAACAACACTGGTAAGAGCATATTCACTAAACTGAATATATATCGTTTCACTTTCTTACTCACTTTTTTCGGGACGCAAACACAGATTTATTTTTATTCAAGTAAATATGCATACACACTACCGTACCGTATTTATGTGTGATACGGTAATCGTTAAAATAAATGCGACTTGACTGTTATCATATTACAGTACCGTATGATCTAATATTTCTACTTACAAATTATGTCAGTATGATATATTCTTTCTTTATATTAATTAAAAAAAGTATACCGGTATACATCTTTACAGCTTGCCTGGTATGTCCGTACCGCCATAGTCAACAATACCACATCAACAATATAACAAAAATCTGACAATATCACATACAGACATGGGATAACAAAGGCATCACGGGTGGCAGAGGCAAACAAACAACAATTTTATTAATTTGCTAGCGCCACCCTGCTGCAGCACATTATGAATATGTGATGTGGCTTGACATGTGTCTTCATTCACAAGAGCCAACGCTTTGAATTATATGCACCATGTCGGGTCTTCTTCGCGTGCTGTTAAATGCTAGTTCAACGTCACAGGTAAGTTTTATTTAATTATACTGGAAGCAAAATCATTTTATTCGACATCTTTCACATTCAATATAGACTCGTGTACGGTACCACCGTACATTTACTAACTGACTAATTAGTGTTAATGTTATTTTGTGAAAATAACAGCTCTCTCTCTGGAAAATTTTGGAAAAATTTCACGCAAAAAAATATTTCTTAGTATGTATTTATCTACTTAACGATGTGTCCTATAGCTTTCTACTTATTCGGATTTGTGCTAGACACAACCAAGAATTCCATAGGCCTTCACAGTATTTGCAGTATTCAAAATCGGCTTCATTTATATATTAATTCTTGTGATCTCCCAATAAATCCCTATTTGGATACCAACATGTGGTTCAAATTTCCATCAACCAAAGACTGAAGAATTTGTCAGAAGTTTATTACATTCAATTATCTACTTCATATTTGCTGTTTTTTGTTAAATCGCCTTCAAAGTACTGCCCGTTGTAAATCGCGTTTTTCTGTGTTTGTTTTATTTTTTATTCTTTTGGTGGGCAGGCATGTACATCAAATGTTTTTTAACTTTATTTTGAGTTATGACCTTCTCCCAGATATCTCTTCATTTTGTTTTGTCTGTTTGCTTTTTGTATTTTTGTTTATGTCAGAGAACCAAAATAAATTATTGATTGATTGACTTTCATGATTTATTTGGAGTTTATATTGATTGTCGCGTGGTTCGGAGCAAATAGCAAGGCTCTTTTTACAGTTTTACATTTATGGATTAAGCATTTACATTCTACCCAAGGATATCACGATTAGGCCTGCATGATTTATGCTAGAATATTTTACTTTTTTCAAGTTACTGAGATTATACGGTTATATATCTTTCCTATTTACTCTCAGGTTTTTCGTCAATGTTATCAAAGAGGAATAAATTATGGAACAAGATCACTACATAATGCAGCTGCTCAACAAAGAGAGCCAGATGAAAAAGTAGCGTATACATATTTTTCAGTTTGACCCACCCATTTATATTTTACATGTGTCACAATGACACTCTTGTTTTCATTCAATTGAAACAATTTGAATATTTAATAAACGTAATTAATTATGAATTAATATAATTTTGTTTTTCAGACATTTGACAAGATACTTATTGCTAATCGTGGAGAGATAGCATGCAGGGTAAGATTCTTTATCCAGGAGTCCTCATCAGAGTTTTCACCATTGAGCCTAATAATGGTTTTGTTTTTCATACTGCAATAAACCAAGGCGAAAGTATAAGTGAATCAAATGAATCATTTTGATAATTTTCCATTAGCTTTTCCCTACTTCTATTCATCAGTGCCTGGTAAAACTCTGCGAACCCTTATCTGGAAGTACGAAGTCCAGCCAATCCATCAGTTAAATCTCACTGGCAATTAGTTGAGTATGAGTCGAGTTACTTCATTAGGCTAATTTGAGTCATTTCAAGTCTTTGATGAATAGTTACTCAAGTCGAGTACTCTAGCCCAGCACTGGTATTCATATCAAATAAAATATTTACGAGAATATGTTGTCGTGTGTGCATAAGTGACTGACTAATCATTGAGAATTATACTCATATGTACAACATAAAATTGCAGGTAATGCAAACTTGTAAGAAGATGGGAATATCAACCGTTGCAGTTTACAGCGAAGCAGACAAAAATTCTGTTCATGCTCACATGGCAGATGAAGCATATTGTGTTGGTCCACCACCTTCTAATTTAAGTTATTTGGATATGAATAAAATATTAGATGTCATTAACCAATCTGGTGCTCAAGCGGTGAGTATTTTAGGCCAATCAAAATATTGCATGATTGTGTTTTTCAATAGAGATTATTTACGTTTCATATCAAATTTCATATTATTCAATTGATTAAAATAACAATCAGGGAAATGGCTTAGGAGTAAAAGCATTAGACTTAAATCTGTTGGCATCGTAGCTCAAAATCTCTGGTTCAAATCCCATGCTATCCACCCCGCCCAGGGTGTGATAAATTGGGTAGGCAAAGCCGAACTGGAATGATTCCGGCCCTTTTCAAAATAGTAACTCTTATATATTGCTAGATAGCATTGACTGTTATACGAAGCTTTGTTCAGAGCAAGAGGTGAATACAAAAACTAGTTTTGATGACTGGTTTTGATTTTACCATTGTTTTCTTGGTAAATTGTTCCAATTTCTTCTTTTTTCAGGTACATCCAGGTTACGGTTTCCTTTCAGAAAATAGAGTTTTTGCTGAAAAGTTGGTAAATATTTTAGAATTTCAAGTTTTCATATCAATTATAACTTTTTAAGAGCTGTTGTTGTGATTCTGTCTTTTGGGCGGGTTGAATAGTTAAATTGTCTAAACTGGTTAGTATGGAGTATTTCTCATTGTTTTTAGGCTGAAAAGAATGTTGCCTTCATAGGACCTGGAACTCATGCAATCAAAGTAATGGGAGATAAAATTGAGTCTAAGTTAGTTGCAAAAAATGCTGGAGTGAACACAATACCAGGTTTCGATGGAGTTGTTGAAACACCTGAAGAAGCTGTCAAAATCGCTAATGAAATAGGTATGGAGGGAAAGCTTATTGATCCTTAACTGGAAAAAGATAGTTATTTGCCGGTTGAATCATTTTTTTGCTTGGAATTTCTGGATAGGGAGTTTTAGGCCATATCTACGAACAAAGCTCATAACAAGATCTTGCTTACTTCTTTTCCCAGAAGGGCGTAAATGACATAGGAATCTTTTAATTTTAGATGAACCAGAATCTTTTGACGTTATACTAAACTTATTCTACCAAACATAAGCATGGTTGGGGTAAATAGACAGACAATTCCCAACATTTGAAATAATCAGAATCTTTCAAATCATGCATAGTCAGGCAAGTTTATCACACCCTAGTCTCAGTGGTAGGAATAATTAATTAACTGATGGGATAACCAGCGCTCCAACTTAAATTCTGCGGTCTGACATGGCATTACGTAAGCTTATCAATTTGACCACTGACCACTTCAATGCTGAGTTTACAAACCATTATCAATCCAACACTATACCAGGTTATCCTGTAATGATCAAGGCATCAGCTGGAGGTGGAGGGAAAGGAATGAGGATTGCTTGGAATGATCAAGAAACAATTGAAGGATTTCGATTCTCATCACAAGAAGCTGCATCTAGTTTTGGAGATGATAGATTATTGATTGAAAAATATATTGACAATCCAAGACACATAGAAGTGCAGGTATATATCTCTTTTTATCAAGCTATCATCTACATTTTGTTAAACTTCATTTTAAATAATCTAATGTCGACTAATATGTTGCTTGTTCTGGATAAGTGAAATCATTATATAAATAGCTATACTCTAAACATAAGAACAACATCTTTATGTACAAGAATCTAGAATCGGGGGGGGGGCAAGGTTTTCAGACCGGGGGCCAAAAATTTTTACAGTGTTACAAAAGCAAAAGTCTAAGGCCTGTTGCCAAAACTCAATTTGATCGCAATCCCAACAAATTCTTGAGCTATTTTTTGCTAAAACAGCAAAATTTGATATTAGTTTGGTTATGACAGCATCAGGCGGGCCAGATGGAATCACTAAATGAGCTGGATTTGGCCCGTGGGCCATAGTTAGCCCATGTTTGATCTAGAATCATTTTGTTTATGTTGGTTCTTGCCACTGTCTGCTCGATAGTTGGTCTAGTATTAGTTGCATATTCATCATAGCACTGCTTATTAATCTGTGTGAGGTTACAATTTTGTAACGAAAGATCTCGTGCCAAAAGAATGCTTTTTTTATTTTTACTCGAAGGTTGGAATGGCTAAATTTAGTGAGGGACTGTGGTATACCATATGATCAAGACATCTTATTGTTCAAGACAAATATGAAATTTTTGTTAGGATCAGGATTATCTAAGCTGGTTTAATTTTTCACAATATCACTATGATAATATGATCTTGTGTATACTGGTAGAATATGTATGCAGCTTAGTCTGGTCTCGTCAAAGGTATGAGGCAAAATGTTCAAATGACCAGTAGATGAATTTTGTTTCAGTTTGAGTTTCAGTTGCTTTTTCAAATGACTGGATTGATGTTAGTGTAACAATTCTCAGGTTCTAGCAGACAGTTATGGCAATACACTATGGTTAAATGAAAGAGAATGCTCAATACAACGTAGAAATCAAAAAGTTGTAGAAGAAGCTCCATCAACATTTCTTGATCAAGATACTCGAAAAAAAATGGGAGAACAAGCTGTCTCACTTGCTGCAGCAGTGAAATATCAAAGTGCCGGTATGAATGTTGTAATTTTGGCCAGTATCGTTTAAAAATATGCTATGTTTAAATAGGTTCACTGTAGAAATATATAGCTATAGCTATAGATAGAACATGGATGGATGATTTCAAGATGGCAAATTTTACATTTTTCACCTACCTACTTGTAGTCATACGAATTCTTGCTATTCTGATAATTTACTTCAGAACTTCGAATTTTGGCAAAAATGTATTTCATCATTTTTACAGGTACAGTGGAATTTTTAGTTGACTCCCAGAAAAATTTCTATTTTCTTGAAATGAATACAAGACTTCAAGTTGAACATCCAGTTACAGAATTAATAACAGGTAGCATTTGTAATCCAGCTGTAAAGTTGTTGAAATGTCAAGTTCAATCTTTGGCTTGTACATTGGAGAAACTTAATTATGACTCAGTAATGAATATGGTATAATGCCTGATATTAAACTATTCTATATGTTTATTAGTCACTTGAATTCAGATAAACAAGTTATAAGTTATGTTTTTACTAATCATGATAATACTACTTTTTGTTATATAATTCAGGACTTGATCTTGTGCATGAAATGATTAGAGTTGCTGCTGGTCATCCACTCTCGATTCAACAAAAAGATGTCAGAATAAATGGATGGGCTATCGAATGCAGAGTATATGCAGAGGTAGGTGGAGTCTTAGTAAATATTAACCATTCAGTTTAAACTACCATTTTGATGTTGATTTTCCTATTTTCCCAGAATTTTATATTTTACTTTTTTAAATTTAAGAATGCTCTATGACTATCGAGTATCGAGTACTCTATAACAGGGCCACTCAACTATTTTTACCGAAGATCCGCATACAAAACTTCAAAATTATTTGGGTCCGGTGTTTCCAGAAATAATATTTCGGCATCCTTAAACGCGCACTTCCTCGACCGGCTAATAAATATTAGCTAATCAAGATTGTTTGTTATGGTGTTATAGTTCTTTTCCTATATTCAAAACTACAAAAGTCATTTTATAAAAACAAAACTTAAAAAGTGGGGCCAATGATCCAAAATAAAGTATTAGCTGCGGTCCAAATCAAATACCCGAAAGGTCCGGATTCGGACCGTGGTCCGCCAGTTGAGTAGCCCTGCTCTAGACATCATTGTATAGTCAAGTTTTCAAACAATATGTCCCAAAAACTTTTTTAAATTTTGATAATTTTCGTTTGCTTACATTATCCTATGTTTCATTTCTAGGATCCTTACAAATCATTTGGTTTACCTTCAATTGGAAGATTGAGCAGATATTGCGAACCAACAGATATTCCTGGAGTAAGATGTGATAGCGGTATTAAAGAAGGAAGTGAAATCAGTATATATTATGATCCGATGATTTCTAAGGTAAGGTTTATCTTACTGAAGCTGGAAATCATGGAAAATAAAAGATGCGAGTTTGAAATGTTTATAATTTTAATTAACTCCCAACTTTTTATGAACAACTTCTTTTTTATCTTTTTCAGCTTATAAGCTATGGAAAAACAAGAGAGGAAGCTTTATCAATTATGTGTAATGCGTTAGATAATTATGTCATCAGAGGTGTAACTCACAATGTTCCTTTATGTCATGAAGTTTTAAGGCATCCAAGATTTGTGTCGGGTGAGTGATATGCTTTAGTAAGATTAGATTAAATTTACAACATTATTCACGAAGTGTGTTAAATCATTGCTTCTATTAAAGTCTATGCTGTGAACTGTCAAAGATTTACATGGTTTAAGTTTTCCGAGTCGTTCGTCATAGTCTGTCCAATTTGTTACACACTGACTATGGAGTTTATTCAGTGTTGCGCCCATCATCTTCAACCTGTACCGTAAGGGTGTTTCAACAAAGCCACCATATTCAGAAAAATGTGTAACTGAGCATTTAAAGGTTGCTGTTGAATTTTTGGCAAAAACTCAATTTGGTTTGAAGTTGATAGGAATGATATAGAAAATACTTTTTTGTTATATTTTGAAACTGAATATTTTTTCACTTCTTTACAGGTGACATCAGCACTAATTTTCTTTCTGAAGTATACCCTGATGGTTTTAAGGGTAAAACTTTATCTACTAAAGAACAAAATGAACTAAAAGCAATTGCTTGTGCGTTCTATGCGTGGCAAGAAGATTATGCCAGACAATACCTCAATCAAAACAGGTATTGGATAATTTTATTTTAATTGTAACAAAACCCATTGTCTATATGACGATTCAATATACGGTACTTGCTACGGAAGACACCATGCAAATGACGATTGGGACCATACATCCATCTCTCTACTAATCCTGGTCAGAAAGCCAAACCTTATCTATGATTGTGTACTTTTTAACTCATGATTTCGCGTTTCATATGTAAGAGTAAGTTATCTTGGTTGATAATTTCCTCCAATTATTGTACTGCATATTGAATATTGATAAAAAATTATGTTGTCTGGTATTGACTCCACCACCTCCAGAAATGCAATTTTATAATCTGCCTAACAAACAATATTTTATATCTTAGATTACCAGTTTTAGGAAAAGAAATATCATGTTGGAATGTTGAAGTCGAATTAGAAAATGATTTTTCAGATGCTGTTGTAACAAGAAAGGATAACACATATGAAGTAAATGTAACTTTTTGATAGTATTTTTTTTATCTTATAAGCTCTTCAGCTAGACGAATACAGGCACTAGAACTGTAAATAAGACAGGCTTGACTTGAACTGGTTTAATCAAATTACTTTCCAATGCTTCCATATTCAATTCCAAGGTTTGGGTAATTTATTCCAATAATTTTATTTCAATTTTTCTTATTTTAGTTCTATTACGAGTTTGGGGACTAGCCAAGTGACTCCCGTAGTATTTTTACTTGGAATTATAGCTTAACCCTGCCCTGGTACACATACTACGTTCTGGTGTTCGCCATCTTGGTTCACATACTTCAGGAGTACCAAAACTACAGCCTCAAGAATCATCTTTTGAATGCTAGGCATGTTAGCAAATCATGTTGATATAAATATCATCCATAATAAAACAAGTCTTTCTGTTTGTCCGCTAAATTTAATTGTAACACATATTTGAAGTCTTACTGAAACGCTTTTCGACTCTGCCTTTACATCTGTTAAAATGGGATGTATATATACATCAACAATTTTGATATTAAATTAATTCATTTTAGATTTCAACGATTGATGGAGATATCGCTCTTTCAGCAGATTGGTCATTAACTGATCCTGTTCAATCTGTATCAGTAAATGGAGGAAAACCTGTATCAGTACAATGCATTAAATCTGATGCCAATGGAGAATTTTCAATCCAATATCAGGGTACACTGGTGAGTTTCACACCTTATCAGTCAGTGATTATCAAGGAGCTTCCCTATTGTAGATATAACATGATCTTTTCGGTTGAAGAGTTCAGACCTGTCCAAGAAAATATACCCTGGTCAAGATTCTAGGTATATGATAGGCCAAGGATATAGCTAACTTCAAGTATGTTCCATGAGTTATTGATGGTTGAGGATTGAGGTAAAATTTACGGTAGATATTTAGATCACAGATGTTAAAATATCCTTGCAATATATTAGATGTGTTGAGTTTCAGTTGAGTCTTATTTCGTGCACTTGGTATCTAGGCATCATTTTTGATTTATTAATAAATCAGTTTCGAGGGATTTTAAGTTTTTTCTCATATAGTTCACAGATTCGAGACTTTGAAACGTTTTTCAAGAGTATTCTCAATAGTGTTTTATATTTATTCTAGTTCACACTGAAAGTTTTATGTGAAACTGCTGCAAATTTACGTGAATTTATGCCTGAAAAAATACAAGAAGATGAAACATCGATGTTGAGATCTCCAATGCCAGGTATGCAATCAATATTCTTGTGTAATTGCCAGTAAAGATCAAACTAACATTGCTTTTTTTCCTATTAATTCAAGGAACCGTCCTCTCAGTTAATTGCAAAGCAGGAGATGAAGTAGCAGCAGGTCAAGAAGTTTGTGTTGTCGAAGCGATGAAAATGCAAAATAGTTTAACATCAGCATGTGATGGACGAATTAGACGCGTTTGCTGTGAACCTGGCGATAGCATTGGCGAGGGAGATTTAATTATCGAATTAGAGTGATGTTGACAAAAAAATCCCTAATTTATTACATAGTTGATATCTTGCCAAACTATAATTCAGTACAAGTTGCTGTGTTAGTAGTAGCATACTATACCAAGTTCCGAGACATCTTCTCTAACTTCTTCTCCTCACTGTTAAAACTGTCTGATAAAATTCCGTACTACATCTTTTTTCTTGCTAATCTCTGATCATGTTCTTGAAAAATATCGACTTGAACACTTTCATCTTATAATTGTGCTCTGGGATGTTTGGCACCGAGAAGTGCTTATATTTTCTGTGTTAAATCGCTTGTAGTGTCATCTGTTCTTCTTACCATAGAAAAAGTACACCTTTATTATATATATACATTTTATGTGAACTTGTTTTTGGAGGTTACTGATAAGTGTAAGCATTGGGAGGAAGTGAAGTAAGTTTGTGGTGATTTCAATGGTGTAATGTTCTGACAACTATTTGCGATATCCTTTATACACTAGGGCAATTAAATTTTTAGAGGCATTTGCTGAGATGTGTGTTGGTATTAGTTGTCCATAAAACAGGGATTGCGGCGATAGAGTGACTCGTAACTAGATAATGCTAAATATCTGTTGGCTGTGGTGATGATGATTAACGTATTTTGGTGCAACCATTCGACTTGCTGCGTCAGTCGTCAAGCAGCGATATCCTAAGATGTTTCTTGTTCTGAAAGGTGAGATAGATGTTTGTGGCATTGTATGCTGTCATAGTAAAAGGTTGCTATAATAGGAAAAATCTCGCCTGAATTCGTACAAGGTTGTGGTGTCTTACTCGATATATGTATGATTCAGTGTCAGGTATGGTGCTCTAGTAAAGTTGTATAGTCATTACTTAAAATCTCAACTTTACAAAGCAGCTCCTCAGAGTAGTGCGCACTTTGGAAGTGAATATGATATATTTTATCTACAACGCCTACGTTTACGATTGTAAGTATAATACATAATTATAACACAATAACTATATAAACCATGATTTCCATATAAAAATGTAATTTTTTATAAATACCACGGGCTCTCTCTCTCTTTGCGTTATGAACTACCACGCGATGTCGAATTGTTGTTATCTGAGACCAGCGAAGCATGTCAGCGTGCTTGGCGATGGATGCTTTTGGTTCTAAAATACGACCAATACGCGATTTCTTCAGATTGTTTGCTTGTTTTTATTATATTATGTCTGATATTTTGTGAATAGTCACAATGAAGAAGAAAAGAGATTTTTTTAAAATTAGACTGCAGGTAGCGATACGGACGCAAGGCCACCTAAGTTCAAAGCCAATGTCTGTTGTGCACATTCCACGGACCACTGGTTTAGCAAGTAAACGGGGTAACTTCTTAAAATAACCGGCTTGTACTTTGTTAGACTCCATTCTACATCGACATCCCATGCATTCAGAAATCTTCACAGTCACATATTGACAGATAAATTACAGTTAGCTCACATGAGATTCATGGTTAAATATGACCCTATAAACTTGATGTCACCACATTGTGTTTTTGATTTATTGTGTTTTGACTGTTTTTGGGGGACAGGCACGTACTTGTACGTATCTAACTTTATTATTAAGTTATGCCCGTCCTCCAGGTCCTCTGTATTTTGTTTGCCCTTTGTTGTTGTTTTGTTTTTTATTTGTATCAGAGTGACCAAACAAAATTGATTGATTGATTGGTGAATGTTTTAGAATTCAAATGATCTTTTGAACACCAATTGTTACTTCAAATGAGTATAGTCTCACATAATTCAGTAATTAATGATTCCATGCCATAGCATCACATTATGTCTGGGCTAAACATTGGTAATCCCAATTATTGGAATTTTCCTAACTACAACCTAGTCCAGTATCCTTGATTTTGAGTTATAGGCGAACTAAATACTTCTAATACTTGGTCATCAATTCATTTAATGTGGCCACAGTCCATTAGGCTTTTGCCACTTAAATCATTATTTCTATCGTTCTTAATATTTAAGGAAAGATGGGGAAATTCATTCCCATTAGGACTTTTGTAGATAGAATATCTCAGTCTCGATGATTGTATGTGTGTGCGTGCATGCCTTATTTAGCTTTAATACTTTTGGGTAAGCGAACTCGTACTACTTCTTTTATCAATACTTTCCCACCTAAAATCTGTATGCTTTAAACCTTACTTGAGGTTTCGTTTGCTTTCCCGATTTCATAGTCAGTTTTATTTAATTGTTTATATCAAATATTTTATCGTCTATTGCTGATTATGAAGTCGAAATAAACGTATACCTATATAGACAATCCACTTTCATCCTCATGTAGATCAATTTGAAAAGGCGAATATGAAAAGCCTTTCCTTCATCTATTAACAAGAAGGACATGTATAATTTTGAATGTTATATATTTTACTATAATTTGCCTAGGATTCGAGAGTTGCAAGCTATTTGGATGTGAATTTTGATTCTTTAATTGAAAGTTCAAATCTAAAAGTTTAAAAATTTGGATCTGAACACTCTTATGTCCCATGATATCTGAATTCATCCTAAGACTAAGGGCACACAGACACTGCCAGTACTAATTATCCCTTTTTCACCATTGTGTTTTAATAAAAATTATCTGCAATAAAACACATTATTTTATTAAAAATGCTTCGTTGGGCAAAACTAAAAAACGGTATAAAACCTAACCACATGCCATGGGGGTAGGGCAAAATCAGGGTATAAACTGTGTTTTATTATGTGCCAGATATTTTATATACAAATGTAAACTGCGTAATGAAAGGCCTCAATTTTGCCAATTTTTATATATGATAAAAAATATTATAAACTGTGAAAAGATTATTGCAACTAAAAATGGTAAACTGTCAATCCATAATAAGAAGTGGAAAACTATTGTGTGCTCGTTTTTTTAAAATGCAATTGTATTTGTGCTATTGTGTCTATATAAATGTGTTGTGATAATGTGATGTTTTTATTAATAAAAAAAAAAATGTATGTAAAAAAAAAAAAAAAAAAAAAAAAACCACATGCCATGAATTTTATCAAATGTTTCTACTGCTCTAATATGGCTTGATATATATTTTTCAAAAAAATTACAGGGTTTTGTCCATTTGAAAATATGTTGTGATTGTGAGATTTTTTTTACCCAGTCTCATGTTTTTGTACAGGACCACTCTAGTCCTAACTACTGCATGATGAACAAAACTGTATAGATAGTTTATTGGCTTGCTTTCACATGACAATCAGTAAAATTTTCAATTTGAGATAAGCACTTGTCATTGTGGTCGATATGTCCTAGCAATTATTAAAATGTTGATTTCAATTATGACTGCATCCCATGTTAAATCTAGTTCAAACCCCATGCCCACTGCCTGACCCCTGGTGTAATAAATTATGTAGGCAATGCCAGAAAGATTCAGGTACTTCCAAACTATAGTAGCAGTGGTTGTTTGGTCTGAGACTTGTTCTGAGCAAAAAAGCATATAAATAGCCTGCATAAAAAATTATCACCCCTGAGAGCAATTTTATTATTAAAGGTAACAAAAATTAGTAGCATCTGATCAGTTCATAATTCTTTTCAGGTCTCTATTGAGAATCTGCATATCAAGTGAATTAATATAACAGAAAATACCATATTTCCCTCTTTCCAATGTTTACATGATTTATAGTAAACAAGTTGTATTGTTTCAATAATGTTTTAGTGAAACAAAGATTTTTCATTGTTTTATGATGTATCGAATATCAAACCAATTCACATTATTCAGTCAATGGTTTTATTTTCAATGAGAAATCGAGAATAACAAACAAAAACAACCACATATGTCTCTAAGAAGGCTTAAATGTAAAACAATGGAGGTTGCTATTGTTTGTGAGCAACAACATGCTTCCTATCAGTAACATTATCACTACTAGCATCAATTTACTATGAAAAATTTTAGTTAACATAAGTACTATGAACTATGATTTTTACTCAGTGATTGGAAATTAGATGAAAAGGTGCTGAAGATAAAAGATAACATGGTTTCACTTGAGTTCGATGGGTGCTGAGAAATTTTAGGACGCAAGTCTATTTTTTTCACAAATGTTTTAATATTTGTGTGTGTTGTAATGTGTAGCATATATAAGATGGCAGTTAAATGTTTTTAACTTCTTAGATCACTTGGAAATTTTTGGCTGTTATGACTGCATATTGATATGCTGCTATCTGGCGATGACATTTTATACCAGAATCTGGCAAGGGTGAATTATTCTGGTTTCTGGTAACTCCAATGTCGTTTTGTGCAATAAAATGAAACATTGACTCTAAATACTGAAGTTTTAATATATTAATTTCATCACAAATGATGTCTGAGTTAATCCTCTGTTATCATTGAGTTCATTTGATCTTTTACATTCATTTCTACAAGCTTTGTTTTTTGGAATTTATTTTAAACAGACTTTAATTTTTATTTAAAGCATAGTTGTAGTTAAGGTAGATATATTATTTTCGGATGCAGTATGTTTTATAATGTGTTACAATTGAAGATGTAATATTTTTTGAATATATTTGAAACATTGTGATTAAGCAACACTACAATTCAATATCAAATTGGATGGTTTATGATAAAAAAGAATGCCAAGTTTAGCAGAAATTCGCAAGATTTCTCTTCATACTTTACATAGGAGTGCGACCCAAAATTGGGAAAAACAGAACAGATCTTTAAGTCGCGATAAAAAATTTCTAAGATCTTCAAGTATGCCAGCTCTGAAAATTAGGAAGAAAAATGAAGGGAATCAGTCAACAAACAGACCAGAACGTGCCTCCTCATCAAAGTAGTAAGTTGTATATTGTATAATGGTAAGTTCTAAATTATAGATCGATACTATTGTAACATATCATTATTATTGAAGAAAACGATTTTGCATTGAAATGCCCACAGTGCAGTGCAACAAATAACAGTCATTTTTCTTTAATATATAGCTATTTGAATATTATGTAGACTTTATACCTGCTGATTATTAAAATGATTGAGTGAGTCAATTTTGTTAGAAAGCTTCTAGCCTTTTGAAGTTTTTTGATTGTTTTTTTCCCCCTTTTTCCATGCTTATTAGGTGCAGACTCAATATTTATTGGTGGTAAATTTTTCAACATGTTTAGAAAACTAATCTGAACTACCTTTTGCAATGCTATTTAGTTTGCCTGTTAGTGTTACGGAACATAATTACAGATGAAATGATTTTAAAACGTTTTTTTGTTTTTAGTATTGATGACACCTCTGGTAGGAAAATGTCTTCATCATCAGACTCTGGAGATGATAATGATGATTTAATATCAGAAAGCACTGACAGATCTTATCAGAATATCATGTTTGGATTTCAAAAACTTGCTAGATACGAGCAGCCACCTAAAACAACAGATATTATGGACATTTTATATAATGGAAGAGTTCACAGGTTGGCACAAGAATTATAGCATTATTATATTCATATGAGCTGTTAAGAATAGGATAGTATCATTTTTTTTTCTTTGGGGATAGAGGTAAAGCATAATACAACTTGAACATATTGCAAACAATACTTACAGTCAAAGTGTGGTTTTGAGAAAGTTACTTGAATGTGGGAGAAACAGTGGTGGGTTTCAGCTGGTTTGCACCGGTTCTATAGAACCGTCTCACAAATTTTCATAAGATCAGCGGAACAGGTTGCATTACTGGTTACTGTCAATGTTCTGTCTGTAACAAATATGACTTTTGTGATTGAACCGGCTGACAAAAAATTGGAATCTCACCACTGGAACCACCTCTTATATGTGAAACGCCCTGTGGCGGAGAGGAGTACAGTAATCCTCTTGCACATCATTGTCCCCATTGGATTTGAACTTGTGAACCATTGCAGAAGTAATTTGCGGTACGAGGCTACCGTGTTTTTGACAGTTACATTACAAATATTAGAAAAGTTTGGGGCCAATGTTTGTGGGATATAGATATTTTAATGAAGCTTGAAAAACATATTTATATGTAGAACTTTCAGTTTCAGACATAGGCTATTCATATAACGTTCAACTCTCATGGACTGTTCCACAGCCAGTGGGCTTTTGTGTCTGTGTATGCTGACTAATTTTTCCCTTTTTTGTGAGTGGAACTCTGCCCAGAAATTTTCAGATTTTACTTGAATATGTGCGAACAAATGATCTACTGTCTGTTTGAGATCCAAGCCCGTCTAGTTATGAGAGTTATTAATCAGGTGAATTTTACGTATTCCGCAGATTTTTTCTTCTTGATTCAAGAGGAATCGTTTCATGGGATCCAAGTGCAGAAAATACAGATAAGATAACAAGAGAATTACATTTTCCTAAATACAAAACCAAGCTTCTACGTTCTGTCATCTTCTGCAAGAAACATAATGTGTTCTTTGCGATATGCAGCGATTTTACTTTGAAGGTGATGTGAAGATAACTGTTTGTGGCGATTACTATGTCAACTTGTGTTTTAGTCACTTATATTTATGTATAGTCCAGAAAAAGTGGTTCCCAGAACTGTGCGCCGCGACAAGCACTAGTCTTGAAGTTCTATATGCATTGCAGATCATAAATCTGTTTATAAAATTAGCGGTACTTTTTATTTCCATATATCCAGAACTTTGCATAATATACCGTATATGCTCGTTTTACCGCCCGATCTTGATTAGGGCCCGTTTGAACAGCCGCCTGTGTGAACAGAACCTAAAAATAAATAAGGCCCGGTGCTGGAATACCCGCCCAATGTAAAATCTGATTTTTCAGTGGTAGAGAACAATAGGAAATAAGGAGAGCTTTTGTCACAACGCTGTTGAATTTTAAGCGCCGGTAGAGACCACTCACGCCTTAAGCGTCCAACTACATACGGTAATTGAAACTGTTAAAAGTAGAGTTGAGAGAGAAGTACGACTGGTTCTATTGAAAATTTCAATTGTGATATAAATGATTGTTATGTGCACAAAAACAATCTCATGTATTATATTCATTTAATGTGCCTTTTTATGAAATTTTCCTTGTCATTATTCAATGTTGATACTGTATAGCAAATTTTCTTCCTGATGCATCATGATTTGTATGATAGAAAATACAATAAATGCGCCATGAATTTAACAAGTTTGGTAATATCTGGTCTAGTACATTAACGAGCTGCTTTCTGTCTTGTGTATTTGGTTAACTAAGCAGAATCGTAATATGTGCAGACTCATACATCATTGAATTCTTCCTTTTCAATGCTTCAATTTTTTTTTCCGTTGATATGACCAGGTCTATAACAAAGATTTTCATGAAACATTCAAGACAGAAAACAAAAGCATGAGATCAATTTTACATCTGGTATTTAATCCAGTTACTGATGAATTAATTTCATCTGGAGTTGCTGGAACTGTTGTGTGGAAATATAAACAAACACAAAGAAATTTATTTGACACTATTAAACCAATGGCTAACTATGAGTAAGTATCAACTTGGTGTTATTAAAATTTCATTGAAAAAAAGAGGAATATGTAATTAGATTTGAATATAACTAAAAGGAATAATAACTTTTTCAAAGTGAACTAAATTGAAATGAAGCTTTTGGATCAAATGTATAACTTGTTAGAGCATGTCCTGTGATTTCGATAGGCATGCCTTACGTATCTATTGGTATCTATAGGTATAAATAAGATATTGATTGAAATTAGGGCTTGGTGGTGTGGCGCATTGTACTAATGTCACTGATCACATGGTGGTCTGGAGCCTTGTTTAAGGCAATATCGGGAAAATAAGGATACTTTGAACAAACACTCATCAACGCTTTTTGTACAGTCACATTGGATAAAATTTCAAGTTTTTTTTTGTATCTTAGGTATTTTATACCTACCTGGTTATGCATGTGTGCAAACCAAGACTGAGCGTGTGTTCACATGTGTATTGTTTATTCTTTTTTTTTCAGACTTCAATTACATGCAGAATATCCCAACATTGGGGGAACATGGTGCACCAAAGTCGAATTGATATCTTCTTCGCAATATCTATTCTATTGTTCTGATATGGATTTATATGCATATGATGCTAGAGATATAAGAAAACTCTTTGTTATTCATGGGTAAGTTGTAATTATTATATTATATGTAATGATCAGTTATCTAATCTGAGTGCATTTAATATTATTCTGCTCAGGGCTCACAGTGCTGCACTAACATGTATCGGATTTTCATCAACTCATCGAACATTATTAACTGGAAGTGTTGATTGTGAAGTCAAAGTATGGGGAGCATCTGGAGGACATGTTTGTACATTGAGAGGTCATTCTAGACCTGTTACAAGGTATGGAATTTTATTTGATGTCTGCTAATAAATGGTATGATAGTATGAACCGTCTATTCATCTGGTAAAGGCATATGACCCAAGTAACCAGCAACTAGTTCTTTAATATTTGACATTGAATGACGGTTCCATGGTTAACTACGGTATATGATTAGGCTGGTAAAATATCTACCTATTTTCCTCTCTCACAAAATAAATAGGAAAATCCTATCCTGTGCATATAATGTAATGATACTAGCAAGAGTAAATAAGATTATTCTATTATTTTTGCACCTCCACTCTAAACAAGACTCTGTATGAGGATTTACGATGAGGATTTTTATGAGGATTTATATTCATCTTAATATGTTGAAAGACCCCTGAATCATGACTCATAATCATTTTAATGGTTTTTGCTGAATGTATCATACCGATTTAACAATGTAGTGAAGTCTGACAACTTTGAATTTGTATTAGTAAAATAATTTTACTTTATGTGGAAATATTTCTCTCAATGTTATCATGTTCAAAATCAAGTATTACCCCCATTTTTCAGTATACTCAATGGTTAATATGATGGTTTAAACTTGCTTGTATGCAGATTATATCTTCATTTAATATTTCACCATGTTTGTTTGGAATTTTTTTTTGGTCGCTTGTCCAGCATTCTCATTCACCCTGATATACCAGGCCTGGTATTTTCAAGTTCTATGGATGGGACAATAAAAGTGTGGTCTCTTCATACCATGGATTTATTCTCAAGTTTGAGTGTATTTTCTGAGGGAATAAGATGGATGAATTTAACTGATGATGGAATGATATGGTGTGCCAATTTGAAAAAGGTATCTTGTAATGAGTCATATATATTTCCTGTAAAAGTGTAAACTGCTTATTTAACGCTCCAGAAATGTGTGTACCACAATGGAGGCAACTAATTTTGTTCGCCTACTTTACATCAAGTTGTGTAAAGGAACTGACTATATTCACGTTACTAATGCAGACAGTCCTCGAACTCGTAATAGAACTAAAATAAGGAAAATCAGAATAAAATTATGACCTAACCCAAACCTGGTACACACACTACGGGAGTACTCGTTTTACAAAAGAGGAGTAGGGACTGTCCCACAAACTGGCATTCTGGGATGAAACCAAATCAACTCATTGATTTTTCATGCCTCCTTCTGGAGAAATGTTCTAATGAAGAAGTCATTAATACATGTTTTAAGTGGCCACTATGCTTTGAAAAGACAACCCCTACTTTTTGACTTCCTGTATAAACTTCTCAATTCATTACACCTTGAGTGAGATAGCGGATATGGGGCTTGATCTCACAAGCTTTAACCTATCTTCAATCTGTTTACCAATCTTCAGCTGATTCCAACAACTATGTTTTATTTTTAAAATTTTGGTCATCTATTCACCTATCAAATTATTTCAGATATCTGTGTACAAGTTTGATGCTGTTGTTTCATTCTGGGGACATACAAGGTGTTGTATAACTGATCTGAAAATTCTCAACCATCCTGGTAAAACAAAGAGGCTTATGGCTGTTGGTGAAGATGGCAAGTATCTCTATTGTCTGTGTATTATTCTTATCCATGTGTCATGTTCTGGGCCATTCCAAACTGTTGAATTTCATCAATTTTTTTAAAGTGTAGTGAAAGTAATTGTTTTGTATTTTTTATGTCGAAAGACACTTGAATTTCACCCAGGTTTCTAATGATTTACACAAAGTGGCTTGAAATTTTGATATAATCGACATGTTTTGTGATGACTCGTATAACACGGAAGTGTTTGATTGTCTGGTACAGTTACCGTATATGCTCGCGAATAGGCCGAGTTCAAAACTAAAAAAAAAGGTTGCCAAACTAAGGGACCGTCGCGCATAACACCATACCAAGTTCTCACGATAAAAAGCGTGCACGCACACACACAATCGCTTGTGAAGGTGGATTGTCTTATCATACAGCTGATGGCTTGTACAGTCTGTGATTGGTTGTTTAACATGTGACGCTTGTACAGTCTGTGATTGGTTTGTTTTCGCTCGCTTGTGCAACAGTGTCGATTTACAGCCAGTTGTTTCGTGGTGAAAACGTTATTATTTGGTGCGCTATCGCCGTGGAGGCAATTAACTTTTAATCACCTTTACGATATGTTATCCGTTTAGGGGTGGTGATAAGGACTCTTATATCGAAATTAACCGCGTTGTGGACGATCAAAGGAAATTGTTCTATGCTGACTCAGGGACTCTCTCAAACTCCCGACAACAATCCCTTCCATTAATACAAATCACGACGCATGAAAAGCTATATAGAATTTATTAACATGAATTTACAAGTAAGAGTTACAAGTAAGAATCTACGGCCCTCGCTAACAAACAGAAATGATAAACGTGAGAAATATTTGTGTTACAGCAATTTTGTTTTCTTTCTGCGCCTTTCTTAAGGCGTCTGGCGTGTTAAGATTCATAGATATTTATAAGAATATGTTAATACAGCGTTTTTTCTTTCCTCTACAAGGAACGAAATTAATTGCCGTTGTGGCGATCAGAGGAAATTGTTTTATGCTGACTCAGGAACTCTATTTTAAACTACCGACACAATCATGACGCACTGAAAAGCAATATAGACTTTATTTAACATAAATTACCAAGTAAGAGTTACGGGTAATAATCCACCTACGGCCCTCGCTAACATGCACAAACGATAAACGTGAGAAATGTTTGCGTTACAGTAATTTTGTTCTCTTTCTACGTTTTTTTTTGAGGCGTCCGGCGTGTCACGATTCGTAGGACCGGCTTATGTGCGATTTTTCATAAAATCGCCGTTTCAAGGCCGTTTTTAGGGAGTCGGCCTATTCGCGATATAGGCGTAATTTCGAGTAAATACGGTATTTCATTTCAAATAGATTCACTGGACTTGAGTTAATAAAGCTTAAGTGTTTGCAGTGCTGTAGGACATGTCTTCAGCGATTTGACGATTTATTGCTCGAATTTTGAGAAATCATAGAGGCCGCTGTTGCAAAGTGCAAAAACGTCCCATAGTGTTCCATCCTGTTGTGTCACACACAAAATGCACATTATTGGTATGAATCTACAGTGTTACATTAAGAAACTTGAGCAACACATGGAGGGGTCCTTTACCTACTGCACCAGAAAATAGCATGGGCTCCTGCTGCACCAGCGCGACAATTCACAACATAACAGAATGAAATGTTAATGGACTGTGAACTTGCCGCCCCGTTGTGTCATGCTATATTTTACTATATTTTATATATCCACTAAGTAAGCCTTGTGTGTAACTTTTGTGCAATTTTGTTCAAACCCCATAAAGCAACTGATTGGACAATGACACAAAACATGTAGCAGGAAAGGTAAAATATATTTCATCTAACAACATGCAAAATTTCTGGAATTGTCCCGTAGAGTCACCTGGAATAGCCCTTCTTAGGAACATTTAAATATTTTAGTTGAATGTGTTCTTGAATGTAAGTCTTCATTCTCTAGACTTGTTTAATTAAATTATCAAAATGTTTTTTGCCCATATCAAATCATAAAAGTTTCATTTAGGTGATAAATTGGTAGGCTATGTTAGTTTTCATGCAGAAAAAAGTCACATTTTAATATTCAGAGGCTTATTTTTTTTTTTTATAAATGCTTGCGTACAGTACAGTTTTTTTTATAAATGCTTGCGTACAGATTACTGGCTTAAATACAGTTATAGCATTAGATCAGTTCTTATTATGAAGGTATTCTCAGCCTATGCTTATTAATATTTTTAATTATAGATGACAAGTGACCAATGCTAAAATATATAATTACTAAGGTTGTGCATATGAGTTTGCTGAAAAGGTCTTAGGACAAGAGTGACAGTGGCAAAATGTGGGCAGACACAAGCAAATTTTGGGGTGAAAATCTGACTCAATAGGATTCAGAGAAATTGGAAATGAAATAAAAGTTATAGCCTTCTAGCTACTTCTTCCATCTTAAAGTTCTGGGAATTCAAAATTAATTGGTTAACTTGTGACGAGAAGCAATTTTTTTACAATAAAATCCCAACAAGTATAACCAACAATTTTACAAAACTATTCATTGATCTACTTTGCCTGAATTATATATAATGTATATAAATCTTTCAGGTAGCGTTCGATTGTTCAGTCAATCAACAGCAAACACATCTGCTTTATGTACTGTTCTACCTCCGCCTGTTGTATCTTTGCTTGACAATGTGCGTGATGTAACTGCTTCTCGATATCATCATTTATTCTTTATTCTGATAAATCCAACAACGATTTGGGTTTATACTGCACAGACAGATCCAGCTTGCAGGTGAGAGAATGGAGAATTTGATATCAAAATATTTTAGTGAATCAGAATTTCTTATTTTTTTTATTGTTATTGTATATATTTTTTTATTTTTAATTTGATGTAGTTTTATAAATACTTTTGAAATTAGTGAGGTTTGATATGACAAATATCATTCGTGATAAATTACCTTTTATCAGATATTTCAAACCAAGGATTTGAATTTGCTGAAATTTTGTCTTATGTATTTTTTGAAGTTTTTCTTTTGAAAAAGCTTGATATTGTTGCCAGCAAACATGAGTTATGTTTGAGTATGCCTGTGACACATCAGAGAAAAAGATTTTATATGAAATTAAATTTCTAGATTAGTAGAAATATATCCCCAAGTGATACTGTATATAGACTTGTTATTTGATTGCTTTCATGTGTAATGTTTGCAATATGTTTCAATAGCACAAAAACAACTTATAAATACCGTTAGTTCAAATTTGCTTTTCATAAATATTTTTATTTATTTTTATTTATTTCAGGATTTCTGCATGGAACATTCCTGTAATATTAAAAGAAGGAATCATAGAATCTTCCACAGATACAGAACTTGAACCTGCGACTAAAAGCACCTCAACAACATCTATATCTAGTCAAATTTTGCGTAGTTTTGAAGAAAAAAAAGTAATGCACGGGTAGGCAGCAGTTTTGTTTCAAAATTTAAAATTTCAACTCAGAATTTGCAGAAAATTCAACATAAAAATATGATTCAAAAATAGAAACGTGTTTCCAAATGAAACCTGGTTATTCACCCCAAAAGTAGTAAATTTAATTCTACTTATTCTTGAATACACTATCACCTAAATCGAAAATTCAATTTAATTTTAGCAATTAAAAAATGCTGAACAACTCAAAATATCTTTTAATATAGGCTATATATATTTACTTCATTATCAATGTAATTGAATATTGTTCTTTGGATTTCTAGGTGTTGAGTAATAACCTGACAATTATAATACTTCACTACTCTATACCACTTTATACATATTCATAGGGAAATTGTCAATACTGACCATTTTCAAGTATAGATATTGTTCAATTTGGTTTGTATCAAATGAGTTACATCTTTAATTTCAACTGCTTGAATTACGCTCTATACCAATAATATATTATCTTTTAGATGTACTCAAATATTATCTGGTAAAACAAAATCATCTGCATGCTGTTGTATCCTTGCGGTTTATTCTGAAAATGGATTTCAATATCATTCTCCTCTTGGACTTTGTTGTGCCAAATCAAGGTAAGTGGTACTTTTTAATACAAAAGCTTTACCAATGTATATTTCTTCAATTACGTTTAATTCTTGCTAATTTGAAAAATGATTTCTGTGTGAAACTTGTGAAATAGTTTGACTATGAAAGACAATCATTTTTGACTAGCTTGATCTAGGTTGCAAGACCTTAACTAAATCTAGAATAGTAGAATAAGTATAAATATTATTTGACATGAGACTTGGAATAAATCAAGTCAATATTGTGGCAGAAATACTTAGGTGGAGGGAAATTCCACAAAGCCAAAGTTTTTGTAAAAAAAAAACAGAATTTTTATCATGAAACCAGAAAAGATGTACCATATGTATAATTTGTAAAAAATTGTATTCACATCTTGTTGTGGGGCAATTTAAACTAAAAAATTACAGATTAAATTTGACTTTATTCCTTTTTTTTAATTTTTATTGAACATTTCTCGTGTTGCGATCATCAATATTACAAATTACTTTTAATTAATCATTTTTCAGACATTTACTTCTGTTTGGGCTTGAAGATGGTCGAGTTATTTTTGTAGATCAAAAACAACGTGGTCTTCTATATTGTGAACTACAAGTTTCTAAAGATGCAATTAAATCTATGAAATATGAAAACGAAAAAAGTTGGCTGATAACTCAAACTAACAACAATTTAAATGTTATGTTTTACGTGAGTTCACTTATAAAATAGCCTTTGGCATTTAGGATAGGACTTCCTTATTTATACCGAGAAAGAGAAACGGTGATAAGACGACTTAATCATATGGTCCACCACAACCTCATGTCAGGCATGGAATCAGTTACCCAGTTATTTGTTTTAGATGCATGGATCTTATGATGGAAAAAGCCATAATTGATCAGCTTGAAAGAAACACTCTACAGTGGTGATGGCGAGGAGTCCAGAAACCCTGTTGCACGTAGTTATCCTCCACAGTATTCGAACCTACGAACCCATGTATGGTAATCAGCGGTGCGATGAAAAGCGTATTCCTACCGCTTGAACGGTACACCTATTGTCGAGCTTTATAAGTCATTTCACTGTTATCAGTCATATATACATTGTTAATAAAGGGACAAAAACATTTCACAACGCAAGCAAATTCTTAAATATATTGTTATCCATTTAAAGCGAGATAATACTTAATACAACATGAGCATTTATAATTATCCTTTGTATATTTAGTCATAGTTTGGGTAAAAACAACTTTTATATTCAATTTGGTCAAATTATTATACTATTTCCTCTATATTTTGAAAATTATTGAATTGCTTTCATTATATTCATCAAAAATTGCTATATTTTTTATTCAGATATGGAAACTACCAGAACTGGAATTGCTTTACAAAATTTCAGCTCCAATAACCACAACATGTTATACTATACTGGACAACACTCTGATCACTGGTCATTCAAATGGACTGGTCATACTTTTCTCGATTGCCCCAACCGATGAGAATGCAGATTCATCGATAGAACATGACAAAAATCATTCTGAACATAAAGATAAAATTACTGATGTAAAAGCTTGTAAAAAACAAAATGTTTTCTGCACCTGCAGGTAAAGCTATGGCTTGTAAATTTAACTTTGATTTTATAGAGAACACTAAATTGTGTAAATAGGATATCCATTTCCAAAATTCAGTTGTATCTTCATTACTCTTAATGTAAAAAGTCAAGATACATGCCAAATTTTAAGAGTTGATCATTGTGACGAGGTATAAAGAATTTGAATTTTGAATAAGTGCACTTGAATAAATTATTGGGTACTCCCGTAGTATGTGCGACAAGATGACGGACACTGGAACGTAGTATGTGTATCAGGTTAGAGTTAAGCCATAATTTCAGGTACAAATACCACAGTAGTCACTTGACTAGTCCCCGAACTCGTAATAGAACTAAAATAAGGAAAATTGGAATAAAATTATGCCTAGCCCTAACCTGGTACACATACTATGTATAGATGTCCGCCATCTTGTTGCACATACGAGAGCGCCAATTAATGTATGTATTTTCTTTATTGTTGATTGTATCACTTCCACGATCAGCTCCAACTCGTCCTAATATAATTGTGAAGTAGCCAATTAATATAAACTTCATAAGAATGTTCTGTTTTCCTTTTGTTATATTCCGAGCTTTGCTCAGTAAATCAGACCAAAAATCTTTAATTTTGGATATTATGTATAACTGGTGATATTAAAATACATGTTCAAACATTAGTCTCTCGAGGTTATAAATTTCTTGTCGAGTTTCCCCTTTAGATCATGTTATGGTATTTTCTGAAATGATTCTATAATATGCCTAACATGAATGAATATTAGTCATTAAAATTACCTTCAAAATAATCAACTCATTAGGAATTTTATATATACTTGATAGGATTCGAGCTAGGTATAGTATACTAGCATTAACGATGTTTTAAAGTTTTTCCTGCACACAAATGAATAAGCATTTGTTGTGGAAACCATTTAACGATTATCTTTATTTTAGGTCTTCTTGATTGCCAAGGTATTATATTATCACCGTCATCATTCATATCTGCATGCTTGATTTTCACCTATTTTCATTGATCACACATTTTATAATTCATACACTGATAAAATATTGCATGCATGCCCTATTTTCACTTGAATCATATCACTGCTGTTTTGTGATTATATTCACTGAATATGTTGTTTTTTACAAAAAGTCTTTATTCTTTCTTCATAGATTTTCATGTATGTTAATGGGAGTTTTTAACAAAATTTCATGATGATTTCTTTTTTATGGTTCCTTCAAAAATTTGGTTTTTGTGTTGCCACTGCAAATCAATGAGATTAAAGTCGTCTGTTAATCAAATGTTCACAATGATGTAGAAATGAAATTTCTGATTATAAATTTCAGCCACGTTCGGAATGCTTCAATGGCCTTGCTCATGCAAAATAATTTGATTTGCCAATATTAAATTGAGTATTTGGCGTATTCAGTTGTCTATTTAGCAGAATCGCTGATACTTTTATTCCAGTACACTTCTAAATATTCTAAATTGCCAAATAATTATACATACGAGGTGTGGCTAAAAAGAAACGAGACTGACGTCACAGATTGCGCAACACGATTAACCATTGGTAATCAACACTTTTACAGTGTGGTGTAATATGTGTTCTTTGTTCAACAGCTTTTTTGACACAATATCGCAATTATTTTTGCTCTTTAGGAGCCATAGGTGAATGTGATTAATTGCTTGTTGAAAAAAAAATTGCCGTGCGAGATCTGATTGAGTTTTTTGGCGATAGGGGGTTCAATTGCAGAATGACGATTGAGCAATGAATTAACATTAAATTTTGTGTCAAACTTGGAAAAACGGCGACTGCGACTTTGAAGAAATTGTGTGATGTTTATGGAGATTCTTCCATGTCCAGAACAAGAGTTTTTGAATGGCACAAGCGATTTGTGGGATGCAGGGAGGATGTGGAGGATGATTCGAAGTCAGGAAGGCCTTGCACTTCCACAACTGATACCAACATCGAAAAGGTATCAGTTGTGAGTTCAGTTGTGAAAGGCAGTTGATTCGCAGCGACCGTCGCTCAACAATTCGCGTCATTGCGAAGTTGGAAAAGACAAAAAAAAACGGTTCGCACCAGTTTGGTTGACACTTTTGGCTTGTGAAAGGTGAGTGCCAAAATGGTGCCAAGGCTGTTGACTGAGGAGCAGAAAGCTCAACGATTAAATGTTGCCCAGTTGACATGCATTTTTCCAAGTTTGACACAAAATTTAATGTTAATTCATTGCTCAATCGTCATTCTGCAATTGAACCCCCTATCGCCAAAAAACTCAATCAGATCTCGCACGGCAATTTTTTTTTCAACAAGCAATTAATCACATTCACCTATGGCTCCTAAAGAGCAAAAATAATTGCGATATTGTGTCAAAAAAGCTGTTGAACAAAGAACACATATTACACCACACTGTAAAAGTGTTGATTACCAATGGTTAATCGTGTTGCGCAATCTGTGACGTCAGTCTCGTTTCTTTTTAGCCACACCTCGTATTTCTAATCGTTAAATAATGCTTTAGCTATAAATTAAAGAGCTTGAGTTTATTGTAAATCATTTCAATCGAAAAAATTTTATAATAATCTGCTGTATAAAAATTATGATGTTGCAATGTCCAATTTTAGAAAGAGGTCATTGTTTAGCTGTAAAATTTTGTATATAATATTAAAATTTCATTATATGGCTAAATGAAGACATAATAATATACTAATATAATAATTTATTGAGTTTATTGCATATACCTTTCGGTATCACAATTCACACTGTCATGTTCTTCGCCGCCCCCCCCCCCTTTCAAAGACTTTCAACACTCCATGGCCCCCTGCTCATCAACAAAAAGGCTAATTTGATTTTATTTGCCACATTTATTAATTAAAAGCCAACAAATGAAAGTAATAAAACAAATTCATTACAGTGCAACAATTAATCAAATCACAGTCACTTTACCTTTAAATGCCGAAATTCAATTTTATTGCAAATGGCACTTAGTGAAGGCCTTGTGGCCCTCGCTCCACAGACCTTTAGGGGGGGGGGGGGGGGGCAAGCGGCCAGCTTGAAAAACCCTGGTATATTCTCAGTGATTATGCAAAAAAAGCATAGTACAAAAAAGTATAGATAAAAATTCCCTGGATCAAAAACCTTCAAAAATTATTAATTGTGCTCATCAATCTGATATGTTCATTTCAACATATCTAGATATTGTAAGAATATTGCTATTGCTTTCAGTGCTGATGGTTTCATTAAAATCTGGGATTCGAATAAAACATTGCTCACTGATATAAAACTTGGTGAAGATTTGACATGTTGTGATTTTCTAAATAATCATGGTGATCTTATTATTGGTTGGAAACGTCATCTATTTCTTATTGATCACAAGACATTATCATTGGATGAAGAAAGCGGTGAATTATCAGACAATGTAGAAAAAGGTAATAAATACTCTTTCTATGAAGAAACATTTCTGTAATATAGAAATATTTTACACTTTGCCATGATTATTGGATAATTTGTAAAGATGGCTAATAAGATATTGTCACCTAAAAGCATAGATTGTTGCAGTAACATGACTGTTTTTTAATAAAACTGCATATAAAATTAAATAAAAAATTAAATAATAAAATTAAATAAAATTAATAAATAAAAATAGAATTAAATAAAATGGGTATATGGCGCATTAAAACTCTCTTCTTGATTCTACTTCCAACACAAATATTTAACATTTGTTGATTATATTCATCATTTTTTAAATTGTTTTCAACATAACCCCTGTCCACTGTATTGTTTTTTTACTAATCTTTCATGCTTACATTGCAACACCCAACCCAATACACTCAGGTTTTGGCCTGTCTTGTATTCATTAAAGGACATATCTGAAACTAGTTTGTGGAGTAAACTTTCTTGCTAGTTATTGATGTATAGCTCGAATGTGCAATAGGATACCTTGTATTGATTAAGCTACATAAAACTAGTTTAAGTTTGCAATACATTAAAATAAATGGTATTTTTATGCGTACGTGCTTAAGGGCATGATAGGTTATTTCTAGTTATCTTTCAAAATATTTATTTCAAGATGTACTATCCTATGTTTTAGAATAATAGTTTCTGTGCTGACATTATCTTTGATACATTTCACTATCGAAATTGTGGACGCCCTTGATTATTTTAATTTGATTGTATAATTTTTAATACTATTTTTAGAATCAGATATTTATGAAGATCCTTCTATAAGATATGAGAACAATTTAAAGACAAAATCAAAACCAAGTACAATAACGATGTACAAGTATCTTGTACCTTATGGATTTATTGCTACTGAAGGAAATGATAACATTGACCTGAAAAAAATGCAAGAAGAGGATAAAGCTGGGGTAAATGATGCCTCATACTTTGAATGAGGCTTCATAGTGTGAATAGTTAAAATGAGGCTTCATTTCACTTACTGGGACACTGGGACATTCCAACCACCGCCCTCGCACTGAACTGTGATTAAATATATAATCTCTAGTTCAACAATTATTTATTGTTCCATGATGTCTATGTTTTTTATATAGGCTATAGGAAGGACTCCGATAACTTAGTTTATGAAATACACTTACTATCATTGATTGTAGACCAGGAATAGAATTTTATAGATAACCTGACAGGTGACAATTGTTTTCAGTATGATTTTTTCATATTGTCGACACCCCTATTTTATGATTGAATGAAGATTTTCAGCCAGTTTTGCCTGTTTGATTAAAAAATTACAAAAATTGTTTAGATTTTACTATGTATGTTCGGTATGTATAATCACATACCAGATGTAGGAAGGAAATTTTAATAACTTACTTTTCACGCAATTATAATTGACAATGTTTTTTTCTGAAATGGCATTCAGAGTGATGATTCTGAAGGTTCAGAACATACATTGTGTGCAATGACAGATACATATTTATCGCCTGCAACATCTATGGAATCATTTGGTATCATTGACACATTATTTCCACGAAATTCTCCTGATCACGATAAAGTTACAAAAACATCAGGTAAAGTAATCATTTCATGGGGCTATCCAGTTTTTTCTATAAACTGTGGAATGACTAAATAGTGTCGATGACGATGAGAGTTTTTTATATTTAACCCTTTCTAGAAAAGTCATTATTTTTATCATTTTAGTAACACAATTAGATCAAAATGAAGTGCTGGCAAGAAGTTTAAAAAACCAAACTACGGTATTGATATAGTCCTATTTCTGAGAGAATGACAAAAAAGGCTTTCATTAGTATATTTGAAGATTACTTTATAAAATGTTTCCAAATTCACAAATTTACTTTTACTACCCAGATGTTATATTTCCTGAATTTGGAATATCGCCTGGGCCAACTCCACCTGAGAGTGTTTTCAGTAATTCAAATGAAGAATGTCTTTCTATAGAAGATGACATTGTTGTATCAGAAGAGGTACTCGACCATCCATGGATGACGGTAATTAAGAATTATTGATTTCATAGTTTCAAGTTGAAGTGCAAGTTTAAATAAACAGCCCTTGATTATTTGCCAATGTTTCTTTCAGGTTAGTTGTATAGGCAGTATACAATGTGGTATGATTAAAATCTGGTATACAAAAAAAATTTGAAATTTTTTTATAGATGCATGAAATGTTTTAAGATATGTATTGTTGTGACAAATAAATCTGAAATTATTCTCAATATCAATATTTACTTCGAAATGACATTTGCCATTGAAGTGCTGCCTATGCTGCTTTCGTTAGGAGCCTATTTTGGTATAGAAGATTACAGTCATAAAATTGAATAAATGCAGTGAACGAGTTCTTTTAATACAAGAGAATTTTCAAAAAACATGATAAGCAGTTAGATATATTTGATAATAAACGGGTTCGACCGGAATTATTAGAAAAGAAAACTTGCAGCCTATTTGGAAATAATTTATTTTGTAGAAATTCTATATTGTTGTATTATTTCATGGACAGATGTAATAACTTTTGACAGATAAATATAGTGTTCTGCTGATAAATTCTTTTATTCTATCATGATCTATTTGTTAATACAATAATCCTAAACGTTGCTTGGAAGGGAATTATAGTTAAGAAATCACCAGATTATTATATTCATTGTGCTACTTCTGTATGTTTAGAGCGCGTTAGTGGTTAAAGCAATAGTCTTAACTGTATTAGCCAAAAATGTATATTTTGATATCCCAACTAACATAGTAATGTCTAATTTCAAATTCCCCAGAAAAAATTTGATAAATCTTCAAAAATTTACGAAACACATATTAATTAACAAAGCCATAAACCAAACCATGAATATTGGTTCCATATCATAACTTATATTTACTAATGTACTGTACTCAAATATACTGGCAAAGTATATCATATTTTACATGGTTGTCATGAAGTGTTTAGTTACGGTATATATTGATTTATTCTCTGTTTGCCAATGTACTTCTATGTTATGTCGAGTACAAAGACTTATATTATTTTATGAAGTATTATTTATTAACCTGTAACTTTGTCAAGTGTTATCTTGGACTTCTGCCATTCACTGCATTGGGTTGTGAAGTGGAATAAACCAGGAATATCTTTACAAAAAAAATTTTTGAAAATGAGATTATTTGGATTTAGATTATACTCTATTTTGGGAAATGTTTTATTCTTTTTTTATTATGTTCGTGTAGATAAAATGTTCTTAGTATTGTCCACCAATATTGAAACAGAAAAGGATTTTAGGAATAGATGATTAGGTAGTTATTATTCTATGTCCATTCCATTAATTGTTCTAGTAGCCTGATGAAAGCATAGTATTGTATTATTTTCAGGAAAAGGGTTTGTGAGTAAAGTGAAAAAGACTCTTTACTTTTAATTTGTGTCTGAAGGCACTGTATTAGATTTAAGACTTAAGGTAGTTATGTTGGATTATTTGACTCAAAGAAGATGCGATGGCCTGTCTAGTGATTATAAGCACTGGACCTCACTATGTTCCTGATATATCTCATTTAAACCCTGTGCCCACCACCTTACCCAGGGTGTTATTTAAGCAATATTACAGCCTTATTGCTTGTTCAGAGCCTTGTTCAGAGTAAAGGTGTGAAATTGCCTTCTACCCTATAAAATAGTGCCAATCTTTTCTAATTTTTTCTTTTATCTATTTCATTGTTTTCAAAGGCTGAGAAGAAAGTTGACTTGAAAGAGAAACTTTCTACTGGTGTAGTTGTAGCAAAAGCTATTAAGAAAATGTCAAAGAAAAAGAAAGATGAAATTGTTGCAACACAACCCATAAAATCTAGGTAAGTATTTGTCACAGTGGCCTATGTGTTTAGATAGTATTTTCATATTTAGCCTGGGGGATGAAAAGTAAGAGGGAGTAATTATCCAGTTAATATTTCAGATGCAAGAACTTTATAGGAAGCTGTAACTGAAGCGGTTATGTGAACATCCATATTGCAAATAATTCATCAATCGTGTCTTGCGCATAACTATCCTGTATGGGATTGGACTCTGCAAACACAAGCAAACCTAGCAATTATTTATATAGAGTTGTTTATAATTATGCTCTGACGTTCCTATCATTTTAACAGAAATGAAATCGACTGATGTCAATTTTTTCTTATTTGCTTATGTTGTGTTTTATGGCTAATACTGAGGAGTTCCTATTATTGTTAACAATACTGGAAGGGTTCAATATTCCCCGCGATACTTACTTTTGATTTGGAATACTCTAAATTGCTTTCTGAATGCGGAAATTGTATTTGGTGCCCTATTTGTCCTTTCAAACTTGGGTGTTATTAAGTACTATGCTATTGCTTATGTTTGTTTAGGTTTGCGAGTGCTGAAATAGATGCAAAAGATATGATGAAAAAAGGAATGAATGTTGTATTTGCTGTTGAATCAATGCAGAAAGATAGAAAAAAGAAGAAAACTAGTTCTGCTCATGATAGACCATTGTCAGCCAAGGTATTCCGTTTAATTGTGTTTTTTTTTTATAAATTGAATTATTGCTATTCGCTTAATACTTGTTACAACATGAATTTTATTGGAGTAGTTATGTTTTCTGATACCAGTTCCAATATTTTCCACTACCTACAAATTAGCTACAAATTAGACTGAATAACCAGGCTTTTATGATTGTGTGAAATCAATTGGTTTGCATAATATCGATGAGAAGTACCATTCCAACTTAGTTCAAAAACTTTAAGAAAACAAGACTGCCATCTGATAATTGCAGTAAATTAGTATATAGAAAATATGGATACATTCAAGTTGAGATATAATGAATACAGTATACTCTTGATTGTAAGAATAATTTAGAATATTTGCATTGCATGTGAATGCTTAATTGCGATTTTTTCATTGAACTGGAAACAACCTAGGTACCTACTTAACTTCGTGAGAACTGCTGAAATCCAATCAAAGCAGTGTTGATATTTCTGCACTAGCTTTTATAATTCATTGAGAATAGTATGCTATTTGACTTGCCGATATCCATTTATAATACAAATGTTTCCTATTTTTTTATGATTTGTTACAATAATTTCAGCACATTTTGAAGAAAACTCGTCGACCATCAACTGCAAGTCTCAGAAGGAAAAGCCTCCATCCGACTGAAATTCCTCTCCAACCTTGGGTGCTTAATTTATTAAATTATTAAATTCTGTCAAATTTCTAAATTTATCACTTTGCATTGGTACTTATGAAGCGCTCATGAAAATGATTTAAATTTACAGATTCCCCCAAAAACAGAATCCTTAATTTTTTTAATTACTCACCGGTATATGAAAATGAAGAAAATTTATTCAACACTCGAACTTCTGTTTGTGTCTGATGGTATGCAAATGTTTATTATAATCTAGGACACTTTACACAAAAGTTATGTTTTTTTCTAGAATACAGTATGTTTCAAATGAGTTCTGTTTTTGGGGGGAACTCCTTGTATATTATATGTAACAAAACAACATTGTTCTCCCGTGCATAAGTAAAGACGATTTCAAATATACTTAATTTTACATAACAGCAAATATATTACATTAAATAGAATTTGAAGTTTGTCTTTTTCATTGCCTCTGAAATTTCAACTCATGATTAAGTGGAAATCATAATTTAAACTCTGACTCTGGGGGGGTTTGCTCTGATTCCAGTATGAACTGCAGAATTCAGCTCCACAACCCTGGTACAAATGACAACAAAGTGAATTTGACATACAATATAGTTTTTAAAATGATTGATCAGAATCAAAAATGAGAATAAAGCTGAAAACTTGAATATCAGTAAAGTAGTAGTAACATTGTTGGGAAAAAATATTTCCTATTTTAATTTTATAGCAAGTGAAAGATGATGGATCTGCTGGTGATTCAGATTCTTCTCCCATTGAAGTACAATTGGACACAAGAGCCGTAGAAAATAAACTAATGGAATTGGTAAGAGATTTTACATTTCCAAAGTTATGGCCTATCATACTTGATTATTTAATTTCTTTAGATCTAATGAAAGGCTATATTAGGGTGAAAAAAAGATGGTAAATGAACTGAAGTTTGAGTTCAATTTTATGATGAGTTGTCAAATTATATGGTCAAGATGTACTTACTGTATATATGCTAACAAAGAATTTTTTCATCATCTTTTTAATAACTTTGTTTTGGAATAATTTATTCTGTCTTGTTGTATTTTCATTATTTTGTTATAGTATTGATATGATACCACACAGAATCAAACCTAATAAACATGATTGCATTCATAATTATAAAGCAGCTTTGCTATGAAGAATTTCATGATGAAGACCATTTGTGGAAAATCTCAAAATAAATATATTCGATATAACATATACACTGCTAATGTTGCAACATAGATTTTCACATTTTGAAAAATTCTACAAATATTGAATGAAACAAAAATTGGAAGAGTGTGAAAGTTCCTATGTTTTCTAAATATCAATGAATATAACTCTTTTATGATCGATTCCTACTCCCAGTTATAGAAGACAATGTGGGGGGCTTCAAATAAATAGCCGTTACTACTTTTTTGCATGAAGATGTATTGTTAGCACTTAATTTTAAAATTTGGAGACTTTGATTGAGATTTGGAGCCAAAAAGGGAAATCAGAAGCTATTTTGAATAATACCTGTTGAAATGTACCATGTAACTTAAGCTGCAATTTTCCTCATTGAAGCTTGGCTGGCAAACCTATGAAAAATGATCTGGCCCTCCATAGTCTTAGTGACATGTACCATTTTTTGACAAGAATTCCACAACATAATAAAACATAGCTATCTAAAACTAATCTTATCTATAATAACTTGTTGCACACCATGTATTTATTCAGTTTATATTTACACACAATAAATAAATTTCAGTATTATGAAACTACATTGCTTATGACCTCTGGTCATGAGTTGATATTTTAATATAGTATACCGGTACCTTTGCAAACGTTTGGTACATTGTCATCTATTAATACACACAATGAATACAGTAGTTATGCAATAAATGAATTGTAATTGAGATATAAAAACAGTTGTGGAAGAGAATATGGTTGCATTTAAAAAAAAAAAGGATGTGTGTCTTTTTTCATCACACACAAAGTCAATTCTAAAATTGTATGAGAAATTCGAAGATGATAATATGATGCAAGCCAGTGTGTTTATTCAAAAGGTCCTTTCCCATTTCTGTTTGAGCATGTTAAGTTACCTGTAATCGTTTTTAGACAAAATCTTGATCTAGTAACATAATTTAACATTTAAAATGTAGTTATAGTCAAGTTTTTTTTTCTATTCAATCCAGTAAAAAAAATAAAGTGCATATTTATATAAAAATAAATGAAATTTAACACATATTTTTACTGCGGAAGGTAAGCCACGGGGAACCAAAATTTGATATCGAGCAGCGAAAGCCAAGGTTCAACATCAAATAAATTTTTATGATCTGAAATTAAGTTTTTAAAACATAGAATTTGACCATATTCAACTTGAATGAAAAATTAAAAACAAACAAAATGGAACAAAAATGTAGCATACAGGTATAAAGAATGTAAAGAAACAAAATATTTGAAACTATTAAAATTTCATTGAATAACAATGGTCTTTGATAAAGAAAAAATTTTTAAGTAGAACTTGAACTTCTGTTTGCGTGTGATAATATCCAAAAAATTCAGGATTCTAGAATGTGTTGCGCAAAAGTTATTTTCCCCCTAGAACAGGGCTCTTCAAACTGTGGGTCCCGACCTTCTGGGGGTTGCGGTAAAGTTATTTTAAAATAAAATATTAATTGAATTTGCAAGATTTGGAACCAGTACTGGACACCCATGATCACTGAAATAGAGCCATGATTGGAAAATATACATCAATCGAAATACATCGAGCTCATTAAAACTATTGCCGTTTTCTTTAATATTTTTTTAATATTTACTCTATTATTAAATCTTACTTCATTTTTATTTCATTTCATTTTGCTTTGCCAAGTGGGATCTCTGGGATTGATCATCGGAGAAGACGTACTTGCCATATGAATAAGCTGCCTTATCAGTTTTTTTTTTGCTCAATGATGAATATAAAAAGCATCTTGTTATAATATAGCTATGATTCAACATCTTCTTTCGGAGCAGATACAATGACTTCCACTTCTTTTTGTATACATTCATTAATGTTTCTGCCATCTTCCTGTTCATGGGTTGCATTGTTTATAATACATGACACAGTTTTTAGAGGTGTTGGATCAGATGATGTGTTTTTGTTACTTTTTCGTCCTGTTTTATTTTTTGAAGATGAAGTACTTTGAGATGTTGGTTCAACTTTTAATGCTTTTGACTTTTTCACCAGTTCTTGCCAACATGAACATTTTTCCATCATTGGTAATCTGTATTAAATCGTTTTTAACTGTTAATTAATAATCGGAATAAATTGAGTTTTTATCCTCAAGAAAATTTACAATAGCTAAGAGATTTTGTGTATGTGAGCATGAATGTCATATTATCTTTCGTTTCACACATGCATCTAGCAATATTTTTCAAAATCTTATATGTCATCATCATTAATTTACTTGATGAATTTAAAGGATCTATTTTTATCAAATGGTTGATATATTCGTAACCTTTTTAAAACAACATGGTTAATTTAAAAACTGGAAATTTGAAATGCTTATGGCATTGGGAAATATTCATTATGTAATTTAGTTTACTACAAATAATAGATTAAAAATTGGAAATATTTTTTATCAGTTTATACATTTGACCCTACTTCACTGAAATACGCTCATACTATTTGAACCTTATAACAAATGTATCAAATGATTCACAATTTTTATTATCTTATCTTCAAAGAGGCTTGCCGAGTTCACAGACATTATACAAATACATATTCTTTTAAAAAAATGTGAACAATAGGAGATAGACAAGTAGATCCTTTGCTCATTATTATTATGACAGTAATAAATTTTGTGAAATATTGTTAGATTTTATGTAATTTTTATATTGTCTACTGGAAGACTTGTAAAATGTTTTAAGACTATTTTATTGCTAGTTATAGTTGTTTGGTTAAATGTTGGATGCCATAATAATATTTATGCGAAAGAATGATTCCAGTAAATCCTTTGCTAAAATTTTAGGGCTAAAATGATAATTCATAAAACTTCAGATATAAAAGTAGAATATTTATTCGAAGTAAACAAGGTCTTTATCTATTTTATATTATTATCAATATATAATTAATTGTATTTTTTCCAATTTTTTTTCTGGGCATTAGAATGTATGCCAATTTGGAATTAGTTTTAAAAGGAATTGACTTTTAAAATAATGGAGTAATAATGGCTTCCACAGACTAAAATAATTGTTGATCGTCTGTTGTGAGATCAAAAAAGAAACAAAGGCAAGTAAATTATTTCTAGTGCATATTTAAAAAATGTGAAACATCTGGTAATGTTATACATTGCCATGAAAAAGGAGGAAAGGGAATACTATGTATTGCATACTAACGTGTAGCTATATACTTTTTAGAATTGCTAGATATATCTTGATTGTAAATGAACTCAAATTACAAGTTGCAGTTCAAGGAGTTTGATTAATATTCTAAATGTAATTCAGTCATTTATAGAAAGAAGTATACTATACCTATAGTCTTCCCAAGCTTTTAAAAATTTCTTGTTGAAAAATGCATAAACCATTGGATTAACCGTAGCATTTGCTAATGTTAAACAAAATATCCAGTAAAATGTGTCTGCAGACACGACATTGGACTCTTTCCTTTGTACCTGAAAAATTAACAAAAGAATCAGTGAATATCTCGAATAATATTCAGATCTTGATTTTTGGTTCATATCATATTATTAAATCTGGAATTGATTTTGATTTAACTTTCCGTTTATGAAATTAAATGTAATACTACTCTTTAAATTCAAGATTTCATGAATAATTGCCATATTACAATTGCTGCAATCCTCTTTAAATAAGTTTAGAATATTGAAATTTCAAGTTTAATAACTTACTATTCAGTTTGATTAAACTAATGCAAATAATACGAGAGATAGATCAGGTAATTATCTCTTGTGAATAGCATAAACCCTTTTTTATTTTTCCTATTCGAGGGAAATTTATTCAATTGGATTCAATGCCTTCTTCAGTGGTTTCTTTGAAGTATTGCTCGAGTTATGATTTCCAAAGGTTTTACTGTTTTTTGCTCACCATATTTAAAAAGACATTTTAGACAGATATTTCGTTATCTCTCAACCCTTTTTACATATTGTTCTTATTTATGCTACTTAATGAAATTTAGTATCTTGAGTAAACATAGTGAACTTTGTTTTAAAAAGTTAGTCAAAAAAAAAAAAACTTGAATTCAAGAATATGAGTAACATTATTTTGTGTGTATGTCTCATGTGTCTACTTACAAAGCATCTGAGGGCAATTTTCCTGTTATTTACAACTGTTTCATAAATCGTGTCTAAGAATTTCTTGTGCGAGTCTTTCATAGGAGGAAGAAAATGTTTAAATGGAATTTAAAATCTCAAAAGTTTTCAAATGTTATATGATTTAATGGGGAAGAGTAGTAATATTATCGTTTTACTTTAAATCACTTTTAATATCCTGTAGCATGTACTCACCCTGGCATATTGGACAAAATAAAGAACAATAAATATTGGAGTCCACATCAATACGAACAGTACAACAAGCATGCCACATGTTCTAGTTACTCGTATTTCCATTTCTCTTTTGGAAACTGTAAAATAAATGTAATCATGGTCAAAACATTTTTTTTGCTAAAAACTAAAAGTCACTCTTTGCCAAACCCATGAAATGTTGAATGATTTGATTACTCTACACCTTTTATCAAGAAATTTTTCAACATCTTTTTGTATATAAACTATAGGTATGAAGTTGAAGGACTCCTATCATTCAGTTATCATATATATATAAAATACATGACTCACATCCTTTGTGTATACACAAAATTTTATGGTTGCAGCCACTTAGGTAAGGCTTGACATAGGCCTACTCAATTTTTTTTACACCCTTGGGGACCTAATTAGCTTGAATTGAGTTATGACTTTACTGAAAGGTTCTCAAAACCATTATTGGTAACTTGCATAGCCAACATGGTTTTGCTAATGCAGTAACCATCAGACCAACCCTTTACCAAATAACTTATATAACAAGTATTTATTCTTAATTACTTCTTCGTCCGTTCTTCTTTTTTCTTACTTTTTTCCCAACTTTTTTTACATTTGAGTAAATTTGCCAATAATTATAGCATATAACCATTAGCGGAAATAAATATGCTATGAAAAGCATTATCAAGTTCCATGCCAATGCTCCTTCTGGATCTGGCCACAAAGATGAGCAGATGTATATCTGGAAGAAAAACAAAATTTTAATTTTCATGGTAGAAAAAAAGATGAGTATACAAAAGTAGTTTGAAATACAAAAATAGGTCTTTTTTTTAAAAGAGCAGAAAAACATAACTTTTTATGGTGGTGGGCCAAAAACCAACTTTAGACATCTAGCCGGGCCACACAAAAAAGTTTTTCCATGTACACAACGAATTACAGTGATAAAGACATCGGGCAAAACGGCGAAAGATTCAATTCAGCGACAGGAGCAGAAAAAACCTTACCCTATGTATTTTTACTCATGTGATCTTCTTTTTAGACATAAACTGTCCAAAATGATTTTATGCTCGATGGGGGATAATCTGAGTGTTGACAAGGGCTTGGGTTGTGGCCCACAACAGCCTGTTGCACACCGCTGACTTAGAGCATTTAACAGAGATAAGACTACTATTTTTACTATATCTCAGTTATAGTTATGACCTTGCATTGGCAATTTTTACAAATATAAGTTCATTGACTTACCTCTGCATCAGGATCGCCCAAGTGGCATTTTGTTTCATTAGCACATTTGCTATGTTCTACAACACGAAATACGTTAAAATAAAGTAGTAAGGGAATATAATACACCACACTGAATGCCACCATAATCAAAGTTGCCATAGCTGGATTCTTTGGATAAATTTTCGAAAGTTTGCTCTTTTTCACACTTTGCACAACATGAACATGCCTGGTAACAGGAAAAACAATCTGAATTATACAAAATGTTATTTTGAGAAATAATTGTATTTCAAAAATAAGTTGAATTTTGTCGATTAAGGTAATGGAATTTCATCAGCGAAATAATTTTGATTTTTTTCATATTTTGATTGCAAAATTATTTTGTTTTTAGAAAATTGGAATGAAATTTGTGAAAAATTATTTAATGTATGTTTCTTTTATAAATAGTCCAATTATTTGAAGAAAAAGACACCCGGTAAATATAACAATCCTTCATGTGACGTTATCGTCATTACATAACACTCAACTATGAATATGATTTTTGACATTTTCACATCATCAATGTTTCCTTGACCTATTAGTGATTTATCATGAAATCAATATAATTAAATTTCCAGTCTACATCATCATTGACATTATTCCATTGTCCATATGTCCAAGTGGTCAACTAGGACTATGTTAGTCAACTAACTTTATTACTAATATTGACATTAAAAGATATTTCATGTTGAAGCTCTGAAAAGTTCCACAGAATATATATACGATATTAGTGGATGTGTAACACACATAATAAAATGTGTTAATGAGTTAAAGCTAATTTAAATATTTTGATTCCCAGAAATTTTTCTCAAATTATTTCATGGCTTATTGCGTGGTCATTACAGTATCAAGTTTTAAAATTGCTTGATTATAACAGCAGCTTCGATTTGTTGAATACTATGTTGAATACCGGTAAATATATATGTTCGGTACAATTTTTTGATCAATTGAATAAAATGACAATAGGAAAGCGATGAATAAACCAATAAATCCATACTGATTGGTTGACATGTCCCGATAATGTAATTCAATCAACTTAGGTTACTGATGTATTTTATAGGGATATGAAAAATAGTTATCATGCTTGATTACATGGCCAAGTTTTGACTTATTTTAGAAAACTCAGTGTCAAAACTAAACTTGTTTTTAATATTATACACCAAGCATAGCTTGCATTAGGTCATAAAAAAGCAATATGTGAAACTACCAACTGATACAATTTAGCCATTCTATGTTGAATAATAAAGCAGTAATTAATGGTAAAATGTATATATTCTAATTAGGGATTCTAACTTGCTTGATATAGTATGCATCTTGATCAGTACTACAGTACAAGAAAATACACTGCTTACCTGTCCATACTTATAAATACAAATATCCATATAGCAATGAAAGTTGTCACAGAAAATGTATATAATATCACTTTGCATACTCCTACGCTGAATGTCCAACTATATGCCATTCTTGATGCAAGTAACATTGGCGCTACACAAATGAACCAAAGATAGTTGATGCTGTGTGCAGCTGAAATTTGTAATGAAAATTAGTTACCTAGATAGTAACTCAATCTTTACCTAGATAGTAACTCTAGATTGGCAGTGTAATTGAGGATATGAAATCTAAACAAGTTTTACGCCTTTATGTTACAAACTTGAATCTGTATATATCAGTTTTACAAATTCTTATTATTAGAGAACCCCTTTTAGGGTTTTGCTGAAGTTTGTGAAGCATACTCGCCCATCTTGTTGATGTACTGGGTGCTCTATATCCTAGCTAGAATTGTTCATTCAAATCACTGATTATACAAGTTTTTTACTTCAATTTTTTTACAGGTTTTATATAGAGGAAGGTGTAGTTATGTTAATTCTGCTATTTAAAAAATGATATGTTAAATTATATATATACACTTGAGTGAATTATTCTATGCAGGAAATATAGTTGATCGATAGCAGTCAGGGGCAGGATTTTTCTGAATGCTATGAATGTGGATGTGGACAGCTCCAAGTTATAAAATTTTGATGTATTTTGTTCAATATCCTCACCTGGTACACAACCTAATTTCAGGTTGTGTGCCATCTTGGTGCGCATACTTCAGGAGGTCCCATGTAAATTATTAATAAAGTTAACAAAATAGTAAATTTATAGTTCACTCACCTGTGTATTGGTGTGTTGGTATTCTGCTTAATTTTTTATTAGAAACAATCACCACCAGTACAATGATGTTTGCTATGATGGCAATGATAGTTATTATAAGAAGTATGACAAATTGAATAATATTTGTAACACTGCTCCTTGGATTATGTCCAATCGTCAACCACCAAGTAAAGAGTGATACATTTCCTTGATTCTCTGTAGAAACGGTTAAATATGAACATTCCAATCCTGCAATGTCTTCACACATGATAAGTGATTATGAAATTTAGGCTGAAAAACGTAAAAGAAAATTTCATGATCTGATTTCATTTTACCATAAGTGTGAGTTTATCTTTCTCATTTCATAATTTTTGAATTTACCCTTCATTAAGCATAAATGCACTGATGTCTTGGACATATTCACTCAGTAGTATTTTGCAGCATTTTTATTTGAAGACTTAGACATGCCATTAAAGAAATAACAGGTAGTAACTATTCATTCATACCTCCACAGGGAAGGGCATGCAAATTATGCATGCAGTGCCGAAAGAGAAAGATTTTATTTTTCAAAGCTCAGTACTTTACTTAGTCTGATTGATTGTATGTATGTACAGAGCCCTTCTCATAGGAAAATAATCCACAAAAACAGTTCAAACAGTATTTTTACACCTCTGTTTCTAATGCATCTGTTAATATTGTTTCTTCTAAGTTGAAATATTGCTTTGGGATTAGTACCAGATCAAAAATTCCATCAATTTATATATCTCATTATTCTCAAGCTATACAAATTAATACTTTTCATGCTTTTGAATTTTTTTTTCTATAATGCTGATACAACTTGTCTGTTGAATGACTGTCCTTTGACCTAATGAGGTGCTTTCTCTTCGACAGCTATTGCAAAAAGTAAATAATCGGTCTGAACACATTTAGATATATTGGTTTAAGAACACATCATCATCGGACGTATGAACTCGTAAAATAATCACAAAAATTTTATGACTCAATTTTAAACAGGTGTTGCAGACTTTCACGTGTCTTAAATTGTTACGACCATGTATTGTAAACATTTATTTTGGCTGTACTTTTTTTTTATATAAATCTGTTTGAGGAGAAGAGCTTTTTGTTTCCATAGTGCTGTACGTAATATTCTCAAATTATATGTTTGGTACTTTATGTAATGGTGGTTTATTGCAATCTGAAATGAGTTTTATAATTGATAAGAGTAGGGTGTTCCTAATTAATGCTTCTTTCTTCTTGTTTTTTTGTGTTAGTGAATTGTTTGCGACAGTAACCACACATATTAAGTTTTGTTTTTTCACCTGTGTTTGGTATGGGAAATACGATTTAATTATGCCGAACAGCATTATGATTACCAATGTTTGCCGGAACATTCAAGCTTAACTCTTTTCATGACATGTTGCTTAATCTTTGACTATACTTGATGGTGATGAACTAATTCTAATCACTGTCAAATAAACTTGGTTGTCTAAATATCTCTCTGTCTGTCAAGTTTCAAAATCAGACATTCTTGAAGTGCAACTTATCTACAGCAACTGGTTATAAATCATTTTATCATAAATACATATCATTTTCATCCAAACATTCTTAGTATACTCTTCAATTTTTTTTGTAACCTGCACTAATATGGTATACCGTAATATGCTTTGTCATTCCCTTGGAACTGAACTTTTTATCTTATCAGTTGAACGGAAATTAAACTTGATGAGAAGTGACTCTTCACTTTTGAATGTGATAAGATTGGTTAAACTATTATATTTACCGTATATTTAATATGTCTCAAAGTTATTTGTACTTGACTTTTAGAATTCGACTTCTACTTCGGTTTTATTGACTAAAATTATTTTAAAGATTAATCAGATATACTTTAAACATGGAAAGAGTATCAATTCTGGAATATTTGAATGAAAAGAAAAAAAATTGCCACATAGTGGTTAAAATCACTTTCTTTTTTTACTCACCTTTTTAGATTGCCTGATTGCCTCTTATTTCCCTCTTTCATACTCTATTTTGTAACTTTCTCAATTTTATCATTTGAATCCTATAGTTAAGTATACTAGCTTACAGATGTTGCCATCCAGCATTTTTTATTGCATTTCTCCTACAACTCTTTAATGCTGTCATTCATCATTCATTTCCTGTCGTGAACCGAATATTTATTATTGGAAGTGGATCTCGATTTCTCGACATTGAAATATCTATTTACCTTCTGGTGAACTGTTGACTCTCAATCTTTAAATAAGATATTGACAAATCTCAATCACAAGATATTTATAGTCTTTCACCCCTATTTATACATGTCAAGTATGGTACATTACTGATTTGACTACCATGGCAAGATTCTTACTTGATACGATTTCAAATAATATCTTGCATTTGTGTTTATTGACCTTTGTATACAAGCACCCAGGACTGCACTGCATCCATCTTGTTGCCTTGTTTAATTTAAAATTAACAAACCAGTTTAAAATTGTGAAATTGGCTATTTTGACAAAGATAAAATAAGCAGCGTATTTCAAGGGACATTGACCCACGCCTTATCTAAAACAACTTTCTGCATGCATCTGGAAAGTTATCATAAAGCTACACTTTTGCTACCAGTATTGGATTACATTTGTCTTGTTTATATTTGATAATAGAACATTTCCCCCCTTATCCAATCACAAATATGCCACTTGTCAAATGCTATTGCTTTATAGATCACTCAAAACAATAATTTGAATATCACTTTGAACAGTTATTTGTTTTATACCAACCATAAGCAAACATCATATTGTTTGATTGAGTGGAAATAACCTGTCAAATGGTAGATTATTTCTCTAACTATCACTTGATCAAAAAATCTCAAACATGAGACAGATATGTAAACTGTCACTGTCATATTCTCTACACAAGCAACAGTTCCCATTATTATCACCATCCACTTTCATTTCATCAGAACGTAAAAAGCATTTCTCATCCTGACCTTATCTGGTGAAAGTGATTATAGATGAAAGTCTGGAATTAAATCTATTATCAAATGGTATTTTCAGACTGTTTCTCTTTCGACTCAGGTCAAATTCAAGCACGAGTCAACTAACAAAATTTTGTTTCAGAGAGATTTAAGATTACCAGTTTTGTGGAGCAGAGCAGTTTGCTGTGGGGATTGATATATTTCCTCAATCGTCCTTTGAAGGGCTTCCTTTATAGATGGCATATTGGAAAACGAGTTTAATATTTAGAGAGGCTACACAAGACATGTAGTTTACCCTCATAAATCTGGTTTGATTTATTGTTTTATTTCTCCTCAGCATTATAATTTTTTAGATTCAAGATTGTGCTATCAAATTCAGCTTAAAAAATTTAGCCTGTTCACTCCCACCCTACACATCCTATCACTTCCATTACTACCCTGAATTTTTCCACAATTCCTATTTTTTCTGGTTCTAATCCTTTAAGTTTGAAGCAACAAAACCCTTTTCTAACATTCCAAAATTCTCTTCAACATCATGCTTTGTTGAATGTGATCACGTTTTATTAGATTTGTCTCATTTTTTCTTATGTTTGCCGAATCAATTTTCCCATCAAAATTATGACCCATAGTGATTATGGTATCATTTATGCAAATAATAAACCCTTAGATTTTATTGACATTTATCTTGTGTTGTTTATTTAGGATTCATTCCCTAATTCAAATTGACGTGTTCATTTTCGATGAATCAAAAACAAAAACAGAAAATATTAGTAAATCACACATTAATATTATTGTGAAATCATAGCAACATTTTTTCTCATAATTTTTAATCGATAATTTTTACCTTTTTTATAATTTATAAGTATTTTTGTTACAACAGAAATACTGTAAAAAATATAACGAATCTAATTGAAATTTGATTACTTTCACAACTATAGGTCAAGTATAAATTTATCTTTGCCTGCCAAGCATGGGGTTTGGATAAATATATCCAAACGATTGAACAGTATAGTTCAAATTTAACAGATTTGGATTTACTACGCAGTTTTAGTAATAGTTTCTTTTATATTTGACATTGATGAACCTTTCCGGTTCATTTTTTAAAAGTGTATGGCTTGATTTTGCATGGTCACTGCCTACTAGGTGATCTGAATGGGTATAATTTTTCTTATTGGATTTTTCTGATAGTGTTTCATGCCTCCACTGAAAACCCCGTCAGTTTAAGTAGCCACATTTTTATTTTTAAGTGCTAGACAATTTGTTTTTAAATTTTAGAAGATGAAGATGGAAGTGTCTTCTGAGAAAATATGTTTTATTCATATGCTTTTTTCTCTGAGCAAGGCTCTGCTAGGTAAAAGCTACTTCAGTTTGAAGGAGTTGTAATGTTCCTGGTTCGGCACTGCCCACCTGATTTATTATACCCTGAGTGTGGGGGTGAGCATGGGATTTGATCTCGAAATTTTACGTTAAAATTCACTGTTTTTGAAAAATGCACGCCAAGTATTGTGGCCAGCGAGCACCGATGAAGTTTTTCACATTTTTTCACAACCATTATGTTCATATATTAGTGATTTGCATTCTTGCTTTTGTTGGATAGATTATTCTCTGATTTGTAACTTGATTTGTGATGCGTTTAAAATCTTAAATACACTTGAATGTAACAAGGAGTATCTTTGTAAAGTGTTTACTTGGGACATAGGCAACCTCCTTCATTATAAATCCCACTTCACAACCAGTTAGTCTTCTTTCTTGAAAAAATTAAAAATTTTAAAATAAGCTTTATCAAGCATGGCAATGGATAGAGCGTACTGCTAAGGCATGCTCTATCCATTGAACATGCTCGGACACTTGTACTTTTTTATTCATCCAACAATGGGGGTTCACTTTAAACAGACACAATCTACTTGAATGGTGATAAGTTGTTAAGTGAAACACAAGGCATTTGTATACTTTATTGAATGTTTGTGGTGAAATTCATTCTTTTACATTGATTACAGTTTGTGATAAAGATATTCTGTATGAACAAGTATAGTTGTTATCAGTACTTGAAGTCAATAGAAAGTTAGGTGATGGAGTTTCAGAGCAGTGGTGAATATCATAATTCAGATTTGAAATAGACTGTTTCAGTTCTTATTTCAGTTCACATATTGACATTTTACATTGGTTTTAGATGTGCCTATTCTATGATAACTTTGGCCTAAAGATTAACATTCAATGACTTCAAAAGTATTGTCTTCAAGCCAACACCTCATCAAAAATGTTATAAAATGGTTAAGATATATTGGTATATTTCTAGTCCTTCCAAACACATGCAGTAATAGTTCTATATATCCTCCTCTAAAATAAGTTTTGCGGTAAGAATTACAGATAATATTTTTGGAAACTCACTTTATTTTATTTTAAAATAGAAAAAAATTGATAAAAACATTTGCTAGATTGAATATCATTATGTCGTACAATGCTATGATCAAACTATGTTGGAATTGCATGCTAGATAACTCAAGTAATTGCATGCTAGATAACTCAAGTTGAATTCGCAGTCAACTATGCTGCCAACCTGATACAACCGTTCTATGATAACTTTGGCCTAAAGATTAACATTCAATGACTTCAAAAGTATTGTCTTCAAGCCAACACCTCATCAAAAATGTTATAAAATGGTTAAGATATATTGGTATATTTCTAGTCCTTCCAAACACATGCAGTAATAGTTCTATATATCAGTGACTACTTATATAAGGCTTTTTTAGTTTATGAGGTGTAGAAAATTTTGTAAAAATGGTATTTTATTGTATTATATATAGAATTGTTAGGATTCATTTTTTCTGAACAAAAAATTTGCTCGTTATATATTACGAAAAACTTTTTGTAAATTTGTACAAACTACTAAGATTTGAAAAACGTTTTTGATGTGCATAGAAGTGACTGACGGTTGTATCAGGTTGGCAGCATAGTTGACTGCGAATTCAACTTGAGTTATCTAGCATGCAATTACTTGAGTTATCTAGCATGCAATTCCAACATAGTTTGATCATAGCATTGTACGACATAATGATATTCAATCTAGCAAATGTTTTTATCAATTTTTTTCTATTTTAAAATAAAATAAAGTGAGTTTCCAAAAATATTATCTGTAATTCTTACCGCAAAACTTATTTTAGAGGAGTTCATATATAAACTCTCAAAATGAATTATTAAGCATACCTTATTCTTATCAAGACAGGACAATTTTTTTTATCAATTTATTTTATTTTAAAATAGGAGTGAGTTTTCAAAAATATTATCGGTAATTCTTACCGCAAAACTTATTTTAGAGGAGTTCATATATAAACTCTCAAAATGAATTATTAAGCATACCTTATTCTTATCAAGACAGGACAATTTTTTTTATCAATTTATTTTATTTTAAAATAGGAGTGAGTTTTCAAAAATATTATCGGTAATTCTTACCGCAAAACTTATTTTAGAGGAGTTCATATATAAACTCTCAAAATGAATTATTAAGCATACCTTATTCTTATCAAGACAGGACAATTTTTTTTATCAATTTTTTTTATTTTAAAATAGGAGTGAGTTTTCAAAAATATTATCGGTAATTCTTACCGCAAAACTTATTTTAGAGGAGTTCATATATAAACTCTCAAAATGAATTATTAAGCATACCTTATTCTTATCAAGACAGGACAATTTTTTTTATCAATTTTTTTTATTTTAAAATAGGAGTGAGTTTTCAAAAATATTATCGGTAATTCTTACCGCAAAACTTATTTTAGAGGAGTTCATATATAAACTCTCAAAATGAATTATTAAGCATACCTTATTCTTATCAAGACAGGACAATTTTTTTTATCAATTTTTTTTATTTTAAAATAGGAGTGAGTTTTCAAAAATATTATCGGTAATTCTTACCGCAAAACTTATTTTAGAGGAGTTCATATATAAACTCTCAAAATGAATTATTAAGCATACCTTATTCTTATCAAGACAGGACAATTTTTTTTATCAATTTTTTTTATTTTAAAATAGGAGTGAGTTTTCAAAAATATTATCGGTAATTCTTACCGCAAAACTTATTTTAGAGGAGTTCATATATAAACTCTCAAAATGAATTATTAAGCATACCTTATTCTTATCCAGACAGGACAATTTTTTTGATCAATTTTTTTTTATTTTAAAATAGGAGTGAGTTTTCAAAAATATTATGGGTAATTCTTACCGCAAAACTTATTTTAGAGGAGTTCATATATAAACCCTCAAAATGAATTATTAAGCATACCTTATTCTTATCAAGACAGGACAATATTATCCATTTTAGAATTTGTATTCTGCTACACTTAGTTCCACAATGCCTGAATTTATATTCCCACTTACCTAATATTAACTACCAGAATAAATTCAGCTACATCTTGTCATTTATACTTGATTAATTATAAATTTTTATTACCGGTACCGGATCTTGAATTTAAATATACATTGGGAATAAAAAATGACGAGTTTTCTAAGTTGTTTTCATGTTGATTGACTTGCTATGAAAACCCTTGGTGGTATTTTCATAAGAATGCTTGACATCGACTTCTGGTTTTGTTGAAATGTGAAGGACACTTTGGCATTTGGTAGACATTGACAATTAGTTTTCGTTTTTGTGTGGTCATAGTCTTGAAGATGCCTGAATTTATATGTATTCAAATCCCATCTCATGTTGGTGGGATACAGGTATGTATAACTTTTTGTATAAAGATTGTGAAAATAATTTTGATTTTTTTTTCTTGTACCAACTGACAATTACCTCTTACTTTTTCTGTGTTATTCACCATAATATTTGATTCAAATGAAAAATTCTGTTTTTCCATTTGAGGGCTTTACGAATGGTGCATAGGGATGAGCACTTTTGCTCTGAAAAAAGCTCTGCACATACAGCCTTTGCTTGTTGAAAAGATACTATAGTTTGGAAATATCAGTATCTTCTCGATTCGGCATTGCCTACACAATTTTTTACACTCTGGGTGAGGTGGTGTGAAGGGCATTTGAATGGATTTAACTTATAATGCTGTCATCGTCAAGTTTAACGCTTCAACTATCTGGCCAGCACACCTAGGCACTTGTCATTAAACTACTAATTGATTGTCTTGTGTGGATTCACAAGTTCGAATCCTGTGTGAGACAATTTTGTGCTCGAGGTTTGCTAGACTCCTGAAAGTCTGGGTGGCTTACCCACTGATCGGTTTCAACTTCTCCCACTAGATGCGTTCGTCATCTGAAACAATTAAATGGTTAACTATTTTCATACCTAAGCCAGCAAAAAGGTAACCATATGAGTGACCTTGGTACTTTGTCAATGTTATTCTTTATTTATTCTCTACAAAACAACTTCGAAATTGCTATTTCATTTACAGGGTTTGAAAATGACGCCACAGCATAAAGTTAACAGTTCATTACCAGAGAAATCTTCATCTGCTGCTCAGTTCCATAGGAAGAAGCAAGCAATATCTAGTGGTGAGTTACATTAAAATTTTAGCCAGTAACTGGGGTGACCTCATGAGTTTGTTATAAGATCATCATTGACAATTATTATCGAGCCTTAGTTCCACTCTTCATCTTAGTTGCAGTATTGATGCTTATGTAACCCAGTTCTGAACAAATAGGGATGCAAGTCACTATCATATATGGCTTTAGTCCACGCAAGCCTAAATTCTACCATTGTTTGTATGAAGGTATATATCCTAAAGAATATATATATATATTTCCAGTATCCGAAATTGAATTTATCGAATGGGAGGTTTAATCTTTATTGTAGATATTATGTTAGGTAAAAATGCTTTAAAGTTTGGTATTCTTGATTTAATTTATGCCAATATTAATATAAAAACTCATTAGGCGGACTACATTTCAGCAAAAGTTTTGTCAAATTTATATCATGTATAATGTAGTGTTGTTTATATGAGGTATGTTTTGATGTATGAAACGATATACTAAATTAATGAATAGATAGAGCAGAGCGGTTCTTGGAGAGCCACAAGCTAACGCCTCAGGCTAGGGGCCATGGCTGCATGAATTAAAAGTAAATTGACCATGATTTGGTTTATCATTTGATATTTTTTACTTATGTTTGTTGGCGTTTTATTATTAAACATGGCCCATACGATAACTGATGAAAACATGTTAAAAGCAAAACTAAGTATTTTTATAGAAAAGCAGGGGGCACAAGTGTTGAAAGAAAGACACCACCAATCATAAAAGTTAGAGAACCTCTATACTGGGTACTGGCTGATAAAACATTGCAACGTTTTAAGATATGACATGATTCATACATAGACTGCATCCAACACTCTCCTAGGCCAGGATAGGATGATTTCGTGTATTCATTTCAATTCTTCAACTTTACGAAATCAATAGAGAGAGGATCCCAGAAAATTTTACTAGTATATGGACATATAGATATGGAATTAGATATGTCTAATGTTTTGATATATATGAATTTACTATCACATATCAAAACTCATTATCGTCATCACAATCTTTAACCCAAAGGGGCAAAACCTGAAAAAGCTGTTTTGAGAAAATGAGGAAAACAAACCTCTAACAATTAATTGAACTACTAATTATTGCTTCAAACTATGACCCAATACCAAGGAGGCATTGCTTTTGTTGATATTGGAGTTTGTAACAAGAAGCCAAATCTTGTGAAAATACACAAATTAAATAAAATACCCTAATTCAAATTTTTGCCTTTTTACATCCTTTAATACTGTGTTTAATCATGCCTTTACTTGACTATTTGAAGGTTTTGCCAAATAACCTTGATTGAGTATTTGAAAACTCAAAACTAGTTTTTTGTGATTGTGTAGGTAGATTTTGCATATTGTGACTAATATGTCATACCCGGATTGAAAAAAAAAATTTTTTCCAGTAAGAAAGAGGTACATTCCCCCTTTTCCAAAATTTCTTTTGCACTAAACGAGCAATATAAAATGTAAACTGTTGATCTTGAAGAGCACACATTTTTCTTTGCACTATTTTTCGATGATTTTTTTTTCAAAATTTCTAAATTTTTTCTTTTATTTTTTGACACGTGAAATACCAATTTTTCGAAGGAATTTGTTTCAAGCAAGGGTTTTACTCACTCAAATCACAATATTCAAAATCTAAAAAGATTCAGATAAAATAGTCAGAATACTGTACTATTTAAACATGATCATATCTACAATTAGATTCATTGGGTCTGAAATACAAACATTATCTTTGTCCAATTGCTTTAATTCAATATGGATCTGGTTTATTTATATGAGCTTCCATGATATTTTTAGTGTAAATATACGAACAACTTCTTTGCTATTGTTCTGGAGACAATACGGCTATTGTTCTGTCTATAGTTTTCAAACATACACGTTGCGGTAAAGACTTTAAATTTTGATGAACAATTGTAGGAAAACGTTGTCAGCTAGCAGTGTTGTGTTTTAAAGAGTCTACAACAAATACCATAGTCTCTTTATTAAAACATAATATTGCTTCCATGAAAATTGATGACCAACTGTATTTTGAGATCCGAAATGAGTGTTGTCTGTAATAAAGTGTTGAGTTTAGTTGACTTTGAAGCAAATTTTAGCGGTGTGCAGTGTTTACTTAATGTTTCTATGAAGCAAAGTTTATATATGATGTGGGCAAATTTTTAGAATGGTATCACTTAAGTTATTACTTATCGATGTTGATAGGTATTTGTCTGTCTGTTTGTCTGTTAGATGCACACGATATCTCACGAAGGCATTCATCATATCTCGGACCAGAAGCCTATTGATTTTGGATTAATTATGTCGTATAATTAGCGAGTTATTAATTAATTAGTGATGGGACACACGGTGTCACTATAGAGTCATGAATCGAAACCGTAGTTTCGATCGATAAGTCTTCGGTCTCTGACCGATATTCTCGTTTATTTGTTTCTGAATTTTTCATCAATTTGAATATACGACTCGTATATAATATTATTGTAATTTGTAATGAAATAACATCTTCAGCAACTTAGCATTCCCACAATAGTTGATCACTAAATTTGTGTAAAGTTTTGTTTTGGATGCTATGTACGCAACGACTTTATTCAGGGTTGTTTTTATATGCTGATATAGATAGTTTTTTTTTTTAAAATTATGGTATAGGACCTGGATGTTTGAATTGTTCAATATTGCTAGATTTTAATGGCTTGGAATTCTAAATGTCCATAACAAATATATTTCACAGAAAAATTGAAATGAATTTTAATTTTTAATTCGCAAAATGCAAAAAGGGCAAATTATATAGAAAAAATTGCTTGATTATCCGAATATTTCAAAAAAGCACTCATCGGTTAGCCAATAATTATGAATTTTTTTAAAACCATATCCTCGTTACATCTTTATACTACACTTGCTTTATCGCCCCAAAAATTAGTTGCAATAAATGTGATGAATATCATCCATTTCGATGAAAATCACCATCATATAAATTAAAAGTCAATCAAAGCCATTATTTTATCTCTGAACTTAGTCTTTCAACCATAAAAATAACATTCAAATTCATACTAATTATCCTATCTAGTGTTGAAAGTCCTCATTAGGCAGGAAAACCTTAGAACATAATGGTAGACTCAAGTGTTGTAGTTTTTTGTTTTTAATGACACTCGACCTGATCCGAAAACTCCGCCTCTAGTTGTCAGGGGATTAAAAAGCAGGTGTTCATGTATATTATGAAGTCATTACGCTTGAAATTTGTAATTTTAGCAGACGTTTGTCTGAAGTTGAAAGAGCTTCAACAATAAATCGCAGCATTCAGTTCAATGTAGTTGTTCATTATTAGGTATTGAGATGAGCAAGATCCAGTTCATACTGCAGTTTGAAAGTACAGGGTGACCAGAACAATTGAACCTAGGTCATTTGAAACATATTTTAGAGAGAACAGCAGAGCTTCCTAGATTACTAAAACATTTGGGTACAATCATAAACAAACATGAGTTCAAGTGTTAAAATATTTTCTTTATTTTTGTAGTAGGTTTTAAGAAATTATTGTTTCTTTTTTTTGAATCGCCTTGTATGCAAAATTAAAGGTTAGTTTTCAGATAGCATATTTATATTAGCATGGTTGTTTTAAGAGCTCAATTTAAAATGCTGGAAGGGATTCATAGCTTTGGGTATATTGGAGATTTTTAGCAACAGATGCAATATATATAGTCAACCTAGTTCAGCTAGACAAAAATTTGGTAAAGAAGTATATAACATGCTTTTTCTACTCATATTACATTCTGAAATTGGAATTTCCTAGAACTTTACTTTATTAACTAGTGTTTTTTATATCATTCGTTAAGATTGCTTTTATTGTCAATCAACAATCACAACCATCGGGCTGTATGTTTCCTTAGCACCATTGTTTGAATATACTTAAGTACAATGCAGCATAATACAATTGAAAATTATTACTGGAATTTATATTAGGTTTTGAGTGGCAATGTGCCATTTATTGTTTTTTTAGTTGAGGTCTTGTTGCTATTGCTCTATCCATTGGATTGAAATTTGTTAAATTTGATACATTAAGTTAGGTTATCCCCATCCCATCGTTATCCCCATTATTTCAACATTGACATTGCTGCTATAAATATTATGATACTCTTTCTTGTATTTTTTTTTATCTTTCGTATTATGATTTGTTGAGTCTAAGCATTTCCAGGAATCTAAACCATATATTATCCACAAAAACTAAATTGAAACCTTTTAGAATCGTCATGTTCCCACTTTTGAATTAGAAATTGAAATATATTCTCAGTAAGCAAGCGAATAAAATTTCAGATCTTCAAATTTCAGTTATCAATTAACTCATTGCTCACTTTCTTTCTGTCCAAAGCCTGTTGATTCTAACCCAGGAAAGCCCTAAACCCACCACAACCTCATGTCAATATCAAGGCATGAATCTAACAGATGATCTAGTCAAAGTTATTTCACGATCAAATACTGCATTTTATATGGTCATTTTATCTCTATGAGTAAATTTAAGGTTATTTGAGCTTTATACAATTTCTAACTAATATCAGTTTATCTAACTAACTAATATCGACATATCAAGCATAGCTATGTTTATATATTGGAATAAAATATTCACATTAAGACTGGTTTATAAAGAAAAAAGGTGATACATAATCTAATACTCCCTAAAAACCGGTATGGTATAACCAGGTACGCCTTATGCATGGACAAAACACCAATCTAAGCAATTTTATGCCTTATAATGCCTTATAATCAGGGCTGCAATCGAGATGAACCCAAAAATAAGGACATCAGGGAAACATAATAAAAAGATAACAAAAAACGAAATGTAACAGAAAAAATGTATTCATGCCTGTGCGACATGTGTCTAATCATACTTTGCACTAGAAAGGATTTGCATTAAAAGTTCTTTATTCTTAGACACTATCTGCTCCATCTCACTTCTAAGTTCACTTTCACTTACGCGGCAATTAATGAGGTTCTAATATAATTTCTAGCAAATCAATCATTTAAATTGGCCAATCTAATAGGGATGTTTCTTAGAAAAAAGTACGAAAAAATTTCAAAATAAGGACTGATCCTAGAAATGAGGACGTTATGACAGCCCTGCTTATAACCAACCCGGTGCGCCTTATAGTCCGTAAAATACGGTCTTCAAAAAGCGTTGCAGGTTCCATCCAAATATATATGTTGGTGTATATTGTTAACATTATAAATGTTTGTTGTTTTCTTTTCTTTGTATTAACAACCAGTGCAAATTTTATGTTTGTTTTTCGTTTGTATTTGCAGCAAAACCTAATGTTCCAGTCAGCAGTAAATTGAAACGTAGAATCAGTAAATCTGCAGCAGTGAATCGTCGGAAATCTACAACTCACAAGGATGGAAATAAATCTTTGATTGTAAATAATACTCCAGGTTGGTATAAATATATCTATTGTATAACAATCTTGAAGCTTGAGGATCTTTTCTGAAGATGTCAAGGGTTATCTATGACTAGCAAAGTTTCAATTTTGCTTTCCTATTACGGTATATTTTTATCGACAAGCTGGCTTATATCATATTTTTAAGCTGGGTTTGATTAAAGTAGGGTCCTTGATTCTCCCACTAAGAAACTGTAAGCTATTACTCAAAATTGAAGGAATTAAGTTACTAACAGCAGGTTGTGTGACATTTTCGGAGTTCTGCAAAATATGCAAAACATATTTTTTGAACGTTATAAATATTTCAAATATTTACAATGAAACTAAAAAAATGAATATGAGGTAAAGATCAGGATACAAATTTAACTAAAGACTGAGATTCTAGTCATTTTGATTTAATTTTTTTGTACTATTTAATGAGTGTTAATTTTTTTTTTCTCATTTTACTAGCATGCTTTAAAAAAATCTTCTCATGCTAATTGTGTAAAAAAAAGTTGTATTAGTATCAACTGAAAAATAACAATACTAAAAATATTTGTGAATCCGTAATAATCTATAATTTTCAATTCGTTGCACAGTCATAAACAATTCTCACTTATTATTGAATTGTGTTTCAGTTCCAGAACCTTCAAAATTACTGAATCAATTGAATAATTCTCATCATATCAAATCACCTATTGCACAAGTAAGTTATATTCTGTAAACGAAAAGTTTTCGGTAACGATTAGTGTACAAGCGTTATGAAATTCATTGTTTCCATATGTTATAAATAGTGTTCCCATGAATTAAAAAGTGACAGAGGAAATTTGAAAAAAAAGTGTTAGTAATAGCATTCTATTAACTTCTTTCATTTACAATTATTGAAAATTTGAAACCGATAGGTGTATTAATTGCAGAGAAAAGTGATTTTTTAACAGCAACAATTACCCCAAACAACAGTCAGAAAGATGATATATATGTAGGCCTACACTTCGTGCCCAATAACATGAAAGCTCTTTAATCATATCAGTTATTCATATAATTTATATGATGATGGTTCAGGCCGAAATATGTGACAGAATTCATTACAGTAGTAGTGGCTGATTTTATAGATAAGATGGTTTTAATATTGCAGGGTAATTTTACTCATGAAGCAACATCACTAAATAAACCAGTTACCCATGTTGACATGAAATACAGGCAACAATTTGCTGAAAAATCAGGTATGCTGAGATGTATTAATTTTGTAATATTAAGTTTAACTTCAATCATAGTATTTTTGGATTGTTAAAAGTTTTCTATATATAAATGTCAAGAGAGTAAAGAATTTCATGTCTGTTCTGTCCCTGTCGAGTGTGACAATTGCTAACATGGTTTGGCAGTTGGCACATTGTACTAATCATTAAAAATACATTTGCATTGCATCGTTGATTACACTGCTCGGCTCGCAGGTTTGAATCCTGTGGGATATTCACGTGTGAGAGGATTGCTGGACTCCTCTTCTTCATAGAGTGTTTATCCATTGTTAAGTTCATGCATCTGGTACAAATACCTGGTTAACCAGTTTCATACCTGACATGGTCTGGTAACTGGATGAGATGCCATGGTCTACCATGGTTTCTCTGGTTTGGCGTTGCCTACCCGAATTAGTACTTCCTTGAGTTTAAAGAAAAGACCACTAGAGCACCGCACCCACTTGTTATTATTACTTGATCAGATTCAAAAATATATTCAAATCAATGCTAAACTTTTTGTTTAATTCAGAAGATAATACTTTGAAGAACGGTATGGAAAATAATGAGACTGAACCCGATTTAGTGAATGCAAAGATTTCAAATGAACAGAAGTAAGATCAAAGCATCGTTCTTTTGTTAAGTGAATAAAAACATATTGAATCTCAATTAAAAATCTAATTGTTTTTTTCTTTATTTAATACACAAAACCTAAGTACCATTAGTAAGTATGCTACGTTTTATACATTTTACCCAATACACAATTCACATAGTTTGAAAGCCTAAATACTTTATATTCATTCATATGTGAATGATTCTAATTTTAGTGAAGGACAAACAATATCTTCATCAACAAATAATTCCAGTAGTTTATTTCAATCTTCAAGTCAAGATGAAATCACCGATAATAAATCTCATCTCAAATCAGAACAACATCTTCAAAGTATTGCAGAAACAAATGGAGAGGAGTAAGTTTTTCTTTGGAATTTTTTATATTTCAGGGGAGATCAACGACAAATAAATAGCAGTCAAATCATATGGCAAACCATTGCCTCTTGTCTGATTATCAGTACAGAGATGATATGAGAAAAGCTGACAGGTTATATAGACTTTGTGAGTGGAGGAAGCTGTAACTGACCACCATTTACATGTACCAACCACCTTGCAATGTTGAGTACAGCTCATTATTGTCATCTGTATTGTTGAATTATATGGGAATATTAGTGATGATGTGTTGAGAATGGTAGTAATGATTGAAGCAGTATGCCCGCCACTTGAAAGTTTTCAGCCACCACACTGAAATAGCTTACAAATGATTGAAGGCATTTACATGTTCCATCTCTATGGTGTTTTTCGGAAATCTATTGTCTCTTAGCGTACATTCTTCACCCGTAAACCAACGCTTGCGTTTATGCTTTAATTTTATTTTATGTAATTTTTTGAAACATTTTATGGAAAATTAACCTTATGAAATAACAAAATTTTTTCATCTAGGGTTCAAGATATTGACTGCTTGAATATGAGAGAAATCCTGGATAAACGGAGGTGAGTTTTTGCTCTGTAAACAAGTGCATTTTTTACCTCTATCAACTGGCATATGTTTTACAAGAATAAATCTATATATAGCTGTTTTGTATCAGTAAAATTTAAAACTCTGTCAGTATTCATTCATGTCTATGTCTCAAGATTTTCCCTTACGTAAACTAGGAAAAAATTATTATGAGGCTGAAAACATTTTATTTTATGCTTTTTATGGAATTTAGATATATAATATGAGTTTCTAAGCCTATGTCATTTTTAGGATAGGTAAGAAAGATACTTATCTCCAATCATTATAACTCTTTATATTCACACTAAATATTTAGTGATATTTGGTAAAGTTAGGTATTGATGTATAGGCTTCAGATGTACAGACCGGTTTCAAACTTTCATGATCCGTGGCCCCCAAAGATTCCTTACACTTATGCCTCCCAAACAGTGTCAAAAGTAAGAGATTAAACGCATTACAGTCCAAGAAATAACCAAATCACTTGATGTAGTCATTGCAGTGGTACCTAGTTCAAGGCTATCACCCATGGGCCACAGAGAATCATTCTATAACACTCTCAGGGACAATGGGCCTAGTTTTGTAAAATGTTGGCTTGGAAGAATGTCAATTATTTAGCATAACTCAATTCTATGAATTTTCTTTCAGAATTGAAGAAGATGGTGACAGTGATGATGATGAAATGATAATTCCTAATTTATTGGAATATGATTTCCATGCCATCTATAAAAAAGATGGTTTACAGTTCGATGAGAAGTGGCAGGTTAGCTACATAATCAAGTTTTTATGTTGTATAGTTACAGTCGAATATTGCTGTAGTGGGTGCAATAGCCTAGTGATTATGAGTGTTAGACTTGGAACAATGTTTGTATTGCATGTTACACGTTCTTGTTTAAATCCCATGCCAATCATTCCACCCATGGAGTAATAAAGTGGGTAGGCAATATCCTCCAAAAAATCGTTGCTTTTTAGTCATCAGTGGCCAGTTGAACAGAGCCTTGACCAGAGCAAAAAGTGAAAATAAGCATTGTATGATAAAAAAAACTTGAAGTATTCAAAACCAATGCTTGATAGTTCAAGTTGAAATAGTTATCAAACAATATACCAGTACTTCTCTTCTGTAATGTTAGACTTGATTGGTTGATTGCGCAAAATTTAATTTAGGTAGTACCAGTCATTTTTTTATTTTTTTCCATCACCTTGCACTCTAGTTTGAGATAACAACTGTAGTTCAATTTGTAAATATTGAGCACAAAAAAGTAATCAATAGAAATATATTTTCAGTGTTGATAAACAGAGATCAAATCTATGTTCATTTATTCATTATCACAACGAGACCAAGATTCGATCTCAAGAAATGTTTCTTGTGATGTCATTTTTTTAAAAACCATCACCAATTGAGCAATAATTTGTTTTAGGATCGTATGTTGGAAAGATATCTTTTATTAAAACTTCAAAAGGAACAAAGACAAGAAGCCGCAATGAATAAAAGAATTTTTCTTGAACAAGAAAGACAGTTTCGTCTACTTGCTTCTCAACCGGTATTACTCGATTCTTAGTTTTTTTAATTGATATGCGATAAGCATACTGTCTACTGTTATTATGGTCAGATGCATATTTTACCATGCCATATTTGCACTTATTACTGTATTTAATTTTTGTTTAGGATTTACTTCAAAAATACAACGAACCATGGTACGAAGATCCTGACTTACTTGCAAACTATATTCTGAACAGTAACTTAATGCAGGGTAAAGAAACACCTTCCAATCACATGGAAAACCATGATTATCATTTGTATAAACGACCTATGAGTGAGGCATCGATACACAAAGATTCAAGCGATAGATGGTCAGAAAGAGATCGACATTTTAGGTAAAACGCCTACTTTACATCAAGTTGTGTAAAGCATGAGTCGGCAAACTTTTGTCGTTTGCGAGCCAACGCTAAAGGTTGCAAGTCATTGGTGGGCCGCACATATTTTTAGAAAGTTAAGAACCGAGGGAATGGCCAATGAATCACATTTTTTCACACAGATTTCAGTTAAATTTCAAGAAGCGTGCGAAGACTGATCATTTGAATATTTTCTCCGCCATTAAACCATTTGCACTCAGCATCAACTTTTTTACGTTCTATTGCCATTTGTTTAATTATAATCAATTCATAGGCTCTATAAACGAGTGATTGTGAATTATATACTTGTTAGGTTATAATATAATTTGTGTCTCAAAACAAATTCTTTTACATAAAGAATATAATTGTCAATACAGTTGTTTTGTTAATATAATTCAATGAAGCATCGTGGGCCTGATTATATTGTTGCGCGAGCCGGATCTGGCCCGGGGGCCGTAGTTTGCTGATCCCTGGTGTAAAGGGACGGAAGCCTATGGGCAGGGGGTATATTCACTTGGCTAACACAGACAGTCCCCGAACTCGTAATAGAACTAAAACAAGCCCTAACCTGGTACACACCCTATGGGAGTACCCAACTTACTCCATAGTTTTAAATTACCGTAATACATAAGTGAATGTATTGATGTAATTGTTGCAACTCGGTTGATTGTCACATTAGGTTAGTAAACACTATTGAAAGTGCTCCCAGAATTTGTATTGGATGGATGTTGACAAGATAATATATCCCTCATTTTGAGGTCTTTTCTGTAGCTGTCTTGATGATATCGACTAGGAACAAAGAAATCAAATGGCAAGCGGTTAAATACTTGTTAATACAGGAAGATGCCATTGCTTGCCACATAGATAGGAATGAGTCTAATATCTTCCCTCTTAAAAAAAAAAGGAAATTGAATCTTTCATTGAATGTACAATTGTCACAATTTTCAAGAATTTGTTTTCTTGAGTAATTGAGTAATTTGTTTATCATTTTGAGGCACTGAACATATATGTATGTCTTGTAGGACCAATCTCTTTCTTTCATTTCTTTCTTTATGTGTAAAATCTTTTTTTTTTCAGATTTTCGATCAGAGATCAATCCAATGCAGATACCCATGATAGATCAAGTATTCTTCCAAAATGTACAAAAATATCAACTCCGCCCAATAATTATCTTCCCCCAACATCTTTCAATAGCAATACTGCTCTAAGAACCAAAAGCTCATGTTCATCTTTTCAAAGACTGGCAACAGAGAGACCAAGATCAAGTACATCTATACCTGGAAAAACAAGGTATATGGTTTTTCAATTTTTGAATTCAAACCCAATATTTACTTGGTATAATTTTATGTCCATGCTTCCGAAAACAAATAACTGGCTAACCAATCACATACTCGACATAGACTGGTAACTGGACGAGAGGCCGTGGTTCGCCATACAATTGAGCCATCTTATCGGCCTTCCTCTTGCCTGGGATAAATATGTAAACCCTATCCTTGTCTTATATATTCATTATTATAACCCAATATTTCAGGTACATTTTAATCAAATCTGGGAAAACCAAGAAGCCGGTTAAAGCACCAAGTCCCACTAAATTAGAAGAAAATTTGTTAAAGAAGCGATTTCCGAGCCAACATTGTCACGTTATGAAATCACTCGGACGACTCGATGAACTAGAACTATCAGATTATGATGAAATAACAAAAGCACAACAATGCTTGAACAGTAGAGTAACTACTCCTGTCTTTGGAAATCGCCACGCACAAACTGCTATTCCAGATACCGGAGGAAGGCATTTACAGAAAAGTTACAAGAGTGAGACAGATGCCCATGTTGTTACAAGAAACACTCCTGTTAAAGGTTTTGGTTCGGTACTTGATCAAATAGAACCGTCATCATCAGTTTGTTACACAAATTCCTGGATGTCTCCTTCTTCGAATGTTTGTATAAATCCATTGGACATTGTTAAACGAAAATCATCAGGTAATATACCCCATCAAAAACATATCTCTGCTTGAGTTTCTTCACATAGTCTTCTTCATTCAATTTTGAGTAACCAAAATGAGACACATTTGTCAGAGGATATATTAGTAAGTAAGAATTCAAGTCATCACAGTAGTCCATACTGTTGCGAATTTCATTGTGATTCTTTGTTCCATACTTTATTTTTCTTTAAACCTATTAGCATATAACAATGAATTGTTAGTTAGATAACTTTGTTTTTGAATCTCAGATTTTGGAAAATATCTTAATCCATGTGACTCAAAGTAAGTGCATTTGTGAGATTATGCCCTTAGTATTCAGAGCATTGCATGTAATCTATATTTCTAAGTAATCTGATGTATCTATGTTTTTCACAATTTATTGTTGTTACCCTGGCTAAATACCTATCGCTGCTAGACTGTGATTTTTCTATTTTCGGAGATTTCTTTACCGCTGTTTGTGATGTTTAAGAGAAGTGTAGGAGCATGGAAATTTCTTCCAAACCAACACTTAGTAGAATAATAATCTCATAACCAAAACCAGGGGTGGCCAACACAACGATTGAAATCGATTGATCAATTGCCACATGTGGAGTGGATGATTGCACCTGATTTTGATACAACTTTATTAACAACATGCTAAAATATTTGTCTTCACTATAATTCTCGCTGCGACTTCTGTGTTCTAAAAAGAAAGGAATATGTACTGCACTTGCCAAAAAAAAAACGATATGATTTGAGACAAGTCTGATGAGGCACATTAAAACGCAACAAATTCAAGTTTGTCTTTGTCAACATTTAAAAACGAAAAGACTGAGTGAGATTTTTTAGGTGACGAATAATTCTGAAATCTATAATTCATTTTGCCCTTAATTTCTTCATCATCACAAAGATTTTTTCTATCCTGGAGTGCTATAAATTGTGTTCCCAACAGTAGTAGTAACGTCACAGCATCCATTTTGATGTTGATCAATACTTGTTGTTAAATTGTTAATACTCGTTCACTTTTGTGTGTGAATGCATTGTCGATCTCGGTCGAAAATAGGTTAGCCGCCCCAGACATAAACAAGCAGGACAAATTTAAAAACGATGTGTTTTAATTATCCTGGTTCCAATGTTATGAACATTGCCAATATCTACCTCTTATCCAACCAATTAGATAAACTGAAATGATCTCAATACCACAGTGATAAGTTAATGTAACATTTCAGAGTCTTCGTTCAACTGCTCTCTATAAGATTTTTGGGATACCTTGCCTTAGGCCTAGACTTTTTCCATTTTATTTGTTCACCATATTAAATTTGCTTCCTTCAAAGATGGCAAAAATATATATTTTATGTACTGTTTTAAACACCTTTTTCTGTATCTGATTTTACTTTATTCTTTTTTTCAAAAGTATTCCATCTATCTTTATTATCTATTTGAATTGTTCAGTAATGTATTTCAGTTAAATTCATTTTAATAAAACTGTAGCACCGAAGAATTTCTGTTAATTGAATATTCAAGTTTTCAGAAGATATTGCTGGGACATGAAGCAAGTGCGAGGGTAATAAAAAATGATCATGTTGGGCACGGGTGTGCAACAATTTTTTGACAATGGGCCATATAATCAACTTCAGACATCAGCTGGGTGTCACAATATTTTGTTCTAAACAATTGCTCTATATATGAAAACCTGAGACAACAAAATACATTGGCGACAATTAGAGCACCACCGGAAAGGCAAGAGAAGAGCATGCGGCTATCGCTCAGCCTCACAGTAATCAGAGCATCCAGCGACAAAAGCAATAAAAACAATGTGTATTTGTAAACTGTCGAATTAGGATTTTAGCTTCGATTGGGAGAAATCAGAGGTTTGTGGCACGCGGGTCGGCTGTTGCATACCCCTGTTGTAGAGTATTTACATCTCAACAATAAATAGTTAATTTCAACAGATTAGTATTCTGGGCTAATCACACCATTAAATATGAAAAAGGAATACAAAATAAATAAGTCTAACACATATTATTCTCACTGTTCATTATATTGCTTCCATAAATATCATTTTTTTAGCCAGATGACGCCAAGTAAGTTTCTGGTTGAAGGACAATTTGACATTACACCTTTTATTTGAATAATCTCAGCGCACATCACAATACTGCTCCAGAAAAAAAAAATAGATTGAAACGTTTGCTATATTACCTAACTAACATCAATGTTATATATTTTAACTGCAATAGCTAGTTTAGGCTGAGAACCAAATAATAGTTGAACTAGTGTAAAAGTCAACAGTTTGAAACCATTTACAACACATTGCCATACCCATACCCACAGAGTTTGGCTTGAGATTCCCAGATTTCTAACTAAAACCCCACCAAATCTCAGCAAACAAAATTTATTTGGAAAGCAATGTTTATTATTTCTTCCAATACACAAATCTATCTCCACTAATATCATACAATAATGATTTTGTAATGTTAATTCATAGAATCCCAATGAAGACCATAAAAGTTCATACTGGATACAAGGATGCAAGATCAAACACGAAAAGCAATTTACTTTTTTGTTACTTTCACAAATCAACCATAGATGTAAAATAAAATCAGTCATGTCAAGATATTTTCATAAAAGACAGAAAGAGCTATGGACTAATGAGGGGCCTTGGCTTACACATTCACAATAACTACTTTAGCCATAGATTGTCATTTTTCGGCATTATTATCTTCCGAGAATCCATGATGGAAAAATCCAAATTGCAAAATATATATAACATCCAGCAGTTTATGGTTGAAATGTGAAAAGTCACCAATCCAATATCATATATTAAAACATATCAATCAAACCATTGATGTAAAAATGACAATATTAATGCAGCATCTCCACATAAACGTGAAACTATTAGCTATGAGAACTGATTGCAATTATCGATTTATGTTGGAATCACAAAACTGTTCACTGGCATTTCCTATCCACAATCAATAATCATTCTACACCTACCCATCTATCCATTCAATTCCAATTTTTTGATAATAATGATAATATCCATCACAATTATTACAAAAAATATATCCATGATAGCACTTGTAACCTATATTAATAATAAATGTAATAATAATAATAACAAACTACATAAACAATTACAAAAGAATTCCAAAACCATATTTTTTCCTTCTCACGACGATCTGAAGTGTTTATATTTTTTTTTATTGATTTTATAAAAAAAAAAGTCCAAAAACGGAAAAAAAAATCATGCACAAAATCTATTGGAAAATGTTTGCAAAACTAAAAGTATGAATAAAAATATCATGCGACGGCTGATATTAGTGATCAAAAAAATGGGGAAAGAACACGAAAAAATCACGCGTTAGTATGGCTGTATACAAAAGGGTACTCAAAAAAATGTTTCCAAATGGAAATTTACAGCGTTGAAAATACGACGTCCGAGAGCTTGGCAAGACGGATTATTAATTCTTCTCGGATGCGTTAGTAAAAAGGTGTTTTTCTAAAAAATGAATTTTATATGAAATAAAAACAAATAAATGATCAGTCTGACTGTGGTTTGTGGAGAGAAACATCATTCAAAAACTAAAAATATCATATCTTGAGATAGAATTAAAAAATGGGAGAAACCATTAGATTACCACACAAAAATTAAATTAAAAATTATGATTTTAGAGATAAGTCACCATTGTAAATAAAAATTTCATCAAGGGTTCACTGTTTACATGTGTGAGTCTACTTTCAAAAATGGAGAAGCAATCAAAATCTTTTAGATAATAACCGAACTAATCTCCAAGACAAAATATTTTAACCACATGGTACTAGATTCTAAGTTCATATATTTATGAAAAATAAACAATGTCTACTTTCTCTCCTTATTTTTTGGACTTTGGCTATGAAGCTTTGGGTATTTTAATCTAATGATTAAGTAAAGATATCTTCGGTTATATAGTAATAGAAGTAGCAATGAGCACTGAAAAAACCTGCATATTATGAGTGCCGATTACATAGTACAAAATAAATTGAAATGACAAATTCTTGTGTTCTATGTACACATATTGCACGGAACAAAATCTTGATTGTAAAATATCATATCATTCAATCTAAATCAAGCAGGACAAAAATATTAACATGCGTTCAATTAGGATTCTCTGGAAAGTTATGAAATTTCACACAAAAATGGTTACAAATAATCATCGGTTAAGAAGATATTGTGTTATAGACATCAGAACATCGCCAAAAGATTTTAATGGGGGAAAGATATGAATGCATTTGAATTTATGCAAATTTAGAATCAGCTTTACAATAGCAGTGTCTATTGTCCAGCAAAGCTTCAACACAATAGTTTAAATACTTTTGATCTATGATACGAAGAAACCAATTTATAATTATAGCATGTAAAGTCGTTACTGACAACTGACAAAGTGGTATGAAAGCTTTGGATACTCAATATTATATTTTCATCCGGAAATTTTAAATGTCATGGAGTAAATAAAGCGAGACGAAAAGATGACAGTTTATTTTTACCCATGACTCGAGCGAAAGTGAAATAATAACAGTGCTTAATGAGAAAACTAATGAATGTATGAAAATCTGTGGTTGGGAAAATAAATCAATATTTAGGTTATAAATGGCTTTCACCGTTTGAAAGTGCAGACTTATTTTATCTACGCAAATGAAAATTTATTTGAAAAAAATATAGAATAAGCAGAAAAACACACCACACTACTATTACACAAATACCCAGAAAAGGCATTAGAAAAATAGAAATACGAAAGCAAGAATCGATGACAAGCGAAAAAACGCAAGTAAATAGACAAAAATAATTGCACGGCACATGAGCAAAATTAGTGGCGAAGATCAAACTAAAGACCTTCAATTATATCATCGTTATCGAAGCACTGTGAGAAATATTGGACTGCAGTTTATCATATGATTATTTTATAATATATTCAATGCATCATATTATATTTTGTCGTTAATTGCAGCATGGGAGAGCATTTGAAATATACTGGGATAAGTGATAAATGGCAGTTTTAATATCTCTACTGAAAATATTAAATTTAATATTGCAAGTCATTGTAATATTATTAATATTTTATAATTAAACTATTGAAAATTAATATAGCTACCAAAAAAAACAACAACACCCAGATAAATAATGTCACACAACCAGCTACATATCCAAAACCTTCAGACCCAAACAAAGAGACCTAACTATCAATATCAAAACCTAGCAACTTTGGTATATGCAAAGAATTTGGTTTGAACAGTTTCCGCAATAAATCAATCCAGATATAAAATTATTTGATATGGGAATCCTAACCAAGAGGTCACCGCCAATTTGAAATTCTATAATGATTATTTTACGTAGCAAAAATAAAAAATTTCTACGACAGAAATGACATGAAATCTAAATAGCCTTTAAAAATGAATAAATAAGCTCCCTATATTGGTAAATAGCTGCTATGTATCAAATGAAAAACACAAGAAATTATGTAAAAATCACGATGACACCATCCACATTACAAGACATCTGCATAAGCGTGTTATAAAAAAGGTCTTGTTGCCAAGACAACATATTAACTTAAGAAGATAGTAGTATATAGTAGTAGGAGTAAATAAAAAGAGCGAATTTTTTTTTCTGAATAAATAAAAAAAATTACTTTTTTTGATATGCAAAAATAAATATCTATAAAACACAAACTCATCTTCATGCACTATGTATTTTTTTTTGATTAAAATAAAAAAGTGGCTGTAGATGTAAAAAAGATTCAAAACTAAGAACAACAAAAAATCAATTATGAATATGACAAGTATATGGTAGCTGAAAACGTCTCTCCAGAGCGTGGTATGAAACATTTCCTTCATAATTAAAAAAAACACCAAAGGATAAAATATTTATTCCAAAATTTACTGTCAAATTGATAAAAACAAAATCTTTTTGAAATGCTATTAAATTAATCTATCATTCTTTCGACGGAACAAATCATAATTCTATCGGAACATAACATTATCACCACTTTAATTTAGGTAGCATAAATTAAGACATGGGATGGCCTCCAGAAAATTTTTTTTAATAATAATAATAATTTTGCGTCAAATTTAATTATTTTCTCAAATTATAAATTCCTGTTTTCAGAACAATATCGTACGATATTAATTCTAAAAATTAAATAACACATTTTATTAAGCCTGAATATGAAATCATATCATCAATTTTCAAATGATCAATTTCTTCTTATTACATATTTTTAATGAATTGTTCCATCAGAAAACTAAAATCAACACAAGTAGAAACTTCATGCGAAGTTTTTCGATTCAAAACGCTGTCAAACTATAGGACAGACGAACTGAGGGGAGTGAAACGGAAAATTTAACATCACGGAAGCATATAGATTAGAGAGTATTAGGATATAAATACGCAACACAATGTATGGTAATAACAAAATGCCTCGTACAAACAGGGAATTACCAAAAGCTTTACTACAAGAGAATACAAAAGCCCACTTATTTAACCCTTGTACAAAATTGCAAAAAGCTGATCACACCGCAATATTTTAGAATAGAATTTTAGCGACACAAAAATATAAAAATGTTTTTTTTTGTTACAAAAAAGACTAGATGAAAACTGTCTGTAACAACGCACTTTTTGCGATTATTTTCGCATGTTTTTTTTTAAATAAAAACTGTAAATTATCTGTATGTATGAAGGTAGAAAAACGCTTTGGTTGATTTCAGCCAGTTTGCACAGCGGGATATTAATTGTACAAAAGATTGGCAGGATAAAAATGCCAAGTTGGGTAAAAATGGGTTGCGGATTTTCGAAAAAGCAGTGAACATGGCGGATCAACGTGATCCCGTAACAAAAATCACAGTGTGAAGATAGAGAGCGCTGTCATTTACAATTCACAATATATATTTCATGAGGGTAAATGAAAATCTTGTATCCATTGCAAGGGCAACATCACTATATCCTAATTCTTCATTCATATTGTGATGTCACAATGGGATGCATGTGAGCAAGGAGAATAGTGGGAGGGTCATGATATACTACTCATTTCATAATATGGAAATCATCTTTTACAAGCAATTACATTTCATGTAAGATGGACCAATCAATAATGAAAACATAAAATGTCACTCAATCAGGTATGTCTCATATATAGAAAGTGCCTTGATGGCACAATTTATCTACAGTTCATACATGGTAAGTTATTCATTAGAAATTTTAGATTAAAAAATAAATATTTTATGTTATAGCAGCAATGAACGGAACAGAAAATTTAGGAAACATATTGTATGAAATCAAATATTTTTTTCTCTCTGAATCCATGAACAATTTACGGCAAAATAAGTCGTGTCGAATTCTAACCCCGATTACCAGCGGAAGATCGACCTGGGTGAACGATCAGCTCCTTCTTTGACAAGTGGTTTGTGAAATTCTCGTCCAGGTCTTGAATGAATATTGGCCCAGCACTGTTCGCAGTAGTACTGTTGTAAGAAAATGAGAAAATGAAATCAATTTTTGAATGCGAAGGATTGATTAAGTTGAGAACTGAAATACATAAAGCTATATCTATCAGCTCCTGACAAATTTCGTTTAGCAATCCCCAAAGATATTGCTTATTTTATGGCCTATTCAACGTTATAGTTTGGATGGTAGTTAAGAACAACTCTGTATATAGGGTATGTGTTACATGGAGAGATAGAAAATTTTGTATAAAAAATGAAGTTGGCTGCCAAATTCCAAAGTATTTCATATACATAGAACATATGTTCATTCTTAAAAAAAAATTGTAGCTTAGAATTGACAACTTATTCACAATCGAAATAAAATTCAATGAATCCGCTCTAAGATTAATTCAAGTCATGAAAGCAAGACTAGAAAATCCTTTTTCCTATAATTCCACAACATTTTCATCAATTTTTCAGTATTTGCATAAACTAATAAAGAATGACATAGGAAGAGTGAGGTCAGTCGATATAATCAATTTATAGAAGAAAGCATGCTACGTAATTCCCAGATGGAAGTAGCTTCGATAATCCGATAAAAATTGATCACATACTGGCATTCTGAAGAAATTACGTAATGCATTTATCGCACAAAGACAAAAACAAATTATTCTTTACTCATCTCTGACAATGGGTTGAAAAGTACAGCAGAAGTGCAACCACGAATTAATAAAATAAAGCAATGTAAAAGTGAAATTGCAGAAAACAAAAATTTATATTTTACCTGAAGGCAAGTGACATTGGCGCAAAAGAAAGGAGCAAATTTCCCACCACATCTTGCACCCTGACATTCATCGCATAACTGGTCATCGAGAACATACGGTTTCACTTCAACCTAAAAATAGAAAAGTAATGGTGACTAAGTAATATTACAAACAACAAAATGCCGAACAAAGCTTAGCAAATGTGTTTTTCCATGAGAGGCCTCACAACATTGTGTTCAATATTTAGTACACTATTCGAGATCGACTGATTCATGAACTAATCTATTAAAATTTATCAACTAATCTATTAAAATGCGAGCCTAAGTAAGTATATTAGCATCTAAGATTAGGCCAGGGATGTCCAGAACGAATACTTTTGTAAAATTTATATATATAGAGTCATTGAAGTCTCACAATATGACTAAAAACTATGTATATCTGTTTCAACTATCACTGGATATCAAAGTTGAAAATGAAAAGGGGCTGTTCTTAAAAAAAATTGGTTAACACAACACTTACTCTCTTGTCAATATCACCATGTTGCAGCTGAACAAATCTTGCACTTATCGCAGCAATATAGCTTTGTTGGTTTGAAAAAGCAACACGACCGGCTCCTTTGGGATATTTTAATTCAGGATCGACATCAATACCAGCGTAACATACTCCACCATACAAACGATCCATAATCATGGCAAGCTCAACTGTGAAAAATGTTTGTTAAAATTTGAATGACATGTTGTTTTTAAAGTTGTGTTTATGCGTAAAAATACATAATTACAGCAATCAATTTTGTTTAATAATAGAGATGAGGTATAACATAATTTGGACAAAGACAATAATTTAAAAAGGCTAGGTTTGTGCCCATCGTGAAAGGGCATAACATTAGTTATTTTTACAGCATTTAAAAATTAGACATGTTACGCCATACTAAATATAAGGTTCGTTGAAAAACCAGTTGCATCAATATAGGATTAATGGTACGTATTTCAAATAAAGCAACACACTTACAACTTTTTCAATGCTACAGTATATTGAAAAGTTTGGTTATTAAAAAAAGTTGAAAAAAATTAAACCAACAGATTTCGGCTAATCAAAAATGCTATATCTCAATAAAAATGTACACATCGATATGTTGAGTATCAAATGGGGTAGATAACAACGTTTTACCTGCTCGTAAGGGACGAGGAACTCCACCAACAAAAATAGTTTTTCTTGGATCCAAAGGTTGGGAACCATCCAACACAAAATCACTATCAGCAAGATTCCATGGACGAATTTGCACCTTAAATAAGAAAAATAGTCAGTTATGATACCAGTCAATTCAAACATGTATGGCGCGTGCCCAAAAAAGATGGATACAAAATATTAAAAAATGTTAAAAATATATCGAACTTTACTCATAGGAATAGAACGTTATCTTTTGTGAAAAATTTTAATGAATGAATTATTATACTGATTGATTCGACAGTATAGTATAAAATAGGATACCAGAACTAAATAATCCACATAAGAAGGACATGTTGGGCATTCGCTGTTGTCGCTTTGACTCTTGATACAGTATATATAAATCCTAGAAGTCAGTATACTGTATACAAATTCACTGACATTAAAACAGAAAAAAAAAATTCAAAATTGCCTTTGAGGAAATTATTCATGCTTTTTGCCAACTTTTACTTGTGTCATAAATAGAGTTTAAGATGAATTTGGAGAAATGAGACTTCAGACTTACAATATTTTTTTTTAAATATTACTCAATTATAATCCGGAATTTAATGATATTAAATTTGCAATACCATGGATTCAAAATGATGTAAACACATGACCTTGAACAAGAATTATAAATGAAAATTTTAAATAAACCTAAAAGGTTGTTTTTACCGTCATGTTTTTGGCATTTTCCCCTCAAAAATAGGGCAAAAAATTCTAATTTTCAAAATGTTGCGGCTTTTCTAGGATTCAGAAATAATGCATGCAGGATGTGAACAGCTGTGCTTTCGCATGCATAATTGATGTTCGTCATTTCGCAATGGGATTTCGACAATACTCTGCAATGTGCGTTCGTGAAACAAGATTAGAAACATGACTGAAATTTTGCGCAAAAAATAGAATTAACTGTCTAGACGCGTACGACGAGGAAAGAGAGAACAGTCTCTCGCTGTAGGGTGTACATGTAAAACGAGAAAGATGAAAACATGTTTTGTTTTCACATTGGTTTCGAGGAATCCGTTAACAGATATTTTCCAATAATAATCATACAGCCAATTTACTATAATTTATGGATATTAAACTATAGAGGCTGTAGATTGCCTTGAATCTTGACAATGTCACAATCAACATGAGTAAAAACTTTAAATTTGTTTCAGTCACATCCCCGATTTGTATATGTACCATATATTATAACTCACAGGTTTTTCCTTTATAGTTGGACTTGAAACACACAGGTATAATTTATCCTCGTCCTTGATGCAGCAATTTATCAAATTCTGAACTGATATTTCACTTTGGAAAAGAAGGAAAGCATACCCTGAAAATTAAAGTAAAATTCAAGAATACAATATGAAAAAATTATATCAAGTTTATGCTAGAAAATCAAGTAAATACTTGGCCAGACACATGTTAAATAACAAATAACCATTTGACTGACATGTTCTGTCTACAGCCTGAAGTTATTTTCTCCCTGGTGGATTGTGATTAAATAATGTTATAGAGAACTTGTTATGAACGTAAATAGTCTTGATATTGTGAACGAACACAATTCATACGTATATGCATATGTTTTTCGTATTTTTAATAATTAATATTGCCAAGCTTCACAACTATTCCAGCAGACATTTTTTGGAATACAACAACATATGACACATTTTTGTATAAACCAGTTGTCTAAATTGTTGTTCTAGAGGAAAATTGTGTAGCGTCATCAAAGCATGGGCAATAAAAGAGCAATGCATTCAGGATTTAATTTTACTCTACAGAATTTGGTAATGACCACAATTTCACTTAAAAATGACAAGATTTTAGAAGAAAAACAGTATTTCTATAAACTAGACTATAAAACAACAGTACTTTTAGAAAACAGTTAAAGTTTAAAGTAATATGGAGAGAAAAAATAGTTACGACGGAATTTCACCGTATCTTCACCGTTTGGGAACTTATTATTTCAAAAAGACCAGATGATTGAAATTGCTGTCATCAAGTATCAATTCTAATTAGAATTCCTGCCACCGCATGGTTATGAATACAGTTCATTTAGCATCCATATGGAAATTTACCATTACGAGTTATTACTAGGAAAAGAATACTTGAGAATATACCATTTGTGTTAGTGTTTCAGATAAGATGATGGTTAATCAAACATTAGAGATTATCAATTTCCATTACATTTATAGTAATTTGAAGAGGATCGAGTATGCAAACATAGGAAAAGTAAACATATTATGATACAAACTATCCCTGTTATCACGACTTTGCCCACAAATTTAAAATTCATAATTATATATGGGCAGAGAAAATATCACAAATATGACTAATATTATAAATTTTTTTCAAGATAATTTCAAAGTGATCCCGCTCAGCAGTAAAAGAGACTCGATTTCTATACTTCAAAAAACATTTTTACATTGCTTTCAAGCGCACTTCAAACATGATATTATCTATAAGTTGCGATAGGTAACGCCATATTTCAATTACCGCCTTGTTACCACATTTCGAAATGTTTGTCAAGTGTATTTTCTAAATTGGGAATTAAAATTAAACAGAAGGGGAGGAACAATGTGTTTTTTCGTTTAAATTTTTATAAATTTATTGTGAGGCTTCGTAAATAATAGTCAGTCAACCTTTTCACAGGCTTAATGAAACCATAAGTTTGAGGACCCCTGATGTAGATAGTGTTTTTTTTCCTGGAAATGTAAAGTATTTGTCTAATTCAAGTTGATTATCATTACCTGTGTTAACGATATGGTATTACACAATGGACTGGCATAAATTCTTTTGAACAATACAACTTGAGGACTTATTTAATCATAAAGAATAAATAATTCATTGTAAATATATGAATTGCTGCATATTTGCAGCCTGCATGCGATGAATTATTATTGAGTCGTGCGATTCAAATTGCAGTAAGGCTGAGTGATATAACAAGGAATTCAGACTGCAGTTTGTTATTTAGTTTGATTCATTAAAACTGTCATGAGCGCGCGGAAACTCGTAACCATACATTCACTTCCTGTGTGAATGACGTTTTTATAAGTTGACTCATTGAATTACGAATTCCCATGCGAAGAAATGATAAAATACGGGAAAGACTTTATAAAAATTGAAGACCGATAAAAATAATTGATTCAATTCAAGAAATAAAATCAAAACAATGTATATTTCCATTGGTTGTTTTAGGGTTTGTTGGCGTAAATAGCTACCATGCCTATGCTTATTCGTGAGAAGAACTTTCGTATATATATATTCTAAACAAGCGCTCAAGACAATCCTGTTGGAGCTAAATAGGCTTAAAATTGTTCAAATAATATTACTTGGCGCTTACTCGATTATAATCAGTGCAATACCAAAGTATTAATCCCACATAAATTTAGAAATTACTATTGAGTATCGTCTTTACTATTCCATTTTGACCTGGAATATTTCCAATTATATTAAAATGAACAGTCATACTAAGAACATAATTTAAAAATCCCTTTCGGAGTGGATTTAAAACAAATTGATAACAACCGAGTCAAAAATGGCAGAGTTATTGAGCATGTAACATAGTTACGCAACTAAGTAACGTAGAAATGTCAACAGGTCATTAAAAAAACTATTTCCTCCAATTCTGCATTGAAATGCATATGACAATGTAACAATCAGAGGCCAATAGTCTATAGAAGATTGAATAATATTCAGTCAAACAAAGTCCATAAATAGCTAATTGTCTTAAATAGTTGATCCACAGAGGTGATGACCATGTTGCAGTCATTTAGTCCAACTATTTATGACTATATTTATGAGGCAATAAGATAGTGGTGGTACCAATTTTGTGAAAAACAGTAAACATTGCTATATACTGTATATTCACTGCTCTATCTATACTACCGACCTTTAGGTGGGAAATAAGACTTGCTTTCAGCTTTGTGTGGCCAGTCGACGATGAGAGGTCCAAAATGACGAAAACTTGCTTGAATTTCCTCTGAAAAAATTAAATATGTTTGTTAAACCTTATATGAAAATGAATAATATTACAAATTATGCTAACATTTAATACATTACACGACTCAAGATCATCATAATTATAAAATTTATCAATGAATTGGAATTTTAACTGATAATAATTGGATTTTTACTAGTTACTTATCGATCTTAAGATCGGTAAGTATATTGATAGGTATTTGTCTGTATGTATGTCTGTCTGTGTGTCTGTTAGATGCACGCGATATCTCACGAAAGCGAGATTGAATCTGCTCCAGATTTTGCATGTGCATTCATCTTATCTCGGACCAGAAGCCTATTGATTTTGGGCGAATTATGTCGTATAATTAGCGAGTTATCAATCAATTATTGATATAGTGATCTAGATTTTTGTAAAGCGAGAGAATTTTGAAACCCGCCGAGTGTGTGTGTGCGATGCGCAGTGCGCAAGTTACAAGAGCGGATGAATCGAAACTGCAGTTTCTGTTTTGGGGGATCCCCTAACTATCGATCGATAAGTCTTCGGTTTCCAACCGATATTCTCGTTATGATATTGTTTAGTTGAACTGGACAAGCTGTAAAGAGCTTTGAGTTAAAAGCGTGTTTTTCAATTTTCAGTCCACTTTTTGTTTACACTTTAAATATTAGGTTTTGATTCAGCGATAATATAGATATTATCCATATTAGAATAATATTATTCAATACTCATGGGTAATGAGTATTGTATTAACCTTTAAAAATTCAAATTATATAATATATTAGAAAAATGAGCTTTGCTTGGTCGAAAACAGATAAGGAAATGACTAATGGTTCAAGTGAAATTCTTATATATGATAGATAACATTTAATCATTGATGATCTTTTTGATCATTTGATAACAATCTAACCGGAATAAAATCAATTTATGAAGTAAAAAGTCAATTTATTGTGATACAGCTTTTGAAACTATATCCATCAATTACTGTATATCCTCACTTATAAGCAGAGTTCGAAAACTCAAACAAAAAATTGCCAAACTATGAGGTAGCATTAAAATTCGTCTCATACACGCATAACGGTGATCGTACTAAAGCAACCTGATTGCTCTTATAGGTGCGTGCGGCGTGTTACGATTGGTGGGGCATTGTTTAAGGGATATTTAAGGGATTTGTATGGATATTGTTCAAGTAACCAAAAAAAACAATAAATCAAGACTACCTTCATCAATATCTGGTGGCAATCCACCGACGAAAACTTTTCTTGAATATCTTTCTCTTCCATATTCTCCGAGAAGCGGTGAAATTCTGTTTAGATTTGGAGCAATTTGATCATAACCACTCAAAGGAAGATGACTGTCTTCAAATAGAGGATCTTGTCCAATATCATTCCATTTACCTGCAATATAAAAAAATATTATTATTATTTGTAATGCACGAAGGTTTGATTAAGTTCAGCATGATTATAGTTTTTTCAAATCCCAATAAATTGAAAGTAAATATAAAGAATCAGAAAATCTTTTCAGAGGCAACAAATACAGGGAATTTTCCATAAAATAAGTTTAAAAAATAATAATTTATCCAATACACCGGTAATGATAATGAAAATAATAAAATAGAATATAATATTTTATCCACAGTGCTGTACTTTTAGAGTCCCGTTTATTGAAATGTTGTTTTCCTTTAGCATTGATACAGTGAAATTACGAAAAAAGGAAATATCAAACTCTACAGAATAAAATTGTGCAGACCTCTTGAGTATTTTATAGCAACATACTTTCGAATTACTGCTACACAATCTTTTTTAAATTGTGATTTAGTCAACGGGTTCGAATGATAACATCAGTTGCCATCAAATATTAGATTAATTCTATCAATGTGCATCCCACTAGATTTGTATGGACATTTCCAGTAATCAATAGTATTCCTAGATCTATGGATAATCATACCTATTGATGACTAATTAATTGGTAGTTTGTGGTATTAAACCAGCAATGTCTAGTAATTTTCTAGTAATTAGTAACAGGATATGGTCCATCCTTCCATATTATCGTATTATATATCCTGAAAGACCCAAAGATCGGATCGTGCCATTGTGTCAATAAATACCGGTACTCCGAATTTGAATATTTGGTAACCTTAATAAAATATCATACAGCCATGCTTGTCCCAAGAAAGAAGAAATTGAAATTGTATCGCTATGGCAGTTATGTGAAGTTTTAGCGCATTTTTAATAGAATTTTCATATTTATTATGAAGAGGAAAGGTGATAAGATGGCCTAATCATGTTGTTGGCCACAACCTCTCTTCTTATCACCATTTCATGTCTGGTTTAGGGAATAGTTAACCAGTTATTCGTGTTTATCATGCATAGTTGATCACGAAAAGTGTATATTGTGATTAAATTGCAGAATGCCAAAAATGATAATTGTAATAATAGTTACACGACTTCCTGTCTTTTTTTCATTGCCTAGGGCTGGTGTCTTACATTATATTATACAAAATGATAAATCAAAAGATCATAATTTCATATGTGTGGGTCATATTTTGACCTAAAAGCTTGTAGTAGATGACACTGTTTGTCTTACAGTTGGTAAACATGAACATACAGTCTGTTAGTGAATATTTAACAGTAACAAAAATGTGAACAATTTAACCTGATTTTGTATACAAGTAATATTCCAATTTAAATGACATATTTTTTCAATATACACCACCCATACTCAATGTATATATTTTTCGAATTGTGTTAATGTTTTTTGAAAACTGCCGCTGCATGCCTGCATTTAACGTTTTTCTGAGGCTCCCGCAGCATTTAATGTTTTGCCGCTGCATTTAACGTTTTTCCGAGGCTGTCGCTGCATTTAATGTTTTAATCCGAACTGGGTGATTTATTTCTCCTGTGAGCGGAAGTGAATTATCTCTTACTTCCTTTACCAAATCATGTGTGAGCTTGTTTTGCACGAAGAATCTGTATGCTTCAATATAGCTCTCGTAGCCTGTTTGTTCGTGTTAATGCGACAGTCTGCATCATATCATGTTTCACATAATTATGTGATAAATACATCCCGGTACCAGGAGTGTATACGTATGTTGGTAATATAAGCCATTTATTAGGGCAATATTTGCCTCTTTTTTTTCATATGCTGTGCAAATTTTGAGAATAACGAGTGCTATTGAATAAACTGTATCTTGAATATATTAAGATAAAATCATGTCTACAATTGTTCCTGCCATCAAGTAATGTTCATCCGACTAACATCATATTTTTAGTTATTTATTCAATGCTATTCAGCAGATTAAGCATGTTTTCAATCCACTAATACAGCGGAATTGTATACCTTTTTATGTTGTTTACTTTCTGTTATGTAGTGTCTTTTAGCGAACATGAGTAGAAAAATCGGGCAGAGATGTGGAAGAAGGGTTGACCTTTTTCCGTTATTCATTATGCCTACATGTTTACAAAGTTTAAAAGGCATAAAGTATACAATAATGATCACAAAATTGATTTTATTCAAATTCAGCATTTTTTCGTGTAAGTGCGCCGTGAGTTTTATCTCCTGGACGCTGCACATACAAAAAGTTTGGGAGCGGTTGTACTAATATATAAATTCTTTTGATCAAGCACTCTATATCAGCTATTATGAAACTAATTGGGTTCTATTACTAGTTTCACAGTATTGCTTGCTGAAAATTATAAATAACTGATATAATGCTGAATTATCATAACAACATTTGACAAAAATATTATATTGGATCATAATACAAGGATAGGCTTTATATAACAAACACATAACCTTTGGACTTAATCATCAGTTTAATCAAGATGGCCAATTATTTTCGAAAACTTCCAATATTTGTATTCATCATAATAATAATGAAACAGGAAATTTGTATTTTATTGTATAGTTTGAATGATTTCAATGATTGCAAGAATAGTAGACAGATACAATGCATGTGTCATATTGATCTCATCAATGTAACTTCCTTCCACATATTTTAATCAGCTCAAAGTGCAGACCGATCAAAGTAGCATAAACAGACAAATAATAATATATTGTAATTTATAATAAAGTTGTACGGGACACTTACAAGAAAAAACTTTAATGGTCACGCTGACCTGGGAATTCTTCAATTTTGAAAAAAAAATTAATATTGATAACCTGTTTCAATTAGGATCTCAAGAACTTATGATTTTAAGAAAAATTGGAACCATATTTGAAATCTTATTATGTATCTCTTTCAAAGATTCTTCTTAATGATAAACCAAATTGAAAGCATCCACATACCTGCAGATTTATGTAGTTTATATACAATTTGCATATTTTTTGAATGAGATAACCATTATTATAGGCTATCAATACAACAATATTGTACAACTGGCAAGTAGAGACGACCACCAGAGCGGCGGTGTGGCTCAACGGGTTAAGCGTTAGGAATACGCTCGCCACGGCACCTCTAATTACTCTGCGTGGGTTCGCAGGTTCGAATCCCATGCAGGGATGGTTATGTGCGAGAGGATTGCTGGACTCCTCGCCGTCGTTGGGTGGTTCACGCAACCGCTGGTCGGTTACGGCTTCCTCCACCACCAAGTCCATGCTTCCGAAAACAAACAATACAGTATAACTAACTAATCCCATACCCGACTTGAAATGGTAACCGGTCGAGGGGCCGTGGTTCGCCATATGAATGAGCCGTCTTATCGGCTTTCCTCTCCCCCGGGATAAATATGTAAATCCTATCCTATCCTATTTGAAACTAGGTAGTTGTTTTCAGAATTTAAATGATCAAAATTACTCAGTTTTCAGTAAAAAATTTTCAATGAAATCTCACATAAATTATGTTTTTGTTACAAAATATACCAAGTCAGGATAAATGAAGTTTAAATGAAAACAACTAAACCGATATCTAAAATACCAAATATTATGGATATTTGCATCACTACCATAAAAAATATTATACCTGTGGCAGAATAACTCAATTGTGATTCCTATTACGAAACTGCTGACAATACCAAACACCATATGAAACAATGTACTTGAAAAATTTTCGCTGCAAGCAGTTATCAATTTCAGTGTAGACATGTAATACACATATATTTAATTTTTCCGTTTTGATGGATATGTTATGACGAACACTTTCGGAGGGGAAATGATGAAATGACATTTGGCTAAACTGAAAAACACCTAATTCTTGAGTATTTTCTTATTGGATGGTAAGCCTGAAAAAAACACAGAAACATGATGGAAATTACAGCTTGACCAGACGTGCCTACGGCGACAATTTTTTTAGTATTACAGTTAAGAGCAGCTGACGTCAATACGTAAATCCCAACGGCTCGCGTACGCAGGCTACGTTAATTAACTTCGCTAACTTAGGAAGTCTCACGTAAATAGTTGACGATGACAATTATATATATGACGAGTCTAAATTTAACAAGACATAGCGTTCTTATATGCAAATAAGTTTCTCATTTTAAACGCCATTGAAGAGAAGGCCCACTGAGATTGTTCATTAGACGAAGGTTTCGCCAAATGACTAGATAAGAAAACGAATTCAAATTTTTGCAACGTCATGAAAACGATTTCATCTGTGTTTAAAGGATGAGCACGTGACACCTATTTCACTGTCTGTGGTAAAGTTTGTAGAGAATGCAAAACAATCTTTGAAAGTCGTCAGAGCGTTGCGGCCCGAAACGCGCTTGGATATTGTGTCTGAGAAAACATCGAAATATCAGAAATTACATAGTTGGCGCTGTACATTGATAGAGTAATTACAGTATTTCAAATTTCTCTCACAACTACGCAAGAACTAATCGAAAACTAGGTAGGTTGCTAAAGCTAAACGATCGGAATCTTTCCGATTGGACACCAAAATTTATAACACCGTGACTGTGTGGCGACAAAAGACACGTCGAATAAAAGACTCACGGTAATACTATTGCAAACCATAACCCTTCACCCAGTTACCATCCTAGATCCACTTCTACCCATATTTGCTGTTCATTTTACAACTTTTTTAAAAGTGCGTGGGTTCTGTTTACAATTCCAGATGCCGGGGTTTACATGTTTTCGGGGGTCAAATGAAGCATTACAAAATTGTCTTGCCGCATTTACCACGAAAGCAAATCTACCAAACATAGTCTTAACTTGTTTGTCCTTATACGAATGGGAATGTATTATTATGAATTCTTCACTCACACTTGGAACAAAAATGATCAAATCGACTTATATTTTCTAGTAATTAACGTGATAAAAAATAGCATTCAAATTCAAACGATGGGACAAAGCTGTATTGAACATTAAGTACGAGTGGTCAGTGGTGCTCCATGCTATGCGAAAGATCATTCTTGCAAATTATCACAAAATAATTACCACGCCATGCCTGTAATTTTACTTA